CACACAATATATATGACTAGGATATCGAATGCAAGTTTCCTCGTCCCATGGTAGGCAGATGGATGAAGGAGGGTCCAGTTCACTATCATTGTCCAACTCATTCGAGCTGCACTATTGACTACCTTATGCCTTTGTTTTCCTATATATCTTCGACCAACAAACAAAATCCATGTGAGAAAAAAGATCAAAACGTATAGCTTCTCAAAATTGTACCATTGAAAACGACGAGCAATTGACGACCTATGAGAATACCATTTTAGTATCCACTTCGTCTTGCCGTAATGTCGCCCCATAACGGATATAATCTTGCTTGGAAAAACGGATCTAGTTGTGTGGTTTTTTTGTAAAACAACCGGATTAGCTGGCCAAGCTTCCTGGATGGAAACTTAACTTGGAGCGCTAAAATGTGTCTTACCTTGAGGAATGTCATATGATGCAGTGATGATTCTACATGCTGAATCGAAAGGACGAAATCTCAATTGTGGTTGGCGCCAGTGCTGTGAGATGTTTGAGTAATTGCAAACTTCCTCATGCCTTGTTGTCATTCACAGAGAGCTTTTGAACCGCCTCGGTGACATCTTTTGCCAAGGTTTTTTCCTTGTCGGTTGACTCCTCATCGTCCGAATCATCTGGAAGAGGTCTGTGGTTATTGTTTGTCAAAGGATACAACAATATGGAATTAGAACTACCCATATAATGGCATAACATCCATACCATCTCATTCCAAATGTTCCGACTTACGGTAAATCCACTTCTTCGTAAATGACTTCAATGTATAGGGTGCAGGACTGACAATCGGCAACATCTTCCCCATCCCACAAATCTTCCAGGCTGACTTTGAATCGATCACCGCAAGGACATGGATACGAGTATGTCATTGTCTTGGGATCATAGTCCATGTCCTCGATCTCGATTTCCTCATACAGCGGCATCTTTTGTGTTTGGTTTCCCTGAAAAAGGAAACAGTGGTGAAACCATGGAGGAGATGAAACTTGCGTCAATCAATTATTGGTCGTGGAGGTGGACTGAAATTTGAAACCACGACAGACTTATTTGTGTCCGTCCATCTCCCGTATTCGCTAAGCGAAATCACGCGCACACAAGCCCTGCATTTTTTTGCGTGGTCCACAGCTACCACGAATTGTTTTCCGTGAAAATTCAGTACAGTAGTAGGACTACGTACAGGCAACACCGGTTGGCGCCCTTTCATCATCAACTTTTTGTCTTTGTTATCATACTTGGAAAGGAAAAAAAAGACATCATGGCCGACGAAGATTACGCAATTGAGACTACCGATGCCGGAGCCTCCGCCACCATTCCTATGGAAGCTGGTCAAATTAAGAAGGGAGGGTGAGTTTGAAATTTAGTTATTTGTTCCATCAAAATCGGTGTTCATTGGCAGGTTTCAACTTACACACGCGTGACGCCGTTCTACACAGATTCATGATGATCAAGGGAAAGCCCTGCAAGGTCCTCAGTATCTCCGTCTCCAAGACTGGAAAGCACGGTCACGCTAAGTGTAACTTTACCGCCGTCGATATCTTCACTGGAAAGAAGCTGGAAGATATGATTCCTTCCTCGCACGGAACCACCGTCCCAATTGTCAACCGTTCTGACTGGGAAATCATCGACATTGAGGGTGAAGAACTTACACTTATGGACGAAGGTGGTAACCAAAAGACCGATCTTAACCTTCCCAGTTACCCCGACACTATGGCTGAAGAAATCCGCAGTGCCTGGAATGGAGGTGAAAACAGTGTCATTGTCACTGTCCAAGCCGCCGTCGGTATCGAACAAGTTGTCGCCTGGAAGAAGGAGGGTTAAACTATTCAGAAGATTTATTATTATTTATGTCTTGATGGTTTGTCAATTGCAGCATTAAGTTGCTTTGACAGGAGTTTGGGCAATGCAATGGATGATGGGAATGCGTCCCTGCTGAAAGGGAGGGGCGTGGTGGATCAGCAATGGCGGACACACTTGGAATTTCGCCGGAGCTAGCTTTATGGAAGAATGTGTGTTAAGAATAACTAGTACCATTTTTCAATTCTCTAACATTTACCTTGATTGTTTTGCTAGACTATCATTATTACTATCATTGTTATCAATGCTGGCAGTAGTTTGATTCTGGCATTCCCTCGACTACAGTGCGGCGTGCGACACCCTACAGTAGAAACAAGAACAAAACTCCATCAATTATTATTTCATTATTTACATTACACAGCAATAGGTTTCATCATGCTTTGCTCCCCTTCGATTTGTGACGGCAATGACAATTCAATGCCTTTAGGTGTATTTCGATCATGCCATGATCGGCCATGGTTTCAAATCGTTCACTTATCACCGTACAGTTTCAATGCTTCGTATTCATCTGCCTGTGACAGTTTCTTGGCAGCAGCTTCGTGTTGCCGTCTACGTTCCTCCGCATCTTTTTGCAGTAAACTTTCAAATAGGACTTCCTCTTCTTCTGTCATCGTATAAGGAGAGTACTCCTCACCAGGAAAGACTCCTGATTCCACATCCTCTTTGAATTCTATACAGAAAAAAAAAGGTTGAAAGAGTCAGCAAACTGAACTGCTTGGTTGCAAGGAGAACATGAATGCGACTAGACAAGAATGTACGTCCCAAAACAATAACTTACCTTTCAGACCATCTTGTATCGCATGGCCAACTTGGGCATACTTTTTACAGAACTTTGGAACAAACTGGTCGTGCTGAGGATGACTCAACATACCCAACATGTCGTGGAAGACCAATACTTGGCCTGAGGTTCCACCGCCTGCGCCGATGCCTGTGGACGTTGCGATGATGTAAGAAACGGATGGGGAACGGATTAGCACTCTCCAAGTTCTAGTACGGACGTACCTATCGTTGGGATTTCCAAGGTTTCGGTAATGGCAGCTGCGACGTTTGCTGGGATGCACTCCAAGACGACGGCAAAACAACCCGCATCTTGCATCCTTAGGGCATCGTCCAATAAGGCTCGCGCCCGAACTGCTGTTCGTCCTTGTGCTCGAAATCCACCAATAACACTGGACGCAAAGTGAGAACTATGCGCTAGTACCAAACCAACGAAGAGGTAAGTGCCTCTCTAGTACTTCCAACAATTCACATACCTGATTGCTTGAGGAGTCAGGCCAACATGTCCCATCACAGCAACTCCACCATCGACAATCCTTCTTGCCGTCTTTGCCCTTGCTTCACTTCCGCCCTGAAGGTAAGCAATCGTAAATAGTATGAGATTCTGATTGTTTGCAGGCTTTGCCCTTTTTTTTCATCACATCATCGTCACCCTACCTCTAATTTGACCGCATCGCAACCCCCTTCTTTGACGAACCGATATGCATTCCGCAACGCTATATCCGTATCTTCGTATTCATAAGTTCCAAACGGCATATCCCCCACCAACATGGAACCACTCTTGACAAACTCCAGACCATGTTTGACTGCCTTGCAATGATGCAGCATGTGATCGACTTCCATTTGTTGAGTAGTCTCGTGTCCCAACTCCACCATGGCCACTGAATCTCCCACCAAGATCATGTCAATACCAGCCCGAGCGACATGGACGGCAGATGGATAGTCGTACGCAGTGACCATGGATATCTTGTTTCCTTTTCGCTTCTTGGCATTGAGCGAGAGTGCCGATACCTTGGCTGCAAATTGGCGTGTATAAATCTTTTGTGGATGGGATCTCGTCATCGTCATCGTCATCGTCATCGTCGTCGTCGTCGTCGTCGTCGTCGTTCTGGTGGATGATGTCAAGAAGGAGTTGCCGCCGACTCCATGTGAGAGTCGACTACCGAAGCGTGAAAGGTATCTTGACATTTTGTGTACTCGATTTCTAAACCGAATCCTTTCAATATAAATGAGACAAACGATGAGGCGACGACAACAACAGAAAAAGATCCAGGATCCAACCGAGCAAGTTTCAGTTGTACGATAGCCACGAACAACTGAAACGTGAGACGACGTCTGGCCATCTACCCGGAGAATGTTGGGTACTATCAATCATCCTTGCGTACTAATCCTTTTAACTATCTACAGTACTTGTTTGTTTGTTTGTTTAGACTGACGGAAGTGCTCCTGGTAGCTTTCCAGCTCCTGGAACATTTCCCAAATCCAAACCAGCTGCCTGCCAAAGTTTGACCATGGAACTACTAGTGTACTCCATACACAAGGGATCGTTTTCGTGATAGGCCATGACGTATTGCATCAAAGCATAACCCTTGGGACCAGCTGGATATCCAAGTTCTTCCACGAGGGAAGGAGATCCTCCTAGATAAACCTTGTTGACAACGACATCTTGAATGACTTGATGCTTCATTCCCATTTCGACTTCTGGGTCAGAGTCTGGTGTATGATCACGATGGACAAGTTTGAAGTTGCAGAATATGCATGTGAGTTTCCAATAGAAGGTTTCTCAGTTTCAATCCAACCAGCACTGCACTTCCATTACTTACCAGATGGAAGTTGACCGCACTTGGTTGAGAGTTCTTCGAGGACATCTGGCTCAATCATTTTGGAGGCAACTTTGTGTGATGCATTGCGAGCATCCACTACCCCCAATTCCTCATCATACTTGCCACTGGCCAATTCATCGTCCAACGCAAAGGCCAGGGACAACATGTCTCTCCAGGTGGTCCGCCCGACTTCTCGGAATTGATCTTGGACAGATGGTTCGCAAGCGCCAACAAATTGTGCCAAATGTTGGGTGTACATCATGATTCCCTGTTCACTGGCTTGGTATCCCAATCCAGCCACCGTGTGAAGCTGCATGCCCAAGTAGATTTGCATCATTCTTTGCCACTTAGTCACCAATGGCATGTTTTCATCTTCTGATAGCAACTTTACTGAGACGAGTTGGAAAATCAATCAGGTCAGAGGACAAGAACCTTTGCGTGGATCAGTACCAAAGAACTGGATTTCTAAAAAGTAATGACTTACAGCGTTGTTGACCCACTCCGTATTTCAAGAATAATTGATTTGCGTCTTGAATCCCAATGGCCATTTCCATATTCAATTCCTTGGGAGGCGATGGTTGAAACTGAGCTTGTGGGTCATTAGGAGGAAGGGAGGAGAAAGATCGAGAAGATTGCTTGGCTACTGCGACTGCGGGATGACTGAATCTTCCAGAGGCTCTGCTGATGAGGGGTGATCGCAGGGAGCGAGATACAGAAACAAACATTGTATGTTGAGCAGAAGGACCGATGATATTGATTTCAATAATGATGTTGTGTGGATGAGGAAAAGATCAAAATGGTGGTCGAATGAATCGACTATTAGTTGAAAGAAGAGGAGAGAACCGGAGGAAGAGGCTTTTAACGGCTGTCATTCGTGACGAATGAAATGAACGAACCAAATTCGAATCATCCTCATCTCGTTCCTGCTCTTGACGGTCTCCACAAACGCTCAAATCAGCAATAATGTCGATTACATACGAAGATGCGTTGTCAACGCTGGAGGCCATGTTTGGGGCTCCTTGGACTCGAGAGACCCTAGATACTGTCCTCCGTCATGAAAAAGGTCACATGGAAAACACTTGCGAACGTATTTTGAATCATGGCGATAAGGATCCTCAAATTCTGGTGGATCGTCTACAATCGGGAGAACCTGACCCACAGCAGGCCATTGATGAAGCCTTGGCCCTACAATTGAGTGCTCAAGAACAAGGAGGTGGAAGAGGAGGAGGGAGTCGGCCAGCACCAGCTACTTCCGGCAAGAAGAAAGCACAAGCCGCCGCCGGCCAGAAAGGAAGAGGCGTTCCCACTTCATTGCCCGACGACTTTTTGCGAGTGCCTGGTTTTAAAATACCGGCCAATGCAGGAGCTTCTGCTGCGGCAACGCCCATGGACGATGAGAGTTTGGCACGCATGTTGCAGGACGAACTCTTTTCCGAAGAATTGGCAAGAAATCCCGATTTTGCCCACTTGGCTCGTGGACGAGGTGGAGGAAGGTCTGCTCCAGCACAACGGAGATCTAATGCAACAGCACCACCACCGAATCCATTTGAAGGTGTCAATGTGATGGAGAAGCTATCAGGTACGTACTTTGAATGATGTTTTTGTGTACAGTTACAGTGTGCCTCGGCAACGTCAGGCGCGTTGTATATTTATTATTGGCAAGGGTTTAAAAGTGTTGAATTATGATAGAATCTTTCGCAATACCGACGCTGTTCTCATTCTATTCTTTCTTTTGCTCCTATCTACCGGTACTAATACACCAATACGAATACAGAAATGGGCGACAATACCCGCCGACGCCTCCAAATCATGGCCCGCAACTTTGAATTGAAGCTCAATGCCAACAAGGCACCAGTAGGTGGCGGTGGTGGTACTGGCATACCGGAGAATACTAGTTCGGCAGCAGAACGTAGAGGATTGTTGGACGATGATGATGATATGGAACAAATTGAATTTGAAATGCACAAGAAGCGTGCGTAGTAAATTTCTCAATCGCTGACCGGTGAAGGATTGATTCGTTGATTCATTCATCCATTTGTCTGCTTTGCAATATGGAATTGTAAGCCATGATAGTCTTAGCCTTTGCCTTGATGTACACCAACTTGCAATATAGTATTATTGAGTAGAAGAGGTTTGGTACTACAAAATTAGCATCATTCTCGCAACGAGTTGTTATTCCTGACTGGAAATGACATAAACATCTTAACACTCGTTCAAAAATTGGATTATTGTTGCGCATTGAGCACTTTGTTGGATTAATATATGTCCCTTTTCATGCTCTAGTTTTCTTCCATGGACAAAGCACTGGAATAATTTGTCACTGTGTGAGGGTGGAACACTCGTATCGTTGCGACCAATGACATGCAAGGAGGGTCTGTCAATCTCCTGAAAAGCAGATGATTCATCGACAACACTACTGTTCTCTGCGACAGCGATAGCATCCACCACCATGGGTCGTTGCAGAGGTGTGGCAGGAAATCCACTCACCAAGACAAAGCCTCGTATCTTGTTGAATGGTGCAATCGTACAATAGGATGCCAAAATATGAGCCAAGACGGCCCCTTGCGAAAACCCCAATAGAAAAATCTGTTCGTCCTCGTTTGCTTTTAAAATATTGGTAAGTTCTTGTTGCATCATGTTGATGGATTCTTCCAATCCAACATACTCAATTCGTTCCCCAGTCAGCATGGAACTAGTGTCGCCTGGATCTTCTTGGCTATACAAGAACCAAGCCATGGCACCCTTGCGTCCACCATTTGTGATCAAAACAGGCTGTCCTTCAATCATAATGGTACTGACCATGGGCAATTCGATAGGAGCCTGAAAAAACAGACAATCGTATCCAGCCTGATTCAGTTTCTTGGTCAAGGATTTGGAGCGGGATCGCATGACTTTGGCATTTTGAGCCCATCCGTGAAGCATCAGGACGGTTCCAACTTTTGGTACCGTTGCAGGAGATATCACATTCATGTTTCTTTCAGTCTTCGCTCTTCTCTCTCTCTCTCACACACACACACACACACACACACACACCCTCACTCTACTTTATCATCACATTTCTCATCTCTTTCTGCAGACTCAATACGCACATCCTCACGAAATTTGTAATGCGCGTGGAGTTTGGTTCAGATTTTCGGATATAAAAAAGAGATCAGAAAGTTCGAGGGACCTGTCCAACTTCCTTTCTTTCCCACAATTAATACCCCGTACAAATCTACAGGAACCTGGTAGAAGGACGACAACATCGACTCAAATACTTCACGTCATCGGAAAAACGTCCGCAACAGCGCTAAAAGGGGAATGTCTTGTGACCATCCTATCTGTGAAACTTCTGCCTTCTGCCCGTCTCATCAAGCAATAAGAAAATACCCAGCGATTTTGTAGGAGAAAGCCTTCCGTTACAAACGATCTCTTGTTGTTGTTTAATTACTACTGCGTTGACCGACTGAAAGTCCGGAATCTCTAAAAACAATACCTTCAAGATGATGCAAGCAGCGCTGGAGGCGGCGATGGAAGAGGCTGCCGCCAGAGAGTCTGGGGTTGCTGGAGGTCAGCAGTATCATGAGGACGAGGAACAATCACAACAATCACAGCAGTCAGAAGAATCATCACAACATATAGAACATTCCTCGTCGTCACAGCAACACCATGACCTGGACGCTGAACAACTAGTCTTTCTTCGAGCACTTCAAGATGCAGAAGAGGGGGAACAAGCGGAGTTGTTGCAGAGGATGATTGAACTGGGCCAAGATGACCCTAGTGTTCAAGCTCTGCTGCAACTGCTAGCTCAGGAAGAACGGGAAAATGCAAGACCAGAGGAACATTACCTCACAATTGCGCAAAATGGTAAGGATTGTCTTTGTTGTTGTGTGTTTTATTTTATTGCAAACTTGTGCCACTGATTGCTTAACGCGATACTCACACCATCACTTTTACTTTCTCCTTGGTACAGGAATGATCTTGGAAGCCACGAAAACGGCTACTGGATATCCACCAGATGCTCTGTTAATGACATCTGCGTAAGTTCATGGATGACTACCACGCCACCATGCGAAACTGTTATTCGTATGTATATCTCACGCACCTTTTTTTTTGGACATCTTATCTTGTTCAGATACGATGCCGTGTACGAAGATGACTTGCCCGGACTACTGGCAGTAAAGACTCACTTTTGGGACAACGGACACCCAGATGTCGAAGTATATTTGCGGCGACGAACAATAGATGGGGACTGGATATGGCTGGTAACCAAAGCTGTATCCTATGTGGACCAGCCGATACCTGGCATTATATTGTTGGAGCGAGCGGTGGACGACGTGGAACATGCAAATCGAATAAGCAGAATCATTCGAATATCTGCGATTCTGGTGCAAGCTGTAGAGGCGGCCCAAGTGGCGTCGCTGAATCCAGGATTGACAGATGAGCTGCAGGGATCGGACAATGGTTCTGTGGACAGTTCCACGCAAATACCTTGGGTGGCAGAGGATGCTGCTGCCTATCAAGCCATGTTACAGGGTGGTGCAGCAGCTGCTGGAGGCCATCCTAGTGTGGAAGATACTTTAGCACAAATTATGAAAGCTGCAGCAACAGGTGGGGCGATGAGCAAGAATAAAGCTGCAGCTACGGCAAAGCTCGAACAAGAAATTATGGAACGATATGGCACAAAGAAGAAAGAAAGTTTCGACCCTTTTTCAGTGCTAGAAGAGGTTCGTGAGGGAGTGAGACTTGACTTGGGAATGATCAGTTTATCGGAAAGTGAGATAAAAATGATCACAATGGTATTGAAAGGCGAAATCCCAGCCGAAGACTTGGCAACGCTGGTATACCAGGCGCTCAGTGTCGGAGTTGGGATCGATCAAGCTCTGAGAGAGTACATGGTGCTTAGGTCGCAGATCGATGAACCCGGGGATTCCCTCGCAAATATGCCACCCATTGCTGTTTTGAATCTTTCCTATACCTATATGGGAAACACAGCTATTGAAATCCTTTCCGATCTGGTGCAAATGGAGGGCTCATTGTTGAGAACGATTGATATCAGCTTCTGTGCACTGGATGAAAGGGGCACTATTATTTTCGCGAATGCACTCAAACAAAGGCGACGACGAGGGATTGCACCCTTGAGAGGATTAATAGTGTCGGGGAACCATATCACCCTCAAGGGTGCCAGAGCACTGGGTCGAGCGCTTTGTCCCGAAGAACCTTCGCCTTCGGACGACAGCTCATTCGGAGACGAAGCTAAGCAGGAGCAAACCGAGGCCATGGTCGATGCCGCGAAGAAATACCTGAGCAAAAACCACGGACTTCAAGTGCTCCACTTGGGTTCCGCATTGAAGGATGCCGACTCTGTTGCTGAGTTCCTCGGTGGACTCGGACCAAACTGTCCCGTCAAAGAGATGAGTTTGACGTCAAACGGAATCGGGGCTAGCGGAATTACACAGCTTGTAGACTTCTTGGAAGGAAAAGGGATGCCAAAGGGGACGAAGGTGATGAAACACTTGGACCGATTAGACCTTTCAAATAACAGGCTGGGTAACGATGGTCTTACCCAACTATGCCGCGCAATCTCAAAACGAAACGGAATGCAGTTGGTAGAATTGAGGTTATCTAACAATGCAATTGCTCACAGTGGAATTGAAACAATGATGAGTAAGCTTTTGCAACACAATCTTGTCAGTTTATCTCTTGACAAGAATGCTATTGGGGATCAAGGTTGTCAGATTGTTGCTGCATCATTAAACGGCATGCGATCTCTTTCGCGCTTGAATCTTGGCTTCAATCAAATTGGAAGTCGAGGTGTGAACAGTTTGATGAGAAGTTTGGTTGCGTGTGATTCGATCCAGTACATCAGTCTTTCTGGGAATATCATGAAAATCTCCGGTGCTGTTGCGCTTGCCTTCTTATTGGCGCAACATCCTCGGTTAGAAGAGCTTGATGTCGACAATTGTTGTCTCAGTCAAGCCGCACAGTGCCACATCGTCTCAGGAATCATTTCCAACAGATGGGTACCCATGAAACGAATGAATGGTTTCGAGGCCGGTCCACCAATGGTTGCGCTTGGTGCCCTTCAAATTTCCGCTCAAAGTCTAAGCAATGAAGAATGTTTTCGAATCCGAAAGGATGAACAGATGAAAACCATTCTGGAGTGGATGGAATCCAACCGAAATGCCAAGCTCGCGGGTGCAAGGGGAGCAGGACTAGGAGATGTTAACAGTGATTCGTACCAGCACTTCTTGTCTCCTGAGTTTGTGCAGAGCCAGAATGAATTTCAAGGTATCCCATCACAGAATGCGTACTTAAGGCTGCTAGGATGGCTTAGTCGTATTCCATTCGACGAGGACGAGCTCATATCGCTGAGGAAATACTTCTACGATTCTGATGGTGCTTCTGAAGATCGTGGTAGTGAGGGTTACATCAACTTGCGGCTCAGAGGTGATCTTCTTGCGGCGCTTGAAAGTGATGTTGCCGACGAACTCCGTGACGAGACTCCAATGCTTGTCAAGTATCAAGGATCAGTTGGTATTGATTTGGACATTATTAATGGAGGAAACAATCCAGATGCTTCTCCATGGGACCAAATGCTAGGAAAAAGCTTTGACAAGCCACAAAGAATCCAAGCAGACCCAGCTCTGGAGAAGATACCAGATGAGGAACCTTCGGAACATATGATGGAAGATGATAATAGCTGGTCGGGACACATGTCCGATGAGGAAGAAGTGAACAGAAAACGACGCATGCAACAGGATTTCTCGGACGATTCTTTCGAAAACAATGGAGATTATCGAGGACCATCATCTCGCAGCTCAATGTCGGACATGTCGCGGCAAAGTAGCTCCACTGAATCAGATGGTGAAAGCTATGCGTCGGACGATGATCGAAGGCGAAATAGAGGAATCAAAGCACGAATCACAATGTTCCCTCAATTTGAATACAAGCTGGAAGAGCTTAAGGCCACAGCTACTGAAATGATAGAGTCAGAGGAGGACCAGGAGCAGCAGGAGATTATCCTAACGCAGTACGCTGAAGCATCATTGACAATCCTTCGGCAGCTGCGATACCATTGCATGAATAGCGGGCTCGACGGTTGGCGACAAGGCTCGGTGAAACGGAAGGTGTTGATCGTTGATGACAGTAATGTCACAAGGAAACTCGTTTCTCGCGCCTTCGAAAAAGCCAACTTTATCGTGGATACAGCTGCCAATGGATTGGAAGGTGTCAAGAAGCTGAAGACCTCAATTTATGACATTGCCTTTATGGATATCGATATGCCTGTCATGAACGGTTTCGAAGCAACAAAGAAGTTGCGAGAATGGGAAGATGCCGTTCGACCAGGAACAAGACAACCGATATGCGCGCTAACTGCTGCATACGTTGATGGAATTATCGAGAGGAGCGAGTTGATGAAATGCAAAGAAGCTGGACTTGATGTGATGGAAAGTAAGCCATGCAACATCCCGAGATTATTCAAGGTTGTTGATGATGTGTCTCCAATGTTCAGTGACCTCAGCATTAGCGTGATCCAAAAAGAAAGGGGTGCGATGTAGACAAAGAAACCAATCTTCTGATGGCTAGGCAGGGCCAATATCCTTGGGATAAACGAAAATGGTCTTGACCTTCCATGGCCTTTTGAAGTGTTCAGCCGATACAATCCCTTTTTGAACAATTTTTTTTGTGAGATGCACAAGTGGAAGTCTAGCATAAAATTAATAACGACTTTAAAATATCTATTTCAATAGAGAGTTGGGGAAGAACTTGGAGGTCTTGGTGAGATCAAAATTGAAGATTCTGCGTCTGTACGCTATTAGCGTGACTGAAATCAGTCCGTCTTGGAATGTCCAGAGTTTGATCAATTCTTCATGCTTCTTCATGTGGTGGGCATGTTGCAAGCAACTGTAGTAAAATGATGATAGGTGTCGTCTCCATGGTTCTTACCACATTACTTCTAGTGAACACAACACTTGTGCACCCTTTTGTCGAAAAATCTATTGGCTGCCGACCAAGATCAAGGACAACAGCAAGAAGCTTGTTCTGTTCGTCTCCGATCGATTCATCATTCCAACCGTTGGAATTGAACTTGCTCGCCTTTTCGACCTCCGAGGCGTTATTTCCTGGACAGACCACTTGTGTTACTCTGAAAGAAGGAAGGTTTTTCGACCTTATTGATGATGCCACAAGCAACCATGACGGTCTTATCGGTATGATGCTAATGGACGATGACGGAATTGTAATGGAAGGGATGCCGCTGTGCAAGATAACAGATGTCGATGTAAGGTCAGGGTTTCGTGGGAAAGTTACAATATCAGTTGAGTTCCAGGTTGTTGGGAGAGCAAGATTGGAAGAAATGAAGCAGATGCAACCAACAATCTTGGCAACGTGTGTTGCACTTCGGGATGTGATTCAAATGAGCGCGGAGGAATTGAACGAATCTCGAAGCCTTGTTGACCGTTTAGCTGAAAACCTGAAGAGGCAGTCGTCTTCGACAGCTTATCAGAGTGCCTACGGCGATGCCTTTGTCATGCTTGAAGAAGAGTATCAGGATTCCGAAGTGCGTGACCTGGCAGCAAAAAGCTGGGCATATATGGCATGCCTTTCCCCAGAAGGAATCGGACGATATGGTTCCAAGGCCATTGCATCTGACAGCATTCACCAGCGCCTCGATATCGTGGCTAAAGCACTTCTGGAGGAACAAATAAAGAACGCAGAAAACCTAATGTCGATCAATCAGGACAACCAAGAACTAAATGGTTTTGAATGACCTGTTTAAAATATCTACCTATTCTGTACTGCATACAAACCATTGTTCGATCTATTGCTTTCTAGCTTTGTTAGACCTTTGTTATGTTATCGTACTCGTACCCCTTTTAAAAATGATACTTCCATTCGAAACGGTTTAAGTCCGGAAGACGACAGGCAGACGTTGTCTCAGGTCAAACCATCGATTTTCAATTTCCATCTTTCTCATTTTTCTTCGACATCAACACCAAGCAAGCAACAAGATGCCTCAGCGGAACAACAAGCGGAAGATACCAGCGCAACAAGAAGTGGCTGCACTCAACGCCCGGATTGCAGCTGAGACCCCAGAAAGGGGAACCGTTCCATCCCTCAAGAACTCAGTTATTGCATTTAGTTCACTGCCTCTTTCGAACAACACATTGCGAGGCCTCGAATTCAATGCTTACACAAATATGACGGCTATTCAATCTGCTTCGATTCCTCACGCACTAGCAGGGAGAGATATTTTGGGGGCTGCCAAGACTGGTTCAGGAAAGACGCTTGCATTTCTGGTTCCCATGTTGGAAAAGCTCTACCGAGCCGGTTGGTCGACACAAGATGGGGTGGGAGCGATTGTCTTGTCGCCAACCAGAGAGCTTGCGGGACAAATATTTGCAGTTCTAAGAAAAATCGGAAAGTTTCACTCCTTCACGCTGGGTTTGTTGATGGGAGGACGCAATAAGAACCGTCGTGAACACAACGAATTTCTACAAGAGCAACAGTCCATTCCAAACACGAATATTCTGATTTGTACTCCTGGAAGATTACTTCAGCATTTGGAACAAACGCCTTATATGAATGCCGATTCTCTTCAAATGCTTATTTTGGATGAGGCAGATAGAATTCTAGATATGGGATTCAGAGACCAGTTGGTACGAATCCTTGACTATTTTCCAGCTGGGGAACGACAAACTCTCTTGTACAGTGCAACACAGACAAAGGATGTCAAACACCTTGCTACACTGAGTATTAACCGAAAAAAGGTGGAGTATGTTGGAGTGCATGACAAGGACACGGAGACTACCCCGAATCAGCTTCGCCAGTCGTATGTGATTGTTCCACTGGAACACAAGCTGAACTGTTTGTTCAGTTTTCTAAAGTCACATTTGAGAAGCAAGACTATCGTCTTTCTAGCATCCTGTTCGCAGGTCCGCTACGCCTGGGATTTATTCTGCCAACTGAGGCCGGGTCTGAGTGTCCTTGCGATTCATGGAAAGCTGTCTCAGCCAAAGCGAATGCAGGTCTACGACAAATTTACCACCACTCCCCATTCTGTCCTCTTTGCAACCGATGTAGCCTCGCGAGGTTTGGATTTCCCGAATATTGACTGGGTCCTTCAAGTAGATGCTCCGGAGGATGCCGATATGTACGTGCACCGTGTTGGAAGAACGGCACGATTCCAAAGTAAAGGCCAAGCTCTTCTGTTGCTAGACCCAGCGGAGGAGAAGAGCGTAACTGAGAATTTCAATCTGAAAGCCCCGTTGAAGAAAAAGTCTATCAACCCGACAAAGACCATGTTGGTCAGTCAACGGGCATCGTCCTTGGTTGCCGAACATGGAAATCTCCATTTACTCGCCAAGAAGGCCTTTCATTCGTATGTCCGATCGGTTGCCCTGTTACCCAAAACGGTTTGGGCTGACTTGGACGTAAAGAAGATGAACCTTGAGGCCTTTGCTCTCTCCTTGGGACTCGCAGCCATGCCCGACTTGGACTTCCTCAAGAAAGTCTCAAACCGAGACGGCCTCCGTGAGTCCAAAAACGTCAATCGCAAACTCCAAAAGCTAAAGGAGCAGATCAAATTGGAAAAGGAGAAAAAGAAGAGCAGAAAGGAGAAGAAGCGCAAGGCAGACAGTGATGACGATGAAGCGGATGAAGAAGACGATCTGCTCGTTGTCAAGGCCCGACACGAATACAACGAGGACGATGTCGATAATCATGGATTGGCGTCCAGTGCTCGTCTTGCCAAAAAGATTCGCATTGATAGTGGCAACTCGGCACCACAACAACACACCAAGTTTAATGATGATGGTACAGTGCAACCCAAACTCGTGTTGGCCAAGGAAAGCGGCGACGACGACGAAAGTGAAGAAGGAGAAGAGATTGACGGAAAGTTGGGAGAAGCCAATGAAATGTACATGGAACAAGTTCTACAACGATTGGAGAAGACCCGTGACCTGGACAAGAAAGAAGAGCGAGAGAGAATCCGTTCCAAGCACAAGAAGCAAAAGATGAAAGAAAAAGCCGCCGCCATGGCCGAGGAAGGGGATGAAATGGAGGAGCCTACCACTGCCACTCTGGCTGTAGATGCCATGGAAAAAGAGGATGCATTGGTTGCTTCGTCTTCGTCTGGCTCTTCATCGTCATCTTCCGAACCTGAAAGCGAGGGTGATTCCTCTTCCAGTGACGACTCGTCTTCTAGTGATGATGACGACGATGATGATAAGAGTACAGATGTGGCCGCGCAAGAAGATCTTGCGCTGTCCTTGATCCGAGGTACTGCTTAGACTTTTTGACAAGTTGTCTCTTGTGATAATTACTAAATACTAAATGAGCGTCAAGAAGGTTCATCAATTCACACAGACTGGTTTCGAGAGGAGGTATCGGCTCCCTTTTAAGGTAATACTACTGCTCACAACACTACATAGAACAGAAGACAACTAAACGTTTCAGGTACTAGTCAATAAAAAGAACGTGTGATCTAATATAAATAGCGCAAGTTATAAATTTAGGAACACGATTCTAAACAACTAATCGCCAATACAGTAGGGTATTTGAAATTGAATGCCATTAGCACACACGTGACGCTTAATCAATTTCCTCAATGGTAGGGCCTCCAGCTGGATCATCATATCCAGCGTCACCGCCAGGAGCAGGTCCTCCCATGTCGGGCATGGGGCCACCTGGCATACCTCCGGGCATACCACCGGCACCGCCAGCCATTTGTTGAAGAATGGGCATGGCAACACCTTCCAAGGCCTTTTGCTTCTCTTCGTATTCTTCCTTCTCGGCACCTGGGTTGGCATCCAACCAGCTGATGGTATCATCAATGGTAGCATCCAAATGGGCCTTCTCGTCTTCGGGGATCTTTCCGGCAACTTCCTCCGAGCTGATGGAAGACTTGAGAGAGTAGCAGTAGTTCTCCAAGCCGTTCTTGGCTTCGATACGGTGACGGTTGGCGTCATCCTCTGCCTTGAACTTCTCAGCTTCGGAGACCATGCGCTCAATCTCGTCTTGGGAAAGACGTCCCTTATCGTTGGTAATGGTAATCTTGTTCTCCTTACCAGTGGACTTTTCAAGGGCAGAAACGTTCAAGATACCATTGGCATCGATATCAAAGCAAACATCAATTTGAGGTTGTCCACGGGGCATGGGTGGGATTCCATCCAAGTTGAACTTTCCGAGAAGGTTGTTATCCTTGGTCATGGAACGTTCTCCCTCAAAGACTTGGATCAAGACACCTGGCTGGTTATCAGCATAAGTGGAGAAAGTTTGTGTCTTCTTGGCGGGAACAGTGGTGTTACGCTTGATAAGAGTGGTCATGACACCTCCAGCAGTTTCCAAACCGAGGGAAAGAGGAGTGACATCCAACAATAGAAGCTCGGAAAGCTTCTCGGACTTGTCAGCACCAGAAAGAATGGCAGCTTGGACTGTGGCTCCGTAGGCAACAGCCTCATCGGGGTTGATGGACTTGCATGGCTCTTGTCCGTTGAAGAATTCGGTAAGGAGAGATTGGATCTTGGGGATACGGGTAGAACCACCGACGAGCACGACTTCGTCAACTTGGTTCTTGGCAATCTTGGCGTCACGAAGGACCTTTTCGCAAGGCTCCATGCACTTCTTGAAGTAATCCATACACAGATCCTCGAAACGAGCACGGGTAATGGTGGAGTTAAAGTCGATACCATCGAAAAGAGAGTCAATCTCAATGTGTGCTTGAGTGGAAGAAGAAAGAGTACGCTTGGCACGTTCGCAAGCAGTACGAAGACGACGCAGAGAACGTTGGTTTTCGCTCATATCCTTGCGGTGGCGACGCTTGAAATCTTGCAAAAAGTAGTCGACCATGCGGTTATCGAAATCTTCTCCTCCCAAGTGTGTGTCTCCGGCGGTGGCCTTGACCTCAAAGATACCCTCTTCAATGGTCAAAAGAGAGACATCGAATGTACCTCCTCCAAGATCGAAAATAAGAACATTCTTTTCTTCACCCTTTTGGTCAAGTCCGTAGGCAATAGCGGCGGCGGTGGGCTCGTTGATGATACGAAGGACGTTCAATCCAGAAATGGCTCCAGCATCCTTGGTAGCTTGACGTTGAGAGTCATTGAAATAAGCTGGCACGGTAACAACAGCGTTCTTGACTTCCTTTCCAAGGTAGGCCTCGGCAATATCACGCATCTTGGTGAGGACCATGGAAGAGATTTCCTCAGCCTTGAACTGCTTTCTTTCTCCCTTGTATTCAACCTCAATGATGGGTGTTCCTCCTGGACCAGAAATAACGTCAAATGGCCAGTGCTTCATGTCAGCTTGAACGCCAGGATCAGTAAACTTGCGTCCAATCAAACGCTTGGCGTCAAAGACAGTGTTGGTGGCGTTCATGGCGGCTTGAGACTTGGCGGCGTCACCAATCAAACGTTCAGTCTCGGTGAAGGCAACGTAAGAAGGGGTAGTACGGTTACCTTGGTCGTTGGCAATGATTTCGACACGGTCATTTTGCCAGACACCAACGCACGAGTACGTGGTTCCAAGATCAATACCGACGGATTCTCCGGTTACAGCTGTAAGAGGGAAGGGAAAGGAAAGAGAAAAGGAAAGGTACTGTGAGTAAATCATTCATTCGTTCATTCCAACATCGATTCAAACGTGGGGGCAAATTAGTTCCACAAATGGCCATCATTTGTTGCTGCAATTGCAATTTTTCTGAAAGGCAACAACAACTTTCACAGCAACAACCATGGCCATCTACGTTCATTCCCTTCATCTCCTTTGATGCTACGTACCAGACATTGTATATTTATTATTCGATAGAGTGTTGATGTAAAATAGATCCACAGGCGGAAATATTATGAGCTTTGGTTTCACATTTCGTATTAGCCTTTCAGTTTTTCAGTCGTCCACGGACCATTCATCCGTTACGTAGACTTGCCTACCACAAGTACTACTGCAAAGTTTTCGATCGAAAAAAAGTCCGCCCCCCATACCCGTTTCCTGTAGGGCTTCCGTTAAATTCTACGGCAGAGGTTAAAAACACGATTTGCGGATCGACATTTGCGACTCATTTGACTTTCTGGTCTTGGGCAAATAAGTTTCAGGTCTGTCCTTGGGTCGTGTCGAAGTGAGATGAAATCCATCATCGAAACATCGATCTGCTGTGACATCAACAGGTGACAGGTGACAGTGCCAGTAAAGTTGATTCATTCCTCCCTTTCTTTCTCTTTCATCGCCAGCACAAGGCTCTTAATAATGTCGTCAATGTCAAATAGTAACAGCAATCCATCAGCAGAAGGACAACCTCCAATATCCTTTACTCCGGCGGAAGCCCAAACTTACAACAAACCAGCTGGATCTCCACTCTCGATTTATGAAACCATCATGCTCAACAAGGCATTCCCGAAAACTGTTCCATACCAACCTGAAGCAGCTCTTCACAAACCAGTCCCCGTAGACGATGAAGCAAACGATCTGAGTCTGGGAAATCTCACCCGCAAATCCTTGCCCTATTTCCAATATTGGAACATGACGGCGGGTCCTTCGGAAGTCGCACCCGATTTTAGTTGGGTTTCCAATTCGTGTGGTGGCAAGGCGGCGATCGGGGTCTTTGGTGGGGGCGTCATGGGATTGCTCATGGGAGTCTTTTTGGGGGCCATGTCCGACAGTACGCCTCCCATTCAAGTGATTGCTGGAAAGGAAGTCCCGCAAGCACCTCTCAAGGAACAAGTCCGAGTGACCTTTCGAGCCACGGCTGAAAAATCCTTGTATTGGTGTCGGAATTTTGCTTTTATTACAGGAGTATTTGGTGGATCGGAATGTCTGGTGGAAAAGTTTCGGGGCAAGCATGATGTATGGAATTCGGTGGCGAGTGGATGCATTACGGGGGCGGCGTTGCAGGCAAAGCAAGGACCGCAAGCGGCGGCAGTGGGATGTGGAGGGTTTGCAGCCTTTTCTTTGGTGATTGATTCCTTCATGGGAACGCACTAGTACTGGTACTGCATTAAAAAAGGAGCTTCCCACTCACTTTTTGCTATGACCTTCTAGTATTGGATGGTTTCTCAACAATCCTAGGACCTACTAGGCTGAAGGACGAATGAATATTCAAATCTCATTTTTGATAAAATGACACTAAATGAGACTGTTGTATCACTACATTGCATTACATTACTACTAAATTTGTAGTATGTCTGTTTGTTTTGTTTGATAATGTGGTAGAGAAGAAGCTGTTGGCGTGTTTTTTGTTGTTGGAATGCCATGTCTTCTCGACGAGCTCCTCCTCTTCGTGTGCTTTGAAACTGCAAAATGGACTGGAAGCATTCATTCCAAAAGCTCCTGATGCGATTTGGATTACCCAACTCCCAACTACACGGCAGCCAGCCTACCATTGAAACTACAGTGTAATACTGTACAGTGATACAGATGGCTGGCAATCCAAAAGAAGAAAGTGAACCCCAAAACATGACTCCACTAAATATAGAGAACGGCTTCCCTTATTCTATTTTAAAACTCAGTGAACTGAGCCTGTTGTGCCGCTGATAGGTGTGGTTTATTGGACGGTGGCTCATTCTCCATGTGCCTGTAAGAATCAAAATGTGAAGCATCCAATGGATCCTTGATGCGGGGTACCCAAGGAGCGGGAATGTGTTTTACCAATAGCTTTTCGACATCAATGACATTGAACCAGTAGTGGTCGCGAACATCCATGTCTCCACGTGCAAGACATCCGAAACGGTTGGCTTGGCGACGCACAATCAAACGCTGGATCAAATCTTGGGCGGGTTCGCTCACCATTCCACCGGGAGGGAATGAATACTTAACTTGAACGATTCGCTTGAAGAGACTGACTTGGTCAGTTCCATACGAGTAGAAAGGTGAGCGACCTACAAGCATTTCGTAGATCAACACACCAAAGGCCCAGTAGTCAACACCCTTGTCGTGACCCTTTGACAAAATAATTTCGGGTGCCAAGTATTCGGGAGTTCCGCACAGTGTGTAGGTCTTGTCCGTGACAACCTTGGCGAAACCAAGATCGACGAGCACACAGTATCCCTTGGAATCAATCAAAATGTTTTCTGGCTTTAGATCACGATAACAGATTCCTCTGTAGTGCAAGTGACTCAAAGATTCCAAGATACAAGCAGCGTAGAAACGAGAGTTACCATTGGGAATACCATCTCTGGTTTCCGTGTGAATAACAGAGAACAGCTCTCCTCCTTGCACCAGTTCGATCAGCATAAAAAGGTGGCGCTCGTCTTGAAATGTAGCAACCAGGTTAACAACAAAGGGGTGATCGATAGAGGCCATGATGTTCTTCTCTCGAATGACACCTTCAACTTGGTGATGGCCAATGATTTCTCGTTTACTCAGTTGTTTCAGAGCATACGGAACACCCGTTCTTTTGTGGCTAACGAGCCAGACTTTACCAAAGGTACCTACACCAAGAATGCGGAACTTGACAAGGTCCTTGTATCGAATATTGTTTTTCAAGCTTGGATTAGACAAGTGTGCCGGTTGTCCAAGTCTTCGAATATCACCAAGGACAGTTTCAATGTCTTTTCTGGATAGAACACCGCACTCCGTGTCGGCTTGAACTGTAATGGTTTGTTTACTGGGTGAACCAGGCTCCAACTTGAGCCAGTTTTCACCGAAGTAGTCAGCATCCATCAGTGTGTTGATTTGGCCACTGGAACTGGCAACCACAACGCGTCCTTCTCGAATAATGTACAGGTTGGGTTCGAATGGTTTGCCTTCTTCTGCGAGAACGGTTCCAGCAGGGAAGGAACGTTCGACAAGCATGTCAGTAAGACGAGCCATTTCGAATGGTTGAAATTGGGAGTTTGCAAAGACTGGAACACCTTCCAATGTTCGCTTCTTCATGGAGTGATCGATGAGTCCTTGAAGCGGACCGAGGACCTTCTCGAAGGTTTCACGCGATAGACAAAGTGTGGTACAGTTGGTAATGGCAGTAACGTTTGCCGATCGAGCATCACCCGTGAGCAAAGCACGCTCCCCGAAATAGTCTCCTTGGCCAACTTCTTGATCAATGTATGTACTATCTCCAAAACCAATGTCGTGGACTTTCACTTTACCTTCCCGCATAATATAAAAGACTTCCCCAACATCTCCCTTGTTGATGATGCGTTCACCTTCTGGGAAGGTTACGGAGGTGAGAGCGTCGGAGATACGAACTAGATTGGATTCATCGAGCTCAGAAAGGAAAGGAACTTTGCGGAGTACATCGTGAATGTCTTTCTGCTGGCTTGCAGTGTTGTTTGCAAGCATGTAACGGAATGTCCGTTGGTCGACCTTCCACAATCGACAAGTGGTATTGGCAAGACAGGTGGCAGCACGAGGACAGTTGTAAAGCAGTGCAAGCTCTCCAAAGGATCCACCACGTCCACAGGCTCCCACATGGTTCCCGTCCACGGCAAAGCTGACATGACCGTCATCTACAACATAAAAGAAGTCCCCAACATCGCCTTGCCTGATAATGATTGTGCCGGCAGGCACTGTCTCCATGATCATAGCATCGATGAGCAATCTACGCTCCTTTGAGGACAGGGAAGCGAAAATAAAGTTATCCACCAGACTTGTATCGATAAACTGGATCGAAGTGTCGGATTTGGCGAAAAAGGGAGTCTCAAAGTGCTCGTTAAGATCAATCTTCTGAGCGAAGATATTCTGTCCACGCTTGGCTCGGCTGTGAGTGTTGATGTCCGCTTCCCTTTTCGTGGACACTTTTGGGTCCACGTTCATATCCTGCGGACTACTATTTCCATTGCTACTTTTATCGGACGGCCTTGTTTGCTGCTGTATTGAGGCAAAAGAGAAAATATTAGTAAGAAGTGGGGCATTAAGATCATTACATCTCGTTCCGGATCATGCTCAAAATCATGCTCATTTTCTTTTTTCATCTTGAAAAAAGTACCAGCATCAGTACTCTCCCGACGTAGAATCGTACGCGCGCATGAATCTTCCCAACCAAATGCCGAGTGCTTGGACTGAATAAAACTTGCCGTTTGTTGTGGTTGAGAACTGGAGGAGTCATCAACACTATCACTACTCCGATTCTTCTTGGAGGATTTCTTCTTGAAGAGAGAAAGCCCCTTCATTGTCTTTTTGCTACACAACTCAAAAAAAAACGATGGCAGTAGGGGGATCTCTTATTCAACAGAATAGGTGCAGCGTCCTTGCCTCCTGCGACATTTTGCCCTGAGCAAAAGTCATTCGGAGAACAAGGCACTGAATTTTTCAGTTCGTGACATGCGTATGTAGATTATTTACCGAGAAGACACACCGGCACAACCTCGTTACTCGTCCGAAATGTTAAATAACGAGCTAAATTTATTTTTGATAGAATGATCTGGCCTTTCGCCTCTATGTTTCGTCATGACCTTCTGTCGCTCGGATGTCGCAAGATTGGATGGCTGGACAAATGACAGTTCTTAATAAGGGGACACACAAGTAGGGGATGATGTGCGTGTCGAATACATTGCCCCCGTTTCACAATTTGAATTTTTTGATTTCATTTCGTCATTCATTCAAACAATCAATCGATCGATAGCAGAAAATCTCACACAATCGATCGTTGATCGTGTTCACCAACCAACACCCCAAAGTCGTCACATACAGCACTATGATGCCATCTCCAAAACACAGTTCACGCAACTTGCAATACATCACCTTTGCAGGTGGATCGCTGTTTGGGTTCGTGCTTTCATCACTACTCTTCTTGTCTCATTTTCATTTCGAGAGCACCATTGGTGCTTCCTGTTCGGGTTTGGATGCGTTGATCACCACTGCCTCCAAGAATCATCATCTGAAGAGACAACGACGAACAACAATACCTTCTACTTCAAACGATGGATGGAAACAAATCAATGTCTTTTACGGGGATCAAAAGCACATTGCCGATGTCACCACACTTCCCAAGCCGTATTTTGAAGTCAATCAATGGTTTTCTCAATACCGACAAGACGAAATTGTGGCCCGCCTTTTGAATTCTAAAAAACAAGGATTCTTTGTCGATTTGGCTAGCAATGATGCGATCCGAATATCCAATACGTACGCATTAGAGACTCAATTGGATTGGAAGGGGATTTGTTTGGAACCCAACCCAGTCTATTGGGGCGGCTTGGCCTATCGCAAGTGTGAAGTTGTGGCGGCAGTGGTGGGGAATCAAACTCTAGAAGAAGTTCATTTTACCTTTCCCAAGGCCAAGGCGCCAAAGGGAGGGATTGTGGGTGGACAATTTGACAACAAGAATGACGATAACAAATTCAATACGATACAACGACGGTATACAGTCACGCTCAAGGAGATATTTCAAACCTTCCAGGCCCCTCGTGTCATTGATTATTTGAGTTTGGATGTGGAAGGGGCGGAAGACTTGGTGCTGTCATCCTTTCCATTTACGGAGTATCGATTCAACGTCTTGACGGTTGAACGGCCCAGTGAGCCATTATCTCAACTCCTCAACGAAAATGGATACAGTCTTCTCAAAACACTCAAGGCGGGCAAAGAAACCTTGTGGATACATGATTCCATTCGGGAAGAAATCGATGTGTCTGCATTGAAAATTGACTCTCAGAACTACAAGTATCGAGAAAGCATGCCATTGGAACGAATAGCTCCAGAAGAAATGAAGAAGGAGTAAAAGTGCGTCGTTGTGCATCATGGCACCCTTGTCGAAGAGGCGCCCGGCATGATCACAAGGATAACATTTGTATATAAAATAAGCTTTTATCTTTTTTATGCTCTTCTTACTTGGGCATTATTTAACTTTACTGTAATGACATCTAGAGCAAGAAAGCTGCGAGAAGTCCAACCATTCCGAGAACAAACTTGGCTCCAGGAGCAGAGTCTTCCTTGGTGTCCTCATCAGCGGCTGGATCAGCAGGAGCGTCGTTCCCTTCTTGTGGTGCATCTGTAAGAGCCTCGCAATCCGTTCCAAGAGGTTCCAGTTGAGTAGCAATGTCAGCGCACACTCCATTGACGGGAACGACATCGTCAACGTGTCTCAAAAAGGACAATTTGTGGAGGACTGCGGGGTTCTCGGTTCCAACAATGGTACAAAAGTCTTGCAAGATCGCATCGGGTTCAGCGAGACGCTGTTCGAACCAACTATTGGGTCCAGCACCGGCAGTGTCGTACACCTCGTTGTTCAAAACCGCTTTCATATTTGCAAAGTCATCCTTAAAGGTTCCATAGACAGTACTCAATACATCAGTAGCTGTATAGATGAAGTGATCAGCATCTTTGCCAAATTCCACAAACTCTTCGGTAGTCATGTAATTGACACCCCAGGATGTGGTTACACTTCCAGCCTCAGTAGTGAGCAAAGTTGCGCCACAAGATTCAGCAAATTCACAGTAGTACTCTGGGCAGGACTTGGCAACGAACCAGCCTCCACAGGATTCACACCAGGATCCCCAGAGGACAGTGGGCTTTTTCTCTTGGTCTGCCGAAAGGATGCCGGCGTTCTGAACGGTACAATCATATCGAGTCTTTGTAGCGTCAAAGATTTCGTTAGCTTCCTTCTCGAGGTTGAAAAAGGCCGAGTAGAATTTGACCCATTCAAAAGTTGCAAGGTTGAAGTTCTCTTCGTAGGCATGAACCTGAACCTCATTCTCGTAAGTTGTGTCACCCCCAGCAAAAAAGACAGTGTTCTCAAGACCACTGTCAGTAAGAAGAGTAGCATTGGTTCCGTCATCCGGTTGGAGTGTAGCAACATCACCATCATCAATCATCTTGCTCAAACATGGTGAGTGAATAAAGCCAAAGCTTCCAACCCAGGCCGCGATGCTTGTGCGTCGGTTCAAGAGCTCGATGAAGGTAACCTGCGGTGTCGAGGAAAGACTGATACCTTGAACTGGCACCGAAAAGATTGCATCGTACTGGTTCTCGTTTTGCGGAGGCTCAGTTCCACATTGGTAAAGGAGGTAAGTCTTGTTGGCCCAAGAGTTGGTGAGAACCTTGTAGGTGTTTTGGTACTCTATGGACCATTGTTCCGATTCAGTTGGTTGCACTTTCTCTGGAAAGTAATCATTGGCTGCATCGACAGAAGTGACACATTGCTGCGAGTTGTTTCCGTTCACAGATGATTGAAGGAGAGCAAGAAGGAGGAGGTGATACGAGAGCTTCATGATATTGTTTTATGAGGGTGCATGTACTTCTTTGGATCTTTTCTCTGGTTGAACCATTGGTTTGAAATTTTGCGGTTCACATAGTTCGCTTTGACATCACCTCGAAGCACGTGTTTCGTCCATTAGTCGGGTTAATCAAAGATTCGTTCGTTAGCGTACCGGTAGATCTAGAAGTACAGTACCGGTATTATAACAGCATTCAAAAAATACTTTTTCGTTTTTTTAAACATTCGATTCCTATCATACTTTATCTACCTAGCTAGGTGTCGTCATATTATATCCTACATTGCAACAGGGTGAGTATTCAAATTCTTAAGCATACAGCTGAAAAAAACGAAAAACAACAAAAGCAAAACTTACTCTCCAAAGTAGTCAGCCTCCGTTACTGTGTGGGAATCAAGCGATTGCAACTCTTTGTAGGTTGCCAAAGACCAGTGCTCCGATGGAATAGTTCCTTCTGCTTGGTCGCAAATCGAACGGGCCGTTACCATCTCTCCTAGACGAAGTTCTTTTGCCAAAGCTGCTTTCTCTTTGGCACTAGTAGCATCCTGTAATCCTTGGATGGCTTCTTCTAAAGATCCCAGGGAAGATGTCATGTCGTTCAATGATTCATGCTCCAATGCCCTCATCGCTGGTAGAACTCGATGGAGGATCACCTTGACCATCACCAGTGCCTCCATCTCGATAATCCCGGCGTAGTGCTCGTAAAGAACGATTTGGCGTGCAGTCAGCTCTTCGGACGAGAACACCCTCATCTTCTCGAAGAAAGACGTGTGTTTCTGAGTGGAAAGCGCTTCAATGGCCTCGAGATCAGAGTGTCCGTCTCCGCTAGAAACAAATACATCACCATTAAAAATCGTCTTCAGCGCTTTCTTCGCAACTTCACCTGGGGTCTCTCCCGCTTCAATTCGACCGGCAAACTCAGAAAACTTGTTTGCGACGATGGAATTCAAAACTGTGTTGGCCATTGAAATATTTTGACCTGACCCAAGACCGCGGAAGTCAAGTCCATTGGCCCTGTATTCGAACAAGGAAGTATTGTTCTGATTTGCCTGTGAAATCTCGAACGGAAGCACTTCGCCAATTCCAAGATCAAGCACTTTGTTGCTTGGTTTGTACGCTGCTATCCAATCGTTGACATAGCCTTGCAAACCTGCAGTCAAGTCGTCCCCAAGACAAGCAGACACAGTGGTCGGTTTTCTGTCTCCAGTGTGAAGCTCATTTCCAGGTGATGACATTGCTATGCGAACTAGATCCCCATATTCAACCAATCCGGAAATGATTGCGGCCATGATAATTGGGAAAGCATCTTCATTTTCGCAGTCTTCTAGAACAGCATTCGGATCGAGTAGATTAAGACCTTCTCGAGTTTTCATGGACCAACGAATGTTCTTACTACTTCCTTTGATCCCTTCGAACGGCTTTTCATGAAGTAGAGCTGCAAGGCCATGTTTTGCCGCAATTTCTTCGATTACCTGCATGACCATGAGGTTTTGGTCGATCCGAGCCGCGGATTTCCCACGGCTGCATATAAGCTTGAACTGATTTGGCCCCGCTTCGCGATGTCTTGTCTTCAGAGGGATCCCCATCGACCAAGTTTCATCTTGAATCTCTTGCAGACAAGCAAGAGCCGAAGTCGCACTAGACAGTGGCGCCAAGTAATGATTTGCAATTTCCTGCGATTTTGCGGCGCCCTTGCCCATTAGCGTTCGTCCTGTATCTTGCAAATCAGGGCGACGATAATAATGATCACGAGGAACCAGGAAAAACTCCTGCTCTATACCAAGATAAGTGTCCAGGCCATTGGAGGCATCTAGGCCAAGGAGAGGCAACAACCTCTTGGCTTCACGTGAAAGGGCTTCGTTCGACCTCAAAAGAGGAGTCTTTTCATCTAGCGCTACGCCGTCTTCACTTACAAAGACTGCAGGTATAAATACAACATCGCCCCGACAGAAAATGGGAGAAGACGTATCAATTGCGAGGATTCCGTTAGCTTTCTGTGAAGTTACAAGACCACCAGTTTGAAGATATGATGCGTCTGCGACTCCCTTGACAAGATCTTTGCCGCTGAAACCTTGCGCAACTTGATTCTTCTCATCAATTGTCATCATGGTACTCTGGACCTGCCCTGTCATTCCGAAACGCACTCCATTCGAGGCCAGTGGTTGAAACAAGTGGCAATAAGTATTTGCACCACGTTCAATCGCCCTGCAGAATAGCGAATCAATGTTTAGCGATCTAGCCTCTTGTCTCCAATTTCGAGATGTAGCACACTTTAAACATACCAATCAAAGACAGCATTGGCAACCGTGTCGGGATCCGCGACGGTCCAGTTGCCGCTGTTCATAAGTTCTTTGCTCGCACCATGCTTTTTTAGGTATTCATCTGCAACTTTTCCTGTGAAGACATCCTTCCCATAGTCATCATATCCAACCAAAGAAGATGCAAAGCGGGATGCTTTTCTCCCTGGTATACGACTTCGGGAGAGGACAGCAAGCATAGTCACAATATCTAAAGTAGTTCTTTTGCAATCTTCGGAATACGAATAAATGCGAGAAGATCGTTGAGCGTACACACGGTCACGTTCACGTGCAATGGCAGCTGAAAATTCGACCACATGGATTACAACACCGTACAGTAGGAAGGCGGAACGATCAGTTTACAGTTCAGTTATTCTTGTGCTACTACATTCACTCGTTGAAGGCTCTTTATCGCCTCCTTCTCAATATTTGTGATGATATCAAATGCAGGTTCAATGGAATCTATTGAAGCAACACCTTTGCCACTGAATACACAGCTGAAATCTGTGTCTTGGGCGGCACTACATTCCTTGAACTCCTTGACGATATTGGACTCTTCTCCACTCTCCAACTCTTTTCTCAAATCGGGTATTTTCTCATCCCAAGCGTCTGTAAACTTATTTCTCAATACTCCAGAGGAATCGAAGGGTGCCGGCCACTTTGTCCCTCGGTAAGAGTTCCAGATGACATCAAATGCTTCAGTTCGAACAACCTGATCTGCGCTCGTTGCAGCTACCATGGCATCTTTGTAGGCTGATGGTCCTTTTGCCTCATTAGAAGCCCATAAGCGTGTTCCCAAAACTACCCCGTCAGCTCCTAGAGCAAGTGCAGCTATTAATCCGCTACCATCGACGATCCCACCCGCGGCCAACACGGGAATTTTCCCTTTCGAAAGCTTTACCAATCGAGAGGTCAGAGACAAGGTTCCACAGCCATGTTCTCGTCGGACGCCATGTCCACCTGCCTCTGTCCCTTGTGCAATTACACAGTCCACGCCTTCTTTAAGAGCCCGGGCACCATCACTTTCACAACCCACTTGTGCGATAACCTTGCATCCATAGGAATGTGCCAGCTGCACAACACTTGTCTTGGTACCATTGTTCTTCATATAACTAATAGCTGGAGCGAATACTTGGATCACACTTGGATTATAATCTTCTAAAACATTTTCAAACAAAGACCATCCCTGTTCGGTAGCAAAGGTGCTGTGGCCAATGAATCCAATGCACAAAGGAAACTCCTCGTTGTTTGACGCCTCCTTGAATATTTCGATTTCTCGTTCTAAACTGTGCAAGGCCTCTTTGCTATTCAGGTGGCCAGCAGCAAGGAATCCCAATCCACCAGCACGGCAAGTTTCAGCCGCCAATTGACCTCCTGAGGGACCTGAATGAAAAGCGTTGAGAATAGGTTCGATATCGAAGAACACTCCAAAACATCAGATACAAGAGGCACCTACCAAGCATCGGAGCACCCATAATTGGGAGCCTACAGGAGAACGTCTTTGTGAATCCTGTGCTCCATTTCATTCTGATGTAGTGAGGTTGATAGCAGTCACTCAGCCCAAGCTTGGGTCGTGATGTACTGCATGATATTGCTAAAAAAGCGTTGAACACGCGTCTGGTGTCCTCATCCTACTTCTTGTTCTTGCTTACTTTAGTCGAACCAGTCAAAGTTTCAAATTTAAATTTTTTCCGTTTGAACTGAATTCCGTTTCTTTCCTTTTTTTGTAAAAAAAACGGTGACGATGGCGACGTTGCGAAGATTTTCGGTCGGAGTTGCCACACTCCTTCTGACACAATTCTCTCATTCTCAAGATAATGCTAATGAAAATGATATCCTTGTAGTCGATTCGCAGAATTCCACGGCTCAGACTCCAGAAAGCGATCAATGTCGTATCTGGGTAGGTATGTCAACAATTCCAGGTGCAGGACTGGGAATGTTCGCAGGAAAAGACTTCGATAAAGGGGAATTATTGCTCCCGGTAGGCGATTTGGTTATACCGATTGTTGATCTGGGAACTCGCCGGAAAATTACCTTCCTTTGGAATGACTACACCTGGGCATCGCACTCTGGATACTATGGGGCAACCAAAATGGCGGCGCATGAAACAGACATGGCTTCTCCCGGCTTTGGAGCTGTAGCCAATGGTTATATGGATTTTCTCAATGTCGATCAGGATGGAGGGTGTGAATACGGTCCCGAAGAATTAGATCGTTTGAGAGATCCGGAAGCTGGGGCTTTCAGTTTGCATCACAGTCGCATGTCCCATGCAGGACGAAAGGTCGCAAAAGGCGAAGAATTATTCAACAACTATGGAAACAAGTGGTAAGTGCAAATGGCATGTAATGCCCTACTGCATATTTGATCTTGCGTCGGTATTCACAGTTGCATGCAAACCAAAGGTTCAAGCAACGACAGTACAAATTGGGTGTCATCCCACTCTGGAAGGATCATAAACGAGCTGAATCGCTTTACAAAAAGTTTTCAGAAAAGCTGCTGTCAAAATATGAAGATTCTAGTCTATCTTCAGTGGTGCAAGATTTGTGGGCCACCTTTGTGACGGACGAAAAGAATACTTGGCAGTCAACCGTCTTCGCTGCTCTTCCTCCAAAAGAAGACTATCAGCAAATGGAAAAGCTTGGCCTCAAGCAATTGAAGCGTTCACAAATGACTCGGTCGCAAGATTGGCTTGACAAACATGCATTGTGTGCCGATAACTTCGAATTTGGAGTGTCTACCATTCCAAAGGCAGGCCATGGCTTGTTTGCGTCCCGCTACTTGTCGGAGGGTTCCGCGATTCTACCTGTCCCACTCATTCATATTCCAGAGAGATCTGTTCTGACAATGCGACAACCCCGGAAACTCATTGATATGGGACACAAACACGAGAAATTCACCCGCCAGCAGCTTCTGTTGAACTACTGCTTGGGGCATGTCGACTCAACTTTGGTTTTGTCTCCATATGGACCAAGCTTCGGCTTGATAAACCACAATCAGACCCGGGCCAACGTGCGACTGCAATGGGCAAAGCCTGAAAGAAGTAATCACTTCCCAGAGGCATTGGAGAAGGATGTTAAATGGTTCACGACTGAAAAAGGTTCAAGACTCGGAATGGAAGTTATCACACTGAGAGATATTGAGCCTGGCGAAGAAATTCTCCTCGACTACGGCGACGACTGGGAAAAGGCATGGCGAGAGCACAAAGCAAAATGGAGACCACTTGAGAAATCACTAAACTATGTGTCTGCCTACGAGATGAATCGACGACAAAATAGCACATTGAAGACAGTCTTTGAAGAAATCAAAGAACCTTATCCTTCAAACATTGTACTCGGTTTTCGAGAAGAATACAATCACACAGGTCCGTGGAGGAATGCAAATGAAACTGGAACTGATAACTTTTTCTTCAAGGAGGGTCTATCGGACATGACAAGTTGTGAGATACTAAGACGTGAAGAAATGAATGGCCAAACGTTGTACGCCGCAGTCTTGGCTGACAGAAATAACACGGACAAAAACGTTCTGCTAGAACATTTACTGCGGGAAGCGTTTGAATTTTCTGATGCTCCGTACACCACAGATGTCTTCCTACGAAACGCTTTCAGGCATGAAATAAGGATACCAGACGACATGTTCCCAGAGGCTTGGAAAAATCTGCGTGAAGCATCTGATTTCCCCCCGCCAAATGTGTAGTGTATGTAATAAGTAGAGGCAACATACGTATCTAAAAGATTACCATTCGTCCATGGGCTGGAATGACAGTAGGCGGAAATGAGGAGTGTTTTTACAAAAAGGGTAGGCAGTAGGCGCTCCATCAAGTAGTTGAATCCAAGAGACTGAATTAGTTCCTTTACTACACGTCAGTCGAATTGGATGACATCAACATCGTTCGACTCAGACACAAAATACAAACCGCAAAACGTTATCACAGTCAACATACAACCAACAGAAAGATGAGAACCATACTGACATTGACAGCTTTTCTTTGCGGCGCATCTGCGTTTGCACCTACACCGTTGCAGAATACCGAAAGATTTGATACAGCCTGCAATTCGCTTTCAGTACCAGGAATGTGGGGTGCTGGTCTGAATTTTGGAAAAGGAGACTTTGCCTTCTACAAAAGTTTTGATGCATTCATGAAACCATTCACCCCTGAAGATCGGGAGGCTTTTCCAGAAATCTTCAACATCCCCAAGGGCATCTACGAAGTCTCGCTTACCAAGCCTCTCGGCATCATTTTTGAAGAGATCGAGATCGGAAATGGGGTCTTCGTCCAAGATTTCGTTGAAGGCGGGCTAGCTGAGCGCCAAGGAAAGATTCAAAAAGGAGATATATTGGTTGCAATCACAGCTGTTAAGATTGTTGGTGCCAAGTATGAGCGACGACTAATTCCTGCACGCAATTTCGATTTCGACACTGTTGTAGGCGCGATTGGCTCAAATGATCAAAAGTGGAGATGTAACGACGTCATCCTCATGTTTGAACGTCCTGGAGAAGCAGATCCTAGTGCTGTGAAGACATTCATGGATTTTTTCGAGCCTCCATTCGATAATCCCTGGTACGTTTATTATTGTTTTGCTTTTTAGAAAGCTGATGAATGTTTCTTTTGGATTATTCTCATCGACACCCTTTTCGCTGCCATTTCTTGCTCCTCCTCGAACGCAAAAACAGGAAACAACAGCAGTGATCAATTGGTGTTCTAGTGCCATCTACCACCACTTTTGGGTACTTTACTAGTTTCATTTCTGCTACGAAATGAAACCGTACTCATCGCATGCTCATAACTTTTGTTTGGCTTTACTACATACAGTAGGTGTCTTTTCTCTTCGTAATTAGTGTGTGGAGTGTGGAGTGTATAGTACCTTACCACTGCCATGTCGTACCGGAACCATGGTTCAACTCGAATGTCGCTGGAAAGACCGAACTCTTGGTCTGTCCGCTCCCCGCCGTGAGCATGTCCGTACACACTGCGCGCGTGTGGACATGTTCCGTCGACTTAAATTTTTTGAGAGAATGGTCACGAATATCGGCGACATAACAAGAAGCCAAGAAAGTTGATGAAGCTATCTCTCATCTGTGGTTGTGCGAGATACTATTACGATGTTTCGTCGAAAGAATAGCGGGTCTCTCCCAATGAACTCGTCCCCCAGAACAGGAGGAGGTTCATTCATGTCTCGGCCAGGCGACGATGGGTCTGGAAAGTCAATCAGAATGGATGCTCCAATTATCAAGTCATGGAAACAAGCCAGTTCCTTCACAAAATACTCCTATTATATCCTCGCTTTCTTTATCTTTCTAATGTTTGTAGGATACCGTTATCTACGATACTGGAATGGTGAGTACTTCGGCAAGAAGCTTCTAATATTGCAACTTCACCTTTGCTAACACAAAATCATTTCAGCTTCGATCTGGTTGACATGTCATCAGCACGAGTGCACTCTGGATATGACTCCAGCTGGCGGAAGATCAATTTCAGTTGTTTTCTCTCGAACACAACTTGATTTTGCCCAAGCGGTTAAGACGGACAAGGCTGGAAACTTCTTGTCGATCGATACTTCAAAGTACGAGCCGCCAAATCGAGATGACAAGGGAAGGAAAAAATACAAGTCTGGCAGTTATAAGGGACCTGACGAGCTTGGTGAATATAAAAGTTATGCTCTGAGCTTCAAAAAAGAAACTCCAGAGGGTGTGGAGAAACCTCCTGAAGTCCCTGATTCCGATTTCAGTGATGTTCTGCAGTACATGAGAGAGTTGGATGGAGGAGTGCTGCAATTAACCATGCGTCAATTCGGATTGGCACAATCTAGGACAAGAGTGCGATCATCCATCAACAAGGTTGATAGCTACGTTAAAAAACGTCGGCAAAAGTTGATAATCAAGGAGTCTGCCACGCTACCATGGCAAGGCATCTTGTGTTTGATCTTTGGTTTACTTGGTTTCATGCTGACCCTTCTTGTCGGTCAGTTCTGGGATGAAAAGCCACATAAGTACGGTGGGCCAGGATCGAGACGGTCTGTAACGAAACCGACAACAAAATCAAACTTTGTGGTTGACACAGGTCGACCTTCCAAGTACCCGCCTGGATATCAGTCAAAACGATTCCAATAGTTTGCAGCCAAGGGGCGTGCTGCTTGTCTGAAGTGTTGTAGTACGATTGTTGAAGCAAAAAATCCAAGAGATAGTGTGACAACGAAGATTTATAAATTACAGCTTCTCAAGCACTTGCAGTGACAATTGGCCTCTTTCTTCATCAACGCCTTCTATTCTAACTCGGACTCTGTCGCCAGAATTGACGCCAGAAAGCTCTTCGCTCATAGCTGCAATTCCAACTGGTAGTCCCTCGATGTCTGGTTCGACGTAAACCCAGTCTCCAGTTTTTGAAGCCGCTTTCACAGTACCTTCGCACTCGCTCCCTTCCGATTCATAGATCAGTCTGAGCCCCCCTCCTAGACTCTTCTTCAACTTCTTGAGCCTCTTGGAAGCGTCATTTTCCTTCTTCATGTCTTTGGCTTTTCGTCCTTGCACCGCGGGATTTGTCGTAACCGCAAATTGTCCAGATTGCTTGGAAACAGTGCGAACGTACACGTCTACAACGTCGCCGACTTTCAGATGCTTCGAAACTATGCGGGTCTTTGGTTCCTCGGCAGCCTGATGGTTCATGATTTTAAACTTTCGGTTCTTCGAAGGTTTCTCCTTCACCATTTTGGAGCCGAATCCCTTTGGGGCTTCCTCTCCATCGTCTTCGTTGAGTAGGATTGGTTTACCGGTATCTGGGTCAGTGAACAGGATCGATCCGTCGTCGTTGACTTCAAAGTTATTGGAGATGTCTTCTTCCTCTTCTCCTTCTTCGAAGGTTCCCTCTTCAAATGTCGACGAGTCTCTTAACGCCAAAAGTTGCTCTGCAATACCAGCTTCATCCTCTTCGTCAAAGTCTTCTTCTTCGTCAAAATCCAAGTCCTCAAGAGAAGCCGCAATGACAGATTCCGAGTCATCTTCATAATCATCATCATCATCGTTGTCATCGAAATCCTTAATGAGCCACTTGCTCTTTTTTGCCACACTTGGATCGGATTCGAAAGAATCTTTGAATTGAAGCGTGCCTAGAACGTTCACCATACCCGCTTGTGAGACTTCCCGTCCAACTTGCATATCGACCAATGCTCTGCCTGGAAGCATTTGTACAACCTTTGCCTGGTACGGGCCCTGACCAACTTTGAGCTCATTGAACATACACTTGGGGTCCTCGATTGGCATGAATCTTCTATCTGTTTTCATCTTCAAGTTATCCCGAGTTCCGCGAGGATTCAACGAAAGTGTGAGTAGCGGCGAACCGCCATCTCCCATGGCATCATAGTCGAAAACAACTGCAGGGTGAATGCTTCCTTCTTCCACACGACCACTGTCAACATCATCTTTTTGCGAGACACGAAGTGCTGCTGAAAGTGGAAGAAAACCGTACTCTTTGTCCTCCTTTCGGGCTCTCAAATACCCGGTGTGAGTCATGGTGTCCTCGTCTCCGTGATCCCCTTTCTTTGGAAGCCGGAACTGAAGAACTGGTGTCTTTGCTGTTCTTTGGTGGGCTTTCGACTTTGAGATTGGAGCCTTTAAAAACAATTGGTCGTCCTTCTCCACGAGACGTACTCCATAGGACTCTTGAGTCTTCTTGTTGAAAAGGTCCTTGATCATTTCGTTGTTTGACGAATATGAAAGTGCATCTGCTTGGTTCTGCGCGCAAGATTAGAAAACAGAAGCTTGACATTGATTTTTCATCCAACAAATGAATAAACCTACCTGGAGGGAAGACTTCAAAAATGTACGATACCTGTTTGCCATGTCGCTGGCAGAAATTTCAATTCCATCCTTCTTGCTCAATCCAAACTTTTCAAGGAGGTAAATCATATTCCACCGAACCATTGATTGCCGATCAACATTCAAGACACTGCAAGGGACGAGGAGAGGCGATCCTGATCTCCTTCTCTTCTTCCATGCTTTTCTGGCTAGAGCAATGTCACCAACCTGAATTTTCATAACTGTTCCTTGTGACAAGGCACCGTACTCTGGTTTCTGAATGGGTGGACCACCCTTTGAGACTTCTGGCTCTTCCTTTGACTCTTCCTTTGTTTGAGTGACCGAGAAATATTCTCCTTTGTCTACGGGGGTGGTACTCTCTGTTGTGTCTGATTCGTCATCAATGGTATATTCTGGATGGGGCAAGTTCTTATTGACACCCAAGAGAGCAGTATTTCTCACAAGCGATGGGCTGTGAACAAAGGACAAAGATTGCTGAGAAATCTCTGCCACAATAAAAATTGCAAAAAAGGAAATATAGTTTCGCATCGTGATGATGATGATCGTTATGATCTTGTTTGTTTTCTTCTGTAGCTCTACTGTTTTCTTCGCTTTTGGTGGTTCTGATTGATTTTGATGGGTTTTGATGGCTGCGTCGATTTCTTCGAATGAATGAAACATTTCCGTATGATGGACAGACATCTAGGCCTTTCGGAAACGACGTGGTGCAATTCAGGTGGTGAACTGTTTTTATACATAATGTTGTTGTCAAGATGTCTTCTGACCTCATCCCATTTTGGTGGGATCGATGATGATTTCTTCTTCATGTCTTTGTCACAAAAAAAGACAACTACAGAAAAAGAAACATCCACAAGACTACCATGATGTATTCCATGTTTGCAATCTCTCTTTTAATAACAGTGTGCATCCTGGCTTCACAAGCTACAGCATTCCAGGCATCCAATCATGTCTCCTCTTCGAAACAACAAAGCATTCGACCTTCCAGCAGTAGTAGCAGCAGCCTCATCGTTCTTCCGGCAGCATCATGCGACGTTGTGGAGCTGCAAGACTCAAACTTTCGAGGCTACTTTTCCAGTGAGACTCCCATACTGATTGATGCCTGTGCCGAGTTCTGTGGACCATGTAAGCTTATTGAGCCACTCATAAATCAGTGTGCATTGGAACGTAAGGATAGCTTGGTGGTAAGTCGATACGACGTGGAATCCGACAGCAACGAAATCAAGCTCGAATTGTTATTGCAACGAGTCATGCCAAAAGCGCTACCCTCCTTGATTTTGATTCAAAACAATAAGATATTGGGAACCAAGACTGGACTGCTGAGTGCGGATGCCTTGAATGAATTTTTGGATTCGAGCCTCAAGTCATCTATTTCAAAAGGAGGAATCGATCAAGAGAACGATGACAAGGCAAGACGTATCAAACGTAAGGGACTAATCAGTTTTACGTATATGACAGACGATTATATGCTCAAGGGTGATCAATTGTAATTATTATCATGACACACAGGGCTGTTAAAAGGCTATGTATAAAAACGAAAAACGGCTTGAGAGGAACTTGACAATGGCAAAACATATTACAAATCGATTGGAGGCTGTCCATGATACTCAGACATAAAGATTGTAAATACTGTATATATACGTATATCACGCAACGCCATCCAGAAGACGACTATGGAATTCCACTGCATATTTTGGTACGATTCATTTGCTTCATGAGATGATTCGCATTTGTTGTAGGTAGGTATATTGAATATATTACGACTAAAGCTAAACAAAATGGCTATCATCATTTCAAAATGTATAATATCATAGAATGGATGAGTGAATTATCCATCCCATTAGTTATTCTCGCTTGGTTCCAGTCGCCGCTTCTGCCACCTTGAGTAACAATCCTGACAGACCTTGTGGAATAATGAGATTCTTGGCTTCCTCAATGCTTGCCAACTCCTCTTGATACGCCTGATCGAATTTCCATTTGGCAGCACCCTCTTTGATCAATCCTAGGTAGGAGGAACTAGGTGGAATGTTTCGTTCTCCCAAATTGGGCGATATCAAGACATAGGTGTCTGTTGTTCTTTGACTACTACTAGCTGCAGCAGCATCATTAGCACTCTCCATGGCCTCCTTTCCAGCCTCTTTGCCATTGCCGACATAGGGATACACTTGACATTTTTGCCATCGGTACGCAAAGGGAACTCCTTCGGTCCTTCCCACCTTGGCAAAATCCTCCGCCGACAAGGTATACAACACGCCGTGCACCTGTTTTCCTGTTGCAGCATTCACAAAGGCCGCCGAGGGTTCCACCAGCCTTGAGGATTCCGACCCGTCAAATCGCAATTCGTAGTCGGGCAAGACTGCCGCGGTAGCATCCAATGGTTGAATCTGGCGCAAAGCCTTCATGGTGGAAACCAAGACGTTGGAACCATATCCAAAATATCGGTAGGTCTTGTTCTTCTTTGATGACGAGGACGAGGATGACAAGGCACTGCCAAAGAAAGTCATGTTAACCAATATCAGAATGATGAGAAGGACGCTGATTGTGGACATGGTGGTGGGGTTATTAGAGCGGTGGTCGATTATTATATGACGAGTTCATGCTTCATCTCTTTCATGTGGATGGTGGTTGAAAGAAGTGATGATGGAGTTTTGATTGCTGACTCATTTCCCCCTTCCATGTTCCCTTTTTCAATTCCCCAAACGTTCAACTTCCCCCATTTCTGACAGGCGGGTGCAATCATAAAATGGAGTGACGTTGCCTCTGTGAGACGGGAGTTTCAGAGAATTTGCGGGATCAACCCGGAGTTCGTGTTTGAAGTTGGTGACGACGCAAATGAAAAATCCAAAATCATCATCCACTTTTTCTCCTTTCCCAAAATGAGTGTTTTGATTGGTGAATTCGAATCCATTGGATCGAATTCAAAAGTGGAACTCACATTTTCTACCACGTAACTGGTTCAAGCAAATTGGAGAAAACAGGAACTGCGCTGGCAACGGACTTTGTTTTCTGTAAACGTGTGTGCAGCTTGCGGAAGTTTTAGTTTTGTATCCTTAAAACAAGATCACAATTTAATATATTCAAAATGGGAAAAGGAGGAGACGCAGGAGTCAAGGCCAACAGTGCCGCCACTGCCAAGCTCGAAAAGTACACATGGAGTGAGGTGAAGAAGCACGCCCAACCCGCCGATGCTTGGATGGTCTACAACAACAAGGTCTACGACGTCTCCAACTGGCACGAACACCCAGGAGGTGCCGTCATTTTCACCCACGCTGGTGATGACATGACCGACATCTTTGCTGCCTTTCACGCTGCTGGTTCCCACAACATGATGAAGAAGTTTCTCATTGGAGACCTCATTGTCGAAAGTGTGGAACACAAGGACCAAAAGCAACGCGACTTTGAAAAGGCCTACCGTGAATTGCGATCCAAGTTGGTCATGATGGGAATGTTCAAGTCTAACATTGGCTTTTACATTTACAAGCAAGTCTCGCAAATCTCGATGTGGGCTGCTGCCATGGCCATGATGTGGTACTCGGAAAACCCACTGGTGCACTTTGCATCTGCCATGTTGATGGGGCTTTTTTTCCAACAATGCGGATGGTTGGCTCACGACTTTCTTCACCACCAAGTCTTCAAGAACCGCCGTTACGGAGACTACGCTGGACTCTTCTGGGGAAACCTCATGCAAGGTTTCTCTGTTCAATGGTGGAAGAACAAGCACAACGGGCACCACGCCGTCCCCAACCTTCACAACTCTTCTGCTTTGGCCACCGATGGTGATCCAGATATCGACACCATGCCTCTTCTTGCCTGGTCTGTCACCCAAGCTCAGCAATACCGTGAATTGCAAGCGGATGGCAAGGATTCGGCATTTGTCAAGTTCATGATCAAGAACCAACACATCTTTTACTTCCCCATCCTTCTGCTCGCCCGTCTCTCTTGGTTGAACGAGTCCTTCAAGACTTCCTTTGGACTGGGAGCCGCCTCTGAGAACGCTGCCATTGAATTGAAGCTCAAGGGTCTTCAATATCCCATCACTGAAAAGTCCTTTATCACCATGCACCACATCTGGATGTTTGCCTATGCATGTGGTTTCGGACGATTCTCTTTCCTTTATTCAGCTGCCCTTTACCTTACTGTCACTGCATCCTCTGGCTTTTACCTAGCCATTGTCTTTGGATTGGGACACAACGGTATGGCCACCTACGATGCCGACAAGCGACCCGACTTTTGGAAGTTGCAAGTCACCACCACCCGTAACATTACCGGTGGACACGGAATCCCACAATTCTTTGTGGACTGGTTCTGCGGTGGACTTCAATACCAAGTGGATCACCACTTGTTGCCTGGTATTCCTCGCCACAACTTGCGAAAGACTCATGAATTTGTTGAGTCCTTTTGCAAGGAATGGAACGTCCAATACCACGAGGCTGACATGTACGACGGAACCATTGAGGTTTTGGAGTGCCTCAAGACTGTTGGATCCGAATTTGTCATTGACTTTGTCAAGGATGGACCTACCATGTAAAATGAATGGAAATCAAAATGATTTATACCTATTTCATTACAGAATACCTTTTTAAAAAACAAAAAAACAAATAGAAGACAGCTAGTATATATATGAATTCTACATTCTGCAGTACGTGTCTTGTGGGGCACATTATAGTTTAACACGGCTTGTATGCACCGAGCACCGACAGGCATCTCCATCCAATCATTGCATATTATTCTTCCATGCTTCTGGAAACATTTCGTCCGGTATTCGGATATCGTGCCGAAAGGCATTCGGCAAGAACAAGTCTTCGGTATGTGGCCGGTCTTGGAATTCAAAGGCTTCTCTTGGAAGGTTTTCCAATAATACCATCTCCTCCGCTCCTTCTCCTCCAATTCCAAGGACTGCGGTATACACGGTGCGTTTGTACAATGGTTTGGCACTCAATATTTCACACGTATGTTTGTTGGAATCTCCCGTGGAAAATTTCACATTCTTGTGTCCAATTTCCTTGGTGTCTCGGTAGGGTCCCATGTTGTGTTCATAACTCTCCTTAAAGACAATGGCAAGGTTGCTTGGATACGGATCGTAGATTTGTTCAAACTCGGTCCGCAATCGCTCGGGTCGTTTGTTCATTTCGGCCGCCGAAACGTAGTCGTGGGCATCTGGAACAGGATTCCAAGTTTGGACATGGTTTTGCCAGGCAGCTTCCCATTCCTCGCCATAATCCAACAGGATCTCTTCGTCTGGTTCAATGTCACGGAGCGCGACAACTTCCATGGCCAATTTGGCACTCTTGATATCGGAAAAGTAGGATGGATCCTTTTCCAACATTTCTGGAAAGTGATTGCTGCGTTTCGGAAGCGCCCATTGCAATTTGACATTGACCCGTGTTTGATTGTGATTGATGAGGTTGAAGGCTGGCCCATAAGGTGACAGCAGCATTGTGCTGTTGGCATGCCCCAGGCAGTAGTTGACCAGCAATTGTTGGCCCTTTTCTGGTATTGATGTCTTGTTCTGTCGATTCTTTTCCCTCACACCAGAAGGGTGATACATTTCCAAGATGGATCGATCCGGAATGTGAATGAGTGGTACTGGCAGGATGGCGGTACCAGCTTTTAATTTTCGCTTGGCAAAGGCACCATGACCAGCTTTGGGAATGGACGAGACGCCAAAGTAAAAATTATCGGCACATACCGCATGTTCTTCCAACCATTCTTGGGATCGGACCATCTTTCGTCGTTTGAGTTCAATCAGTCCAATCTGTTCCATCAAATCATACTCGTCCTTTTCTGGAAGTGCAGCCAACAGGGACGACTCCCATGGGTTGAACTCTGGGTCGCCCACAAAAATGTGCCACATTTCTTCCAGTATTGCCTTGAGTTTGGGTCGCCGATTTAGCAGTTTGTGTTGAAAAATGACATGCAAATTCTCCGCCTTGACGTGATCCTTGGTAATCGGTACTGGTCCAATCAACTTTTTGCGTCCTTTGAACCTTTTGGTGCAATACATATATGTGTATATATGTATGTATATATGCGAGGAGTATCAAAATACGAGCAGCAACGAATGGAAAGGTTTGTTGAAGCATTGATTTTTTAAATATGAAAAACATCTAATTCAAACGACAACCCGATTAGGTACGTACCATTTGTCTCCATAGGATACAAAGAGTTCTTGTCCCGCTCGTATATGATCGTTTGCAAAGGAACCCCGACTGTGATGATATGTAAAGGCCCCTGCTTCCGGATCCCTAGATCTATGAATATTGTCTGGTACTGTGTACTTGGCCGTGTCTTCTTCCTTAACATTGACAAAATCCATAAAGGAATTGGCCGCTGCCCCAAAGCCCGCGGACGCCACTTCTACAGCATCCATTCCCATTCTGCTCATGCCAAAGTAATCCGCATTCCAAGTATACTCGGTCCACAAGAAGGAAACCTCCGACCGATCAATGTCCTTTGGATTTTGAAACTTGGAACTGATATCGACAATCGGAATGATATGATCTCCGTAATCCAGCAGAGTCTCTCCCTTTCGAAAGTCTTTACCTGCAAACATTCCAATTCCAGTTCCGGGAAGTGTCGATAATCCAACCCACACGCCGCATTCCATGTTTTCATCATTGGTGCAAGTTTCCGAGTCGTCATTGCCGCAGGAGGAACCGTCCGATGATGCTTCTACTCTTTGTAATGATTGCAATATGAATATTACATGTAGAAATATCCCTATCCTGCGAGAACATAGACTTGTCATTGTTGGAAATATCAATCAGTGAGGGTACAATAATAGGGCCATGGTTGTTGTCATTTGAAGATGCGTTTTGTCGAAAATTTCAGAAGGAGCTAAACAATGTCTTAATTAATAAAATATTTTAAAAAGGGGGAAAGATTGCGGGGCATGGAAATAAGTCTCATCGACATCATGCTCACTCAACACCCTGACGCGTCTCAACTCCAACAACAGCGCTTGCATTTGGTTGACAGGACCATGCAAAGACTGGCTCTGAGTCTTTTATCCTTCTCTCGTCTAATTCCTTCTCTCACTTGCCTCACTGTCATTCAATATCACACTCCTACACGACCTGTGCATTTATCATCGTTTGCCACCAAGTTGACGTCTCACAACAGCCTCTTCGATATGACAAGCACAGATTCCATCGGCGGTTTTCGTTCCACCAGTGATACTACTGCTGATAATGATGCTCAAATGGAAGAAACTCTTTTTGGTTTGTTCGGTTGTGTCGCGGACAAACCAGACATTCAGAACGCGTTGAATGTCTTGCAATCGGTCCTTGCTGCTCCTGCTGCAGCTGTCTCTACCGATGATACTGAAATGGAAGTGGAACAAAACTCTACTGCGGAACCCAATCAAAATGCAGAGCGACGCTTTGCCCAACACGCCATTTTGGTGGCCGAATCCATGTGTGACATTGTCAATGATATGAATCTGCACAAGAAGGAACGATGGCAAGCCTTGCAGAAACGCGCTGAATTTTTGCAAAGTGATGTCTCGGAAGCTAATGCACTTGCCGTTTCCATGGTCTTTGGAGCGCTCTCCTTATTTCCACCCGAAACTGCTACTACTGCAGGTAGCAACAGCAACAACAACAAAAAGAGCAAGAACAAGAACAACCAAAACGACGAAGCCCAAAGTGGCCCAAAGGCAGCTGCTTCCGCCATGTCTTCCACTACCTCCCGCAACAAAAACTTTCGACACAAGGGACGAATTATCGCCAACAATGTTTTAAAATCATTCTTGGTACACTCGAGCTGTAGCGATACCATCAATCTTACTATTTTGACACACTTTGCCAAGGCCTTTAAGATCAACCACGAACAAGATCCTCAGTATTCCGAGTTGGCGGCCAATGCCATTCGATACTCCTTGCGGCATGATTTAGTAGAGGACGGTAGCACAGCCACTACCATTCTTGTCGATCCAGCCAATGATGCTTCCGAGGATGTGAAAAAACAACGAGTCTCTTCCGCGCTGGCGTTGGCCTGCCAAATGGGACCTTGGCCCATGTTGTCACCTGTTCCACTCATTGATATTGCCATTGAACTGGATTATTGGCATACAGCCGAACAAGTCTGTATCAGTGCCTACAAGGCGGCCTCTTCCAATGTACAAGTGCCCATTGCAGGAGCCATTCAATACAACCAACAAGAGCGATTGGAGGAAGTCCTAAAAGCCACGGAAGCCTTGATTGAGACTGCCATGGATGCACGGCTGTTTCGATTGGCCGACAACATGGCCACCAAGTTGTACGAACAAGGAGGACGATCGAAATATGTAGAAGCAAGACTCTATCATGCCTTTGATACCATTACCAAGGTCGTCTACAAGCGACAATTGCCCATTATTGAACGCCAGGTGGATCGAGTGGACAAGGCGGTTGAGAAATTAAAGAGTGACATGGCCAAAGAGAGCAATGACGAGCAAGTAGTACTCGATGAACAGCAAGTACTGTTGTTGTCAGATGAAACAGATTCTGCTCGCAAGCAAATCAGAAGGTTTGCCTTGAACAAACTTACCGAGGCAGGTGAAGGCGTCGCTGCACATCGATTGGCATCGCTATGGTCCATGGATTATGTCTACGATGAAGAAGCTATACTAGTTGCTGCTGCCGAACGACGGAAACGATATCTACAATGGGACGAGTGTTTGGCTGGAGCAGGAATTCCCAACCTCTTGTCGGAACCACAAGAGTTACGGACAGCCTTTGATCGGATTCGGAACGATGCTGTCTTTGGGATTGATGCCGAGTGGGACGAGGAAACGATTGGGGCTGGACTCTTTCAATTTTCTGGTCGCAATGAAGTGCTCTTGATTGACATTCCTGCCTTGTCATCGACCGAAGAAGGAGTCAAGGCTTTATCCGAGACGGTAGGTGCTTTGATGAATTCCTCGGAGGCAACGGTCGTGGGTTTTTCTCCACGACAAGATTTGTCACGGCTTCGAGTCAGCAAATGTGTTTCCACTAATCATTGGCTTTCGGGGACTAGAGCCGTGGTAGATGCTCAGCGAATAGCTGGAGAAAAGGAGCCCAAGCTTCGCAAATTGGGCCTGGCTCGAGTCTCCCAGCACTACCTCGGGAAACCATTGGACAAGGCAGAACAGTGCAGCATGTGGTCCTCTCGTCCACTTTCGGAGAGTCAACGGATATATGCTGCCCTCGATGCGTGGACGTGCGTTGCAATTTATGAGAAAATCTATCCAAAGCGCCAATAACATGGCTTTCATGGGCGTTTGCAAAGTCATTTTTAAATTTGATAGCGCTCAATTTTGATGCTAGGACTAGTACTGCTATTGTTTTATTTGTTTCTTCCGATTGTAGCTTAGACATTCATGATGGAGTCCGTCTTCTTATCCACCAAGCTCTTCAGCGAGTCCATTGCGGACTCTGTCACACTTTCAATTTCTTTTGCATTAGCAAAGGCGTCATCCTTAGAGACACCCGGAATCTTTCCATCCTTGCCCTTTTTCACCTTATCCATTGCCTTGCGACGGACTTGACGAATGCGTTGACGGCAGGCTTCTGATCGTTTGTTGAGTTGTTTTGCAGTTTGTTCTCTCACTTCTAAAGACATGCGGGGGAGTGGTACCTTGATGTTGCCCCCCTCTTCCACTTGTGGATTCAGTTCCAAGGCAAGTTGAACGGCTTTGGCCGCGTTCTTGGCAATCATTGGATCGAAACAGGTAATTTGTGCCAAGGTGGGTGAGACAATGACAACTTGTCCTATCGCCTTGAGTGGAGTCATAGAACCATACGCATCTACCATCAAGTCGTCGAAGATTTCGGGAGAGGGTTCGGCACCTCGGATACTCTTCAAGGCTTCTTCAAACCTGCCTACGACATTCATCATGCGTCGCTTGACATCCGACGGATCGGGGAGGGTGATTTCAACCTCGCCGTCTTCACCAATTACCTCTTCCTCTTCCATGTCCTCGTCATCATCAAAGTCAAAGTCATCATCGTCGTCGTCGTCTTCTAATTCTTCCTGTGCAGGTGCAGCCGCTTTGCCCTTCTTTTTGTTTGCCTTTCGTTCCTTTTTCTTTTTGCGCTTTTCTTCAGCAGCCTCTCGTTCGGGTTCGTGGGCCAATTCATCAAGTGTTTCCAGATGATGCCCCATTTTGGACGCGTGTTTGAATCTTCTGGCACCAATGATGGTTGATTGAGGGCCATGGAAAGCAAGGTTCAATGGCGATGACGTCAACTGAGTTGTTGGAATGTTGGAAGCAAAATTACCATTGTTGGCAATGCAAGACAAGCTACGAGAGGCAGAGTTTTCAAATACAGAAAGTCTTCTCTTTAGAAGTGTATCTAGGATGAGCCGTCGACTTGTCATCTTGTTATTGTAAGCAGTTGAATGAATGAATGAATGATGTCAGTTGTGAGGATGATGTGTGACATGAAGAACATCTTGGGTTCGTATCCAAAGAATGAAGGACGGACAAAATACAGACGAATTCTTTTAAAATTCATTCTGAGTTTTAGAAAACGCAATGTTGCCACATTGAATGAGTATGGTGAAGATAGGCTTATGATGAAGTAGCTCACTATCATGAAAGATTATTCTTATTCAGTAACGTGTATAGGACTTCGGAGACCTGATGTTACAAAAATTATATTTACATGCATAGCTATTATTATTGAGTGGTAGATTTCTTTCCACCGTCCTCCCAGGCAAAGATATCTTCCACCAGTTCTTTGGCAACGGCATCCACCACTGGCCTTCCTCCCCTGTTCATTAACGTGCTCATGCGAGTCCTAGAAAACGCAACAATCATATTGTGCCCCAGTGGCCAAGAGAATCGATTGTCGTTGTTCTGTGCCACTGCCGAGGCCAAGTCTCTGGAGGACAATGTCGTTCGTTGCCGTTTGAGCGAATGGATGCATCTGGACGACGACGACGCCGACTCGTCTTCGGTCTCCTTGGATAATTCTTTCCGCTTCTTGATAAAACCCTTTGGGATTTCAACTGTGGGGAGTTCACTGCGTATGTCAATAAAGACTTTCTTCCAACCCAACTGGTCGAGACATTCCGACATGTGATGGAATTCATCCTTGTGTTTCTTGCCATCATAATCGGTTTGCATGCTATCGGATCTTTCGTCTTGGTTATCCTCCAGTGTTCGTGTATATAGAGAGGCAACAAACAGCTTTTTCTTGGCCCGTTCTGGACTGTTGCCTCTCGCAGGTGATCTCTTTCTGCTTTGGCTTTTCGGTGTCCTTTCTGGTTCCACAATTAACGAGTCGTCCTCAAAATAGTGAGGATAAGTAGAATTTTCACTCAGAAAGGCCGCAGTGGCAGTAGGAACTGGGAAGTCTGTGTTGAATGCATTGGCATAGGCGATCCTCTTTCTGAAATTGGCAAGTGGCCGAAGATATGTCGGACACGTGGCCATCTTGTGCAACAGATCATTCATTCGAAATAGATCCTTTCCAGTGTCCTTCATGATTGTCGCAACAGCGATTTCGCCAGTTCTTGGAATTGGCAGAAATGTGTGCTTGGAAACGCCTAAATGAGGGGTCGCTGTCGTGCAAAAGACATTGAGGTGTAACCTGTATCTTCCATCCAACATCCAACAGGAATCACCACCTTTGCCATTGCCATCTTTGATACAGTGTCGCTCCACAAGCTTAGCTATGGCGTATCGACCATAGAGACCACCCAACGAGTTTCCAAGAATGGAAATGGTGATATCAAAGACGTCTTTGGAGTTAGGGTGTCGTTTCTTCATTTCACCTTCGATTACTTGGCGCATTTCTTCCACTAGTCTATCACCTCCATTCTGGATGCCATCCTCAGTCTTGTGCTCATTGGACACGGTATTGTGGACTAACATGTCATGTTTCACTGGGTCTGAATCCGTTCCTGAGATTTTATTGTTTTTGCTGCGAGAAGGACTGGCCACACGAGACATTCGTTTCTTTTTGGTTCCAGCAATTCTCTCCATAACTGTGTGCATGTACGCCAAATCTTTGCTCTGACCCCTATGACCATGCATCAAAAAGAGAAAGTGTGTCACATCTGGAGAGTGAACGGTACCTGACAACCCGTCAGGATCTTGAAGGTCCAATTGAAAGGGGGGCGACAAATCGTTGTTCAAATCGTTAAGAAATTCTGTAGTTGAGCGAAACGACTTGCGGATCGACTCTGCGTTCGCCATTTCTTTAAATTTTTCAGTGTCTAGCTTTCGTCGAAGCATACCACTGAAGGCATTAGCCGAACCCAGTGTGAGTGATAAGCTGATGCAAATCAACCACAGTATGGAAACGATCATCATGAATCGAACGAATGACTCGAAATATCCTATTTCTTCGATACTTGGAAAGGCAGTGATATGCGGCGATTGTAATAATTTGTTAAACAGATCCTTCAAGAGCATACTACGCCGGTAACGCTATGAGTTCTGATCCTATTCCCATCCACTAAAAGAGCTGACACGATTCTATTGCAAGATTGAACTGCAGAATTCGATTTGCTTATTTTCAGAGTTGCGAAGTTCGATTTTCTGCAACTTCTCAAAGGGCGAAAAGCGGATAACGGCACTTGCAATGACAATGTGAATCAAATGAGGATGAGATCGTGGATGTCAACTGTAAATAATTTGAAGTTTGAATGTTAAAATAGCGGTGTCATGTCGTGCATGACGTAAACAAAGAAACAAACGAACCCGGAAAAATGCATTTTTCGACTCAGTAGACCACATGGATCTTCGATGTCAAATGCCAACCATTCACTCATCCCAGTCGTCAAACAGAACAACAACAGAAACGACAATGGGAAAGAAACGACAACGGAAAGGAGACACCAAAACAACCGCAAAGATCAAGAGTGCGAACACTCCTCCCCATTCTTTCCAAAGTGTAGAATCGAAGCCTTCAAATCCCCAATATCCACTCCCATTTCCAAAGAACCTACCAATACCATCTGACGATTTTCTGAAGAATGCGAAGCCGTACAAGGAATCCTTTCGACAAGCATTAGAGACATCGTATGAAGGTTTTGTTGTTGATGAGTCGATATATGATGAGCAACGTGCTCAAAACTATCTTCAGCAGATGCTGGACGACAAATTGTTTCGACGGGATGTGACACAACCCTTTGGACTCGGAACGAAATGTGCCAAGACATATGTCACAAGGTGCGTCCTTGGAGAACAAGGGACAACCTATAAATACCTAGGATTAAGAATGTTCGCTCATCCCTGGGACAATACAGAGATCCAAAAACTAGGGGCAAAACTGACACAACGAACACAACACCACCTAAAGGAGCTCAGCGAGCTTCGAGCTCAACGGAATGCCCCGGCAACACGAGGAAGATCCAACTTTGATATCTGTCTCATCAATCGAATGGAAGCCTACGATGACCTGAAGCCTGAACCCACCATGGGGAATATGAAAGCATCCGTTAGCTGGCATGCTGACTCCTCGCTGGAGCAATACTCTACGATTGCTGTCTACCAAACACTGATACCGCCAAAGAATTCAACATCAAATAATGATGGCCAGTGGTATGTGGCTTTGAGAGTGGCCCACGACTCGGAGGGTCCTCAGGCTTCAAGACGAGGGAAGGGCATAGAATCATCAATCATCAAGGAGACACCTCCCATAGCAGCTTCCCTTCCTTCAGGTTCTGCATACTATCTGTTGGATGACTTTAATCATCACCATCAACACACTGTACTAACTACTGGAGACATCGCTTCGGCTGGAGTTCGCTATTCTTGCACCTTTCGATTACTCCGAGATTCTCATAATGTGGATTATCACTTGCTTCGATGTCAAACAACATGTAGCAATTTCCACAAGAAGGGAAGCAAGCTTTGGAGATCGGAACAACTGTTGTTGACTGAGCTGGAGTCGGAATGGATCCGTCAGTTCTACATTCAAGGCTCCCAACATCTCGAACTCCTTTGGCCTGTAAGTCTCTGTTGAATCTTACTTCTTGCTGACAAAACATATTGAACTCACACCTGTATCATCAAACTACCATAGGCATGGAAGGAACCAATGCAGAAGCTGCTCCGATTTTGGACCCTTTTGGAGAATCGAACACGTCAAGTCGTAACTCTCTTGAAAGCAGCAGCGGAAGAAAGGTGTGGAGTTGGAACTTATTCCGATAGAAATGACGACAAACCTTCGAGAAAAGAGCGGAAAGCAAAGGAACGCCGAAAGAAAGCATTGGCGTGCATTGAAGATTTGTTGACGCGGAGCTCGTTGGATGAGCATAGCGCTCTGGAGAACATCTACGAGCCTCTTGCGGAGGTAATAAACGAACGAGCTGTGATGAGAGAACTTTGGCAAAAGCGGGAAAAGGATCATGTGTTTCGAGAACTCGGACCTGAGTGTCGGCCGATGGATGTGCCGTTCCAATTCAATGTTCCAGAAGGGACGAAACAAGTCGATGAATATGGAATGTCCCCAATAGATGGCACGCCGAATGGTTTGAAACAGATCAGCGAAGACCTGCGAGTAGCTGGACGTGCCTATCTGCCTCGAAAAGCGAGCGACCTACCAAAGCCAGAAGAAAACCAAGACAGCGAAAGCACAAAGGAGTCGAACGACCATGCCAAGGGATTGGACTGGGAAGGTTGGGCAACATCCAACTTTTGTCTCGAATTACAAGAACCGTGGGCCCTGGCTGTAGTCCAAGGAAAGAAGCCTATCGAAACGAGGGCGTACACACTGCCCCTAGCTTTGATTGGGAAGCGCATCATGATCCTTCAGTCACCAGCAGGCAAGGCTGGAGTAAGCAGCATGAGTGATGTGATTGATATATCAGGCTCCAATTCGATTGGCCCAAGAGTGATTGGATGGTGCGAGTTCGGCTCGGTCAGGGAATATACGAATCAAGAAGACTTTGAAGCGGACGAAAAGTTGCACTTAGTGACTCCCGAGAGCGGTTATGGATGGAAGAAGGACGAGACAAAGGTTGTATATGGGTGGGTTGTTTCTAAGTACGGTGAAATCAAAGATAGCGAGGACAGCATATACATCTCAGCAACTCGACGGATGCGGTCTTTATTTCAGCTTCGTGCAAGAGAAACAAAAAAGGATGGAAAACCGAATGGATCGACGAAAAAAAACCGAAACGGCCAAGATAAGAACCAAAAGAAAAAGAGACGACGGTACTAAATGTTACGTAGCACTAGTGTCGACTTCAACTGAAAGATTTACTCAGAGCATTCAGAACGAGCTTGCAAGGGTAGATGGCAGTGCGGTTTCGACTATCAACAAAATAGTTTTTTCCCAAGGCTCGGAATTTTTGCTAAGTTCACTGTGATGAGTGTACATAGTCTGCCGAACTGTGGCCAGCCATGAATCCCGTGGCCCAGCAGTTCATAAAGTTAAATCCACCGGTCACACCGTCAACATTTATCAATTCACCGCACAGGAAAACCCCAGGACTGCCAGTGAAGAGCAACGCAACCGAAGGAGATGCATGAGACTTTGTTCAGCACAAACAAATAGCCCTAATGCTTGATTCGCGACATGTTGGACATACCATTTCTTGGATTCCATAGTTTTCATTTCCAATTCTTCCAGTGAAACTCCGCCGGCAGTTACAAACTCCTCCTTGAAAGTCCCTTTCCCTGTCACTTCAAGGGGGCATGCTACTAGGTTCGTGGCCAACTTTCGAACCAGCTTCTTCGGGGCACCTCCCCACAGAATACCATTTGGGTTGCTGTCATTTGAGCCCAACCCACTATATTCCACCAGAGCTGACCAAAGTCGACGAGGGATTTGATTGTTGGGTATTGGGCAAAGGCTGGAGACCGTACGCTTCGGATTGCTAGATGTCACCTGCCACAGTTTCTCAAAAACTTCTTCAGCATTCGATCCGATACCAGTATCCCAATGGACAGTGATATGGGTTCGGTAGTTGATTTCTTGGAACTCACGGGCGGCAAAAGCTGACAACCTCAAAGCTGCAGGCCCTGATAATCCGTGATGTGTTATTAGAAGTGGGCCTTCTTGCTGCAGCTTTGTCGTCTTTTTCTTCTTCTTTACTTTCTTGCTTGGATCGCTGATGTTATTAGTTTCTCCACCAGATATAGTTGTCATGGAGAGAGTAATGCGTGCGGTGGGAACAGATATGCCTGAGAGACCGTAAAGCAACCCATCTTCTTTGATGGCATGTTTGCAATTCAACGTGAATAACGACGGGGCAGGTTGTACCAAGTCATGCCCCAAACTTTTTGCCAGACCATACCCGACTGGTGCCGACCCAGTAGCCAATATGATAGCTTCAAATTCCTCGGGAGGTTCTTCGGCATCCTTCCAACCAACTAGAAAGCCATTGTCATAAGGAGTGATGGAGGCCACTTTTTGTTTGGTTCGGATTTCGACACCTTCCTCTTCGGCCGCGTTCATCAACGTATCTAGTATAGTCTGCGACGAGTCTGTTGTGGGAAACATGCGTCCATCGGCTTCCGTTTTCAGTTCTACGCCACGATACTCGAACCAGTCTCTGGCCATTGCTGGAGTAAATCGCTTGCGATAGGCACCATTCAACTCCTTACTCCCACGAGGATACGATCCCAAAATCGTTTGAATGGACTTGTCCGTGTCGTGCATAACATTACACCTCCCTCCACCAGATATCTTCACCTTTTGCAAAGTTTTGCCAGTCGCTTCAAGAACTGTGACTTGTGTATGTGAATGTTCTGCAGCAGCAATGGAAGCAAATATACCAGACCTTTTGAGATGGAGAAAGGTGGTAAGTGAATGACCATTTGAACACATGGCATAAATACATGACTGTTTGTCCACCTCCTACTTACGCTCCTCCTCCAATCACGGCAATCTTCTTTTTATCAGCATGTTTGTTGCTCGATGTCGATAGTGCTCGAACAAAGAAGGCACACTTTCTGGAATAGAAGGATGGCGAAGCAATCGATAAACACATCGTAAAAAGGAAAAAAATCCTATTCTGACAACATTGTTTGTGATTATTACGGTTATGGTGGATCATTAATGTCCACAAGAGAGTTTTGAATCTGGTTTATTGCTTTGTTGATGTGTTTCGTCGTCAAAAGACACGATGCTCGTCCGTCGTCAGGCCTAAACTTTGTAATTCAGTCAGAGGAGTCGTCAGTTGTCGTCGACGAGACTGAAATACCGCAGAGCGCGATTTTGCGCAACGATGCATACAGTAGGCCTTTTTTTCCGTTGGATTAGACGCTAAAAAAGGGGGTGGCATTTGGCATTGGATGAGCATCGATATCACTTCAAAAAATCATCCTCAATACGCACCCGTTTTGCTTGCTACACACTCTTAAAACAAAGTGTGGATATAAAAGGAAATTGAAAACACAATAACAACCGGCTTCCTCTCTTTGCCGCATTCGCCCCAAGCCAGAAGACATCAACACTCCTGAAACAACAGGATCAACATGGCGGAAAACGACGATGAAAATGGTCCCAAACAATTCGATAAGAAAGGACCCCAACATGACTGGGTGGTGACTAGCGTCGACGAAGACGTCGAGTATAAAGAAGAAAAGACTGCAGATGGGCGCACCAGAAGAGTACGAAAACGAAAAACCAAAAGGAGATATGTGGAAGATACCGGGACAGTCACACACCATTGTTGTGTGATTTCGTAGAAGGATCTGGACTGGCCAGTAGTATTTATTGGGTATCTACTGTAATATTCTCTCTTTACTGTAACATCGCAATTATTTGTTGAGGAATGATTACTTTCAAATCGAATCTACTAGGATCGTATGAAGAATGAGTACCAGTACAATATGCAATAAAATAGATCCGAAATGGTTTCAATGTGATTGGTGTATTCTCTCGAAAGGATGAACTATTTTTATGATGGTTCTTCTCTTTTGCATGTTTTATATTGTGTGTCTATAATTGCCTTTTTTTGCTACCTATCTACATGAATTGCAACCTATTTTACATGGTAGGGGAAGCCCTTGTGGACATTCCCGATGGTGTATGAAAGAGCGTAATGGACGGTTGGTCCAGTTTGGCGGGATGTTTCCACAGAGTCGCCTGAATGGTTGTTGTGGTGGTAATAGCGGAAGTTTCGGGTGTTGGTGGAGGTGCAGTGACAGTCATGGATTGGCACAGCACGTGATAATCACCGGGTAGGTTGGTCGCTGGTGCATTCTTGTTGCCCTTGTGGTGGTGTTCGGAAAGAGTCACTACCACCCACAGGGAATATTGCCGTGCCAATCGTTTCAAAGTACGAAGGAGGCGAGACATTTGAGATGGGTCACCCTGGACTTCCAGGTTGGACAAGGAATCGACAACGAGCACAAATGGAGGTTGGTGGTGTAAGATCATCCCTCCTCCTTGGTTTGCATTGTGTGTCGGAAAAGTGGTGCCCGCTGTTGTAGTACTACGGGTGCCATACGAGGATGCTTCTAATAGTTCGTCTTCCAACGCTTGCAATATCGCTACCAATTGTGTCGTAGTACGAATAGGCTGATATTCGACCTTTTCCAAAGCACCTGAAGAGAAAGGAGAAGAAGGCGACATTGGTGATACTTGATGTTGGAGCAGTTGGGACAGACGTTGGGCCAAGGCATTGCCATCGTGACCGGCGCCACTGTAGCAATATCGAACTCGAGCCGTAGGGAACTGCTGGATCCATGGCTGTCGCAAGGCTTGGGCCGCAAGTTGTAGGCACCATTGGGATTTACCCGATCCGGAATGACCCGAAAAAGATAAAAGATGTCCTCGTGGAAAACCCAGCATTGCACTATGATGAGGATGCTGTTGCGGCTGACCATTTTGCTCTTGTTGAAGAGCATAAGGGTGAGGATTTGAATACTCTGCTGGAAGGGAAAGCAACTCATCCAAGGCACGGCAACCGGTGGAAAGATTGGTGATCGGTCCTTTTCGCTCCTGTTCTTGTTGCCATGCTTGCATTGCACTAACAGTCGCCCCCAATACGAGAGGTCGCGTGGCATAGTAATGCTCAGTACCGTTTTTGGTGTCGTATTGTACCGTGCTGTCATCGTACAGCTGTTGTTGCTGGAGGCGGTATTTTCCCATCCTTGTTTGTGCCATCATGACATGTGCGACTTGACTTCGGAGGGTATCAATTTGTTTCATAGTGGCTTGGTCGCCAATGTTGTTACTAGCCTTGCTTCCATCTTTGGATGATTTTGTCAACAAGATTTGATCGGCCAGCGCTTGAGGCGTTCTTGACAGCAGGGCTTGAGGTGTGGAAATGCTCACACCACCTGGATTCGGTGGCTCCAACAGCCGTTGCTTGAGCACGGGATGCAATGGAATGGATTCAAAGGTTGGCATATCGACAAAGAGGGTGCACAATGTAGTTGTGAAACCTTGCTACAACATGTCTGTGCTGCGTATTCTGCAGTGTTGGAAGGAGAAACGCTTGACGTTGTTGTTGTGGTTGTTGCCTTTCTCTCATAATTTAGAAACTCGTCCTCGATTATTATTGCCGCATTTTTGGGTCTACGAGTACAAATATTTTAAAAAATAGTGGTCGGGGAGAGACTTTTATGAACCCCATTTTCAAATTTGTTTGGTCGAAACAGTCGTGTATGTTCAGGATACAAATGGCCGAAATGCAGAAGATTATAGCTCATATTACTATCGATAGCGTTCGTATTAAAAACATAGTAAGTTCGGCTATCACTACTGCGAAGGACGTGAGATGATGCGATGAGTGACTTTGCAGTCCTATCTCAGGCGGCAGGATACCTATACCTTTCGATCTGATACTCATGGCTCCAGGCGATTATCAATTGATTGACGCAGCTGACCACGCTTCAGTCCGACAGAGCATGACAGCTTCCTTGGGTCCGCTGCAAGTAGTATGGAGAATAGATATCCTTTACTGATTCTGGGTCCCACAACCATCCGTCTTTTCAGTAAATCATTCACTTCGGACACAGCCACCTTGGACATAGTGGAAAAGGTACCGGGCCAATCCTGGGTTCTTGATATAATGAAAGTTGACAGTTTCGGGCGAGCAACTGTCTTTCCCCAACAAGAGTCCCCAATCTTTGTTCAACCCATTCCAAAACTTCGATTTGCCATCGTACTCATACTCGCGTTCAGCGCTCCAGTGATGAAACCGCTCCCGCTTTTGGTCGTCTCGTGTGTCCTCGTAAGTGATATTACAGGCAAGTCTCAAACAAGTTGCTGTCTTGGCATCCTCAGAGGATGTTTTCTTCTTCGGCTCGCAACTTTTGTCTTCCAAGTGTTCGAGTAAGCACTGCAGGGCAGGTCGCGAGAGGACATAGCCAGCACCTCCAGTGTTGTAGCCAATCTCTGCCCCCCTTTTGAAGCGTCTTCCCAAATAGAAGGGTTGGCTAGAATTGTAGGTTCCAAGATACTTTTTCAAGTTTTGAGGGAAGACCACAAGATCATCGCCGCCAATGTAGAACCAATCAAACTGCGATAGGTAGTGTTTTCCAACGAATTGGAACATGCTTCGAACCTTTTGCCACATGTTTCTGTAACCTTCCCGTCCTTTATGCGGAATACTAATTGCAGGTATGCGAGGATCAGACTTTGTCGAGAAGGCAAGGAAACCATCACAGCCTGGTGCCCAGGTTTCTCGCATTGCTCGAATCGAGGTGGCATGATTCTTCTCCATGGTATAAGTAAAGCACAGAATTTTGTTGTTCTTTTTTTCTGGCATTCTGGAAATCGGCGCCCCAACTATCTTTGCCTCGTCTAGCAATTTCTTGGTACTAGTGTTTTTGCCAAGCGCATGGCACAGTTCGTCCTCCAATTGAGGGGGCCAAAGGTGCCCATTGGCATCGTAGCCGTCCAAAAACATTCGACGCAACATGGTGACATCAGGGATCCAATCTTCCCCAGGATCGATGGAGGAGCTGTTTGATACCGCCATGTCCTCCATCGAATCGCGACAAGTCTTGGATGTGTGATTATCCATCATACAAAATTGCCAGGAACAATCCATTGGATGTATTTCTGGTTGCCAGCCATACCACGGGTTCAAAACAGCATACGTTCCATTGATGTAATAGATATTTTTCTTGGAAAGGCTTTGGTTGTTAGCCTGATGTGATGACAATAATGCTGTTTTGTTCAAATTTGTGGAATCTTCGATCTTGGAAACGCTTTGGTTGTTAGCATGGTGTGATAATGGTGATGAATCGTTGTGTTCAGATGAATTAAACTCCCTGGAAAGCTCATTTTCTTCGTCGTCAAAGGACTTTTCTGACTCCGAAGATGCCAGTCTGTTGGATGTTTTCCTGTATTCAGATAAAGCACTGTAATTATTGCCCCAGTTCCAGGAACTGCAAAAAAAGAAGAATGCAACAAAGGAGAAGAGCCCCAAGTATCCAAATGGACTTTTCCGAACCATTCGGTGGGCAGATCAAATAAACAGAAGCGTTGCAGTGCCGAAACAACACTTGCTCTCGCCATTTTTTCCCCTTTTCATTTGAGATGAGTTCTGTGACTGATCCAGATGACTCCAGCGACTTAAAAAAAATGGTTGAATATGAAGTGACCTCACATCATGGTCGAACATCAACACATTGAACATCACGAAACACTCACAAATAGTCCATCGACCCCTGACGTAGACACATCTTCATCAGCACCCATATAGTTTGTGCAATCGTGACATGTGCAAATTGACTTCAGAGCGTATTAATTTGATTCGTAGTGGCTTGGTCGCCAACATTGTTACTAGCCTTGCTTCGTCCATCTTTGGATGAGTTTGTCAACACGATTTGATCGGCCAGCGCTTGAGGCGTTCTTGACAGCAGGGCTTGAGATATGGAAATGACCACCTGTATTGGGTGGCTCCAACAGCCGTTGCTTGATCACAGCAGGATGCAATGGAATGGACGATTCGAAAGTTGGCATATCGAAAAAATGATGAACAATGTAGTTGTGAAACCTTGCTACAACATATCTATGCTGCATATTCTGCAGTGTTGATACCTCGGAGAAACTTGTTGTGGTTGTTGTTGTTGATACTACGATATTGCTTCTCTGATATATGTTGCCTCCGCATTTGTGATAAAAAGGGGAGTTTTGAGTTTATAGTGAACCCCCCGTTTCTTTTGGTCGATGAAGTCGATTATATTCAACATCTGAAATCCATTCACATGAGCCATCCATCGTTGCCCAATCATCGCATCATCGTTGCATCGCATCTAGACCAAGGCCTGACATATGATATGTTTCCATCGAACACCTGACTATTGATTGATCGTGGCGTAAGAATCATTTAGATTCGAATTGCACCAGGAACAGAAATCACTTGCCCATGTTGGTGCTACCTCCAAGGATTGTAGCGTCCGTTTGGTTAGCTACCAGTGCCCTCTTAGCATCAGAACCTACTCCAATCCCGAACGGTATTGACACCAACACTGCCGTTGTGGGTACCGGTACTTCCACAGCTTTTATTGCAAGCGCTTCCAACACCCTGAAAACTCAAACCTATGACTTGGGGAATGGGTCTGTGACACTTTCAAACCCTTTGGAGATTTCCGTCTCGAAGAACTCCGCAAAGGAAGGTCGCAAGAACTACAACCAATCAGAGTTGATCCGACTTCGAGATCCTACCCTATTGGGAAGTGGCGGTGGGGGAGCTGTCTTTGGCTACATTAGAGATGGCAGCAGTAGCAGTCTACCCGATGTAGCAGTCAAGATTAGTTGGAGTGGAAGCGCAAAAAGTGTCCGAAACGAATGTCATGTCTTGCAAGTTCTAGAGGAGCGTGGCGTATCCACTGGAGTCGAAAAGTGCTTGACATCTTTGGACTATCCGTTTGGTGATTCGAATCGGGCCATGATTGCCATGGAACCAGTCGTCGTTGGCAAGTCAGTGAGCAATATTGCAGATCTTCCCACACCAGCTCTGAGAGAGACAGCCGTGGACCAATTGATGCGGATCATGCTTCAAATGATGGCGGCAGGGGTGGTGACAACTGACGTTCAGCCACTCATTTCGACCGAGACTGGATCCGTCCTGCTCATTGACATGACCGAGGCACAGGAAATCTCATCGACGCCTACTTTTGTTGATCTCGCGCTTGCGACATCCTTCACATCGGAGATTTGGAATCTGGTTCCGGAAGACTTGGTACAACTAGCATCGAATTCACTGCTGTCAGAATGGAAGTTACTCGAAAAGTCAAACGATCGCCATCAATGGTCAGCCTCCATTGTACAAATATTGAAGGATCAACCTTTGCTTTCTGAAGTAGCTGCAGACTACATTGGGGAATATTCGGACGGTAGAAAATAGTCGTTCAAGTTAAAAAATGTTATTGTTCGTATGTATCATGTTTATGAATTGGGGTCAAAACTGTCGAAATGGATCGTGGAAATTATGCCGACCTTGCACTGACTGCAACCTGGTGAAGTTGGGTCATCGGCCTCGTCCTGTGGCTAAATAGAATCTTTTCCTTTGGAGTAATGGAGTACATTGGAGGTTGTGCTGGGATAATCTTGGCATATTCCCAGTCATCATCATCATCGTGATCCTCAACATGATAGCTCGTCGCTTCCTTCTGATCGCGGAGTCCCTTCACTGTGGCCCACAGCTGGCAACTGGATGAAACGTTGTGGTAAACTTGCGCGATAGATTCTTCATCGTACACATTCGATTCGATTTGACGGTCTTGTTCATCCAAGACAGCGTGCAGTGCCTCTCTGTAGTTCTGTTTTCTGGACATGTAGGTCTGGTACGTTTCCAATCCCCGTGAACAGTACTTCTTGTCTTTGAGGTCCTTTCTCTTTGCCATCTTGTCACATTCTTTCACAATGTTTTTTTCAATTTTCGAATATTCTTTTGAAGAATACCAGCATGCTTTGACTTCAGCTTTCTTGTAGCCATCTAAACTGCATACGACTTGAATCTGTTCAGTCTCTGCAAAGCGTACCAGTCTTTCACTCATCATAGTAATTGTGGAAGCTTGTTCGGAAGTAGTAGATGCAAGGAGGGTTTGGTCTTCGAGGCGCTGAGCGTCTAGATTTGTGAGAGACATTCGTAAAAAAGAATCAACTTTCGTTACGGCCTAAAACTTCGTGCGCATTTCGACACTATTACTCGTAGTTGTTGTTCCGCCCTCCAAATTTTGAAATTTTACTTCTGCTCGGCCTCTGATCATTTATGCTGAGCATAAGTAGGGCGTCGCGCAAAACGAAGGTTCTTGAACAGAAAATTCGTTCCTGCACCGTGGGTCAGCTGGTTTGTAGTCACTTTCACTTGAGTTGAGTCAGACGAGTGAAGGCGCAAAGGTCATTTTTGATCGCGGAAATAATTCGCATTCTTGTATTTTCCACTGAAATTCCTCCGAGGTTTCGAACAAATTTTCAGATTGGTATAATATCAGGTACTAGTACCTTCGTGTGTCTTTGCCATTCGAAGGAAACAACATTCGTAGTTTATTTTGCATCATTTGGGTGCCAAAAGTGATCGATATTTAAAATTGAAATAACGATAGTTTGGAAAATTTGAGTGTTGCATTCCCAACTAGCATCGAAGTCACTGCTTTCAGAATGATGGTACAGTACTAGTTACTCGAAAAGTCAAATCATCACAATTGTGCAAATATTGCGAGGTCAACCTTTGATTTCTGAAGCACCTGCAGACTACATCGGGGCATATTCGCAGAAAGAATTAGACGGGGACTACATAGGCGCTATGTAGTAGGCCATAAAATATATCATTTCAATGTTCTAATTTTATTATTTCTAAAGTGGGGTCAAAATTGCCATTCTGATCGATGGAAAAATGGATCGAGTACAGTAGCTTATGCCGACCTTGCACTGACTGCAACCTGGTGAAGTTGGGTCATCGGCCGCATCTTGTGACTGAATTGAATCTTTTCCTTTGGAGTTATGGAGTATATTGGAGGTTGTGTTGGGATAGTCTTGTCATCTTCGAAGTCATCATCATCATCATCCTCGATATGATAGCTTGTTGCTTCCTTCTGATCCCAGAGTCCCTTCACTGTGGCCCACATCTGGCAACTGGATGAAACATTGTGGTAGACCTGCGCGATAGATTCTTCATCGTACACATTCGATTCGATTTGACGGTCTTGTTCATCCAAGACAGCGTGCAGTGCCTCTCTGTAGTTCTGTTTTCTGGACATGTAGGTCTGGTACGTTTCCAATCCCCGTGAACAGTACTTCTTGTCTTTGAGGTCCTTTCTCTTTGCCATCTTGTCACATTCTTTCACAATGTTTTTTTCAATTTTCGAATATTCTTTTGAAGAATACCAGCAGGCTTTGACTTCAGCTTTCTTGTAGTCATCTAAACTGCATACGACTTGAATCTGTTCAGTCTCTGCAATGCGTACCAATCTTTCACTTCTCATCATAGTCATTGTGTGAGTTTGTTTGGAAGTTTAAGCACTAAGGATTTGGTCTTCGAGGAGGTGCTGTGCGTTTACTGAACCGGTAGACTTTTATGCGAGCCATAAAACAACGTTCGTTTCGGCTTAACAAACTACTCGTCCGGTAGTTGTTGTTCCGCCCTGCAAATTTGAAAATTTGCTTCTGATCGGCCTCGGAGCAGTCACTTGTGTGTGTGCCATAATATGAGTTAGGGTGATGAGCGGTCCCTCTTATCGGTGTGAACTGTGTCGTTTGCGCTGGGCATAATAAGTGGGAAGCGTCGCGCAAAACCAAGATTCTTCTCTGAACAGAAACTGTTGTCACAGTGTTTTGTATCATAGTCACTTTCGACAGAAGCGTTTGTCTACCAGGTACACGTACACGTACCATACTCGTGCTCGTAACGTACGTATTAATATGTACCGGTATATAGTGTGGGAACCATATTTTTTATCGCAGGCATAAAATTTGCCATTCCTCTGTGGCAATCAATGAGGATCTCGACCCTCTTTTGCGATCAATCATCCCCCAAACCAGTTACGCATGCATCTGAAAATTATCTACTATACAGTATGGCAAGGATGAGTATGGTAGCTTTCAGCATATTGCACTATTTTATAAACTGTCAGATTTGTACTTTACCATAGTGTGTATCTTTGCCATTCGAAGATCACGTTGTGCAAAAAGAGGTCGATATTTAAAATTGACAGGTTACAAATTTGAGTGTTGAGTGAGTCACTGCTGTCAGAATGGAAGCTATTCGAAAGTTCAAACCGTCATTGAGCAAATATTGCGAGACCAACCATTGCTTGCTACCTGCAGACTACATTGGGGCAGTTAGACGGGGACTATGTAGGCGCCAGAATGTAGTTCTTAGGCTTGAGATCGGCGACGACTGTTGGCTCTTGATCGCTCATTGGCATATGCTCGGTACTCGGCAGTCCAGACAGTCACGTTACTCCAAAAAGAGCAAGAAAATCAAAAAGCCACCACTTTTTGTCCGAAAAATTACATTTCATCTCCGCTTTGAAAAAGAATTTCCGCCCTCTTTCATGCATTACCGTGTGAAAGAAACAAAGAAAGGTCCAAAGGGTACCAGATATGGAGTATGTAGCGCAGATGGATGCTAGAAAAATCGACCAAACCAGTGCAAAAAACGTATGGTACGAAAAAATAGTTGTTGAATATTTGCAATAATGTAAAGAAAAAACCCACGAGAGACCGATATGCACAATATAGCATACTTAACAAAAGGTGAGTGTTGTATTTCCGGTGCAATGCCTTGCAAAAAGAAGTTGAAACAACATTTAATGAGTTACTTGCGTCGGCCAATGAAGGGGTATTTCATGTTCAAAGGGAGCATTTGAGACGAGACGAGTGCAACTCTCGACCCATGCGGCGACTCCACACCCACTACTACTTTCAGCAGCGGGATCAGGGGTTCAGGGCCATCTAGACTTTTATCCAGAGTACTGTTTGATGACTCAGCAACAAGGATTTCGTCTTCATCACCATCGTTGTATGCCTGTGCTGCGTCTTGTTGATCTCGGTGGCCGAGAACTGCTGCCCACAACAAGTGACAACTAGAAGAGACATCCTGATATGCTTTAGAAATGGCATTCTCGTCATTCTTCTCGACCTCCAATTGCCGATCTTGCTCATCGAGGACGATTTGTTGCGCTTTGCTTTTGTTACTCTGCTTTAAGCTTGCATTAACAGTCAAGTATTGCTCCAATCCTCTGGAGCAAGAGATCGCATCAAATGGACATCCATCCTGCAGTTGCTTGAACTGGCCTAGCATTTCCTTTTCAATCTTATTATATTCTTCTGATGAATACCAGCACGCGCGGTATTCCTCATCGGTGTAGTCATGCAAGGCAGTAGTGGAATAGACATGCACAGTTTCAGCGAAGGTTATGGAAGGCCGTTTGGGGTTGTGGGCGGCCCTTGTCTTGGTTTCTGCAGTCAATAGTTCAGCAGGCACCATTGGCTTATGGTGACGGTACCGATAGTGTTGTCTTTGGCACATTCTATGCAGAAGTTTCTTGGGGTGATTTGAGAAAGATTGCAAGTGAGTATTTTGTCTTGATTTGTGATTTTGTGGGATTCTTGGGATTGTCAGAGCAAAGACAGCGGATATATTCTCGGCTACCTACAGTATGTTCTGTGGAGGGAGAAAAATGGACGAAGTAGTCCAGCGAAGCAATGATGACTGCAAATTGAAAATAGTGGACATAAGTTGGACTAAGTCTTACCTGACGTTCGTAATGGGAGCAAAAAAGCGATCGCGGGTAGCGTGAATGCGAACCATACAAGTCACTCCAACATGAAAACCAGAAATAAGTGCATCGCAGTAAGTTCTTCGCTTGGTGGGAACACACTTTTCTCCTTGCGTTCCGAGAGGCAGAAAGGGTTCGCTCGCTGTACCGGCATAGTGCTGTAGACCCCACCCTCAACCAGGAGGAAGAAGAATCCTCGCGGAGGAACCCAGACGGAACAAGACACAAAAAGGGTTATCTTGTTCGATCCGTTCGCTTTTCGATGATCAGTCACTCCGATAGTACCATCATGGTGGTCGTTCCATCGGATTGTGTACTTTCTACATAAAGGCTAGGACTAATAAGTATCAAAATTGTTTCTTATTTCCATTTAGACTTGTGTGCCAAATAGGGACTTCATCAGTTACACCATTCCTTACCAGGCTCAAAAGAAGGAATAGCAATAAGCAAATTATAGAATATTGCTTATGCTGACCTTGCAGTCACGGCCATTTGCTGCGGCGAAGTCATGGCTCGCGTGCTGCTGGAATCATAGATCTTTTGAGGTGCAACGTAGTCTTGTCGGATTGATGATTCTTGAGATTCTTGCGCTTGCGTGAGCGTCTCAAGATCATCGAAACGAGTTTCAAGGTCATCATCTTGAATGTACTTTTCGGCTTCTCGCTGGTCTCGAAGGCCGAGTACCGCTGCCCACATCTGGCAACTAGATGAGACATTGTTGTACAGTCTTGCAATGGCTTCTTCGTCGCGTTGATTCAGTTCGGCTTGGTGGGTTTGTTCGTCCAAGACAGATCGCCTTGCAACTCTTTGGCTCTCTTTTTTTTGAAAAGCATTCACAGTCAAGTATCGTTCCAATCCTCGCGAGCAGGATTTCATATCATGTAATATCTTTCCTTCCTCCATCTTCATGAATTGTCTGCACAAATCCTTTTCTATTGTTTGATACTCTTCGGAAGAATACCAGCATGCATCATATTCCTCATCGGAGTAGTCTTCTAAACTGAGAGAGTAACGGACTTTGACAGTTTCGGAAAAATAAACAGATGATTTCTTCATGGTGGAAGAAACTGTGCTGCGAGCTGTCTCAAGCTTGGATGGCACTGTTGAGGCCAATTGGATCGTTTGTTGTCTTGTGCACATTGTTGTTGTTCTTGATTTTGTGAGATTCTTTTTTTTCGGAATTTTTTATGACCAAGTGGGAACTGGGTTTGGTCTTCGCCACGTGATGATTCAGGAATTCGCATGGAACGGGGGTTGTTGCGTTGCCGTTCTGTGAGAAATGGCGAGCGAAGGGTTCGGATTTAGAGTGCGAAATCGAACCATTTGGTATCATCTAGATTTATGAAGCATTTCGCTTTGATACTTTTGAGTTACTCCCTGATACGATACCAGTAGAATCGGTTCTCCAGCTGCAGTGGCCTGGTCACCGTCACGAGTCATTCCACTGACAGAACAATATTCGTAGGCACAATTCACATCTTTTTTATATATGATAGGTAGGGATATATAAAAGCAAGATTGACATTTATCCAGAGTTCACAGTTTTATCTCTTCACGACCAAAACCCCTAATGGTACCACCACCATAGAACAGATTCCTTTGCGATGGTCACTCATCGGTGCTCTAATTTGACGCCACCCAGAAGTTCCTCTCAACTTTTCCAATGTCAACTGCGGTTCCTCTCACATTTTCTGTTGCAAAGCGGAATCCCTCAACCGTTGGCATTGCTGTTCACGTACAACTGCAACGATGACTGTCCCTTCGACTCGCAGTACCAGGTACAGTACAGTACTGCACCGACCTGATAGATTGATTCGGCACGCGAACGGGGGTCGAGTTAGTCTCGAGCAAGCGCTCGTCACTAACGTCCGTCCTTCCGTCGTGGTATGGGATAAAAGGACCCGGCTTTAATCCGTACGTCGTCATGTAACAACCGAACAGCAAAGTTTTGCAACAACATCATAAAATCAAAGAAAGATGGGAGCTGGAGGCTGGTTCTACGTTCCAAAGGTAGGTTGCAGTTTGATCATACCCAGTTAGGACCGAACTTTATGGCTGTGACTTAGATGACTGATGATTTTAAGGAAACAGTGTGAATCACTTTCGATTGATCTGTTGTTGTTATTGCTGTTGAGTGTCTTTAGTCTCATTGACAGGTTGACTGACGTTGCTCCTCTCATTTTGTTTTAAAAAATAGGTATGGACTCCATATGGAGGATGGTGGTCAAACCCAACCCACTGGAAGCGCAACACCGGTATTGCTGGAGTCGGTATTGTTTGTGTGGCCACCATGTTGTTTAGCGTTTCCGCCGAGCGTGAAAGAAGACCTGTGGCACCCTTCCGCCAAATTCCTTCTCAAAGCTGGTGCAAGCACGCCAAGACTGACGACCCGCGCCTGAAGTAAAGAAAGCTATAGAGTGTGCACAAGCTACAGTACCGTATATGAAAGAAGAGTTTGACAATCCCTGTCATATTCTGTTCCGAAAAAGACACATAATATTTTGAGACAATATTATAACTATAATAACTATAATAGTTACTTTAATGTCAATATCGTCACAGTTACAGTACAATGTTGACGTGTCGTTGAAGACTATGGAAGCTTGACCTTCTTGTCGGCCAAGTGCTTTGTTGACAACGACAAGGTTTCGTCATCGAGTAGCTTTGTCCAGGCCTTTCATACATGCCTACAGAGGTATTACTTTAAAAAATTATTTCCATTAATTAAAATCCAAATCTCCACCACGGCTTCTTCTTCTTTTCTTCTCCTCCTTGCTTTGATTGGAATACCTTCAGGCCTTGCTCCTCCAGTTCAGCAATTTCTGCAGGCGCTGCGACCGCAACTTCTACCTTAGCATTCTTATCATATGCACCGGTCATTCCACTCTCCAAAGCTGCAATTTCTTGTGGAGTCAATCGTTTCTTGTGTTCATTTGCCTTGCTTACTCTAGCGTCTTGGGCTTCCTCTTTGAGCTGAGCCAAAGGATCATTTTCTGCATCACTTTTGCCGACAGAATTCATGGAATAGGTAAAGACGAAGAAAGTAAATCCAGCGAGTACACTAGCAAGAGCAAGGTTCTGGACCGTGGGAGGTGGAGTATCTGCTGGCTTCTCCGACGAGGATTGCCATCTGCGCACCAGTTGGGTCTTGTTTTGGGATTGCGATGTGAAGCGGTTGATTACTTGGCGCGATGCCAACGAACGACATTGGCGGGATGCTACTGATGTGGGGATCATGATTTTGAAGATGCTATGAGAAGAGAGTTGTTGTGTGCCCTCCAAACTGTTCTAATAGAAGCAATGAGAACGAATGTTTGTGTCGTGACCATCACATAACTTCGTCAGGTTTCTCATTTCCATGAGGCTGACGCAAAGGAAGTCTGTCCGCCGGTGGTGCAGAAAATCCAACCGACACACAGCAAAATTCTGCGGAAGAAAGAAAAACATTCAACAACAACAACAACAACAACAACAACCCAATGCTGTTCTTGCAAAAGATGCGCGTAAGAAAGGCGTCCACTTTGTTTCTACTATGCTTGATCATGTTGGGAATGATCAGCCTTTCCTTGGCTAATGAGGTGAGGAAGCAATCAACCAATTGCTATCCATAATCGTTGTGTTCTAAACGTTTCATTCGTGTTCTGGAATCATTGGTCATTTCGAAAGGCTGTCGAAACCGAACAAAAGGAAGAAATGGCCTCCAAAGTAGTTGGCGATCACAATATTGAAGTTCTCTTCTGTGTTAGCTGAGGTTCAAAGAAAAATTTCTTGCAGGTCAGGCAGTGGCTTTACGCCAATTTCCCCGAGCTGCGAGGAAAAGTCACGGGGGATAACTACCCTCCACCGCCCACGGCGGAACTCTTGCTCAAGATCTTGAACGTTATCCAAATGTGCGGTCTCCTCTTTGTTTTCCTTGGAGACAAGCTCTTTGGTGTCGTTGGAATGAGCTACGTTCCTTCTTGGTATGCAACGGTACAAAAGAATGGGATGCAAATAGCCATCTTTGTCTACCTCTTGCTTCCTAACGTGCTCTCGAAGTACATGATTTCTGGTGCTTTTGAGATCATTCTCGATGGTGAGACAATTTTTTCCAAGCTAGAGACTGGCCGTCTGCCTCAAATGGGTGATTTGGTGGCCCCATTGGTGAATGCTGGTTTGACACAAGTATCCCAATAATTTTGTGAAGGGGACCAAGAATGAAGAGTATCCACAGTGGAAATAGCAACCAATATGCCTTACAATGACATGCCTGTCGAAGAATTTTTGTTCAAGCTGTCAATGGGCTGGAAACGAGAAATGAAACGTGGCGTGCCGAGAATGACGCAACCTTGGGGCAACGACTTGCAAATAGATGAGTTTTTGCTTTTTGGTTGGCTGAACCGTCGGACAACGCTATTGCTTTCGATTCTCTCAGTTTGGTGGCGACGCGAATGATGCGACAGCAAAATATCACCGGGGAATTTTATGCAACCATTGAAACTCCTTTAGTGTATGATATGAATGACGAAATGTGGGTGACGTTCATGTCTACCTACCTTTTCTGAACAATATTGTCATCTAAGTTAGTTGATGTATGTTATGTTGCAAAAATATGATATTCTAATCCGGCGCCACACCATTGATGTAGTAAGGAAGACAGCTGCTTGCTATCATGCACCACTACAGCTTATTTCGCCGATCTTATTTTAAAGAACGGCTATTAACAGAAATAGATCTACTCTTCCTTCTTCTTTTGATTCATATGGAGAAGATATTTTCGCCGCTTCAGCTTGATGAGAAGTTGTTCCGGGATGGTTGGTATCAAAGTAGTCAGCGCCAGTCCAATGTAGATCAAGACTCGCTCTAGCGCAAAGATGATGAGAATCGCCATCCATCCCTTGTCCTGCACAATATGGGTATTCCCTTCTTCGTCTCGCATGTAAAAGTCGGGCATATAGTGGAGCATTTGGTCACTGGTAAAGCCAAAGAGTAGACAATTGGTCAAGCAGGAGAACCACACCATGAACTGGAGCAGTCGCTTCCACATTCCAATGCTAGACACTTGCTCTCCTTTTGGTTTTTGGCACAAGTACGTCAATTTATAACAATCGGATCGCAGTTCAATCATGAGCGCCACAGACATGACCAAGGAGGCCATTGGATAGGCCGACGCAAACAGGGTTACGTAGCCAAACTGAATCAACACTTCCATCCAATCATCAAAGGATTCGTAAACTTCCAAATCCAGATCTTGTGGATGACCTTCCACCTTTGCCTTTTTGGTCACCCTGTGCGCAATCATTGGAATCGCCACCTCGGTGAGAACCCGCCGAAAGCTGTCAATGTTGAATACCGCAATCAGTTCCGATCGAAGTTGTTCAATGTCACAGGCATAAAAGGCCAAGTAAAACAAGGCAATGTAACAGTCAAAGGCTTCAAATAAGAAGCGTTTGAGAATGAGAGAGTTGTCGTAATCTGTCTGGGACTGGTGATTTTCCCAGTCCGTCAACTTGGTGGCAATCTTTCGATAGATTTTGTTGAGTGTCATAATGGAGAGCGCATGAATGATGACCGGCAAAAAGGACTTCCAACTGGACATGGCATCGAACAACTCTCCTGTACCAGCCATGGAGGCAACTCGGGGCCAGTAAAATGGATGATAGTCATCGTCGCTTCTGGGCCGAATGTACCCTTGGACGTTCAGAGAAATAATCATGACTGTAAAGGCCACTACCAGCATGATTACCGTCACCAACGCACTGACAACATAATGCAATTTGCGGTTGATGGAAGGGTAGTAAATCTCGTACTTGCCGGTGACGGGGGACTCTCGTACTTTGCCATGGTATTCAGGACGCTTGTGCACCACTGGGTCGTCGGGCACTTCGTCATCTTCCAAACTGGTCGAGAGTTCTAATGTACCAAACTGATACGCCAATACTGCCTCGTTTCGCTGCCAAAAAATGTAGAACAAGATTGCCCACAAAAAGCATATGAGGCCATAAAAGGGAGTATATTCATCCTCATCAATTGTGTCTTGTCGGTACACTCGCAACAAAAAGGTGGACAATCCGATAATTCCCAAGTATCCCGACCACTGGGCCAGAAATCCTACAAAGGCAAAGTAATAAGCTACGGTGGGACCGTAGTATTCTTCAATCTGGAGCACTGGCGGCATGATTTGCCAGAGCGGCCACATGGTTGCCTTTTGAATCTTTTCTTTGGCCTCGTCGAAATGAACGGGCGCCAATTTCTGAATCCATCCTTGTGATTCTAAAATGTATCGAAGAATATTTGTATTGGCCTTATTTGTCTGTTGTACAAGCTGCTCTTTCAATTTGACATTATTCTTGATGGAAATATCCTCCAAAATTCCAAGAACCAACAAGGAGCGTTCTTTTTGCGTAAACAGCTGGTTTGGATCTCGTCCAGGTACCGCCATGAGGAATTGCGATCGATTGGCCACTTGAAAGTGATCCATAATAAATTCGGTATCAGTGATTCTGCGCCTCTTGATCAACCTTTCATTCTGGGCTTGTCGCTCCAAACTCGCTTGGGTGACTGTCAATAGCTCGACTTCTGGGGTAGTGTTCGGAATGAGAAGGATCCCTCCCTGTTCCAGTTCTTTTTTAATCATGGGAATGACATCACTTGTCAAGGCTTTCTTAGTCCATTCCAACACCACAGTACCAGTCTTTTCGACTGGAGGCTGCATGGTGATCATGGTGATGAAAGATGAGAGTTCTTATATAAACACTGGTGACACCTCCTGCCTGATGAGTGAAACCTGATCCATGAGTGAGTGAAAGGTCGCTACATCACAGCAGTCCCGCCAGATTTTGTGAGATCTAATGAAACCCGGATGCGTGACTCACTCTTTGCATGAAATTAGAAAATGCGAAACGATAATATATTGACAGCTGTTGACCAATGAAAACACATTATTGGTACGTGTTGAGACACGGTCATCGTTTCCGAATCTACCAGATTACAGTATTTTTTTGGCGGAAGAGACGAGACTGGAAACCTGTTGCGATTGCACATCAAACCTACACGCGGCTGCATGTTGACGCACAAGCAATAAGCTCTCAACACTCTAGAAGACAAAGGATAGAAAGAGTATCCTACAGTCAGTTAGTCAAAAGAGTAAAAGTCATTCGACTCACTCAGCATAATCCATAATCATCATGTTCAAAAATAAGAAAGGAAAGCTGCGAAAGCCCAAGTCGGTGCAGGCTTACAAGTCCATGTCATCGTCCTCAGTTATCAGTGAACTATCCAATCCTTCGGAACATACTAGCAGTGAAGAAGAGGAGGATGAGGTTTCGATTCCAGATGCTATTGCTGAAGAAGAGTCTTCAGAAGAGGGAGACGAGCCACCAGTCAATCCTCGTGAAAGTACCTTTGACCAATTCAATCCAGACTTTAGTCAATTCGAAGCGGAAGAAAACATGATGAGCGGCAACAATAGCAAGAAGAAAAAAGTCAAGCGCACCCCGAAGAAACCCAAGAAGAGTAGCAAAAATGGTGGTTCCGCTGACGACGATGACTCTGCGGATGATAAGTCTACTAAATCCGGTAGATCCACCAAATCTGCGAGATCTACCAAACGCGGCGGCAAGAAGAAGAAAACGAAGAAGAAGAAGAAGAGCAACTCTGTGGAAGACATTACCGAGTCGGACGATGAAGAGTTCTTGGACGAATTTGAGGCATTGCAAGATGAAGTTATCAGTCTCCGACGGAAGCTTAACATGAAGGACGACAGTATGGAAATGACTCAACTGCAAATGGATGTGAAGAGGGCCTTGAACGAGGCGAACGAACTAAAGTCTGAGATCGAGGAATACGAAGAGGCCGTTGCAGAAAAAGATGGATTGATCAAAAAGTTGACCGAGGCTGTGGACTGTCAGCTCGATAAAGTGGAATATTTAGAATTGAAACTTCAAAGAGCGGAAGAAGAATTCGTCAAGATGGAAGACGAAATGAGAGAAATGGAAGATGAAATTGATGAAGTCCGAAACAATGGTGGAATAGTCGGTGGTGGTGGTGGTGGTGGCGCCCCCAGAGGAGAAGGCGGCCCTTTCAATGAAGAGCTAAATGCTGAGTTGCTTGAGAGAGAACGCGATTTGGAAGAGCGCGAGAATGATTTGTTAATGAAGGAACAAGAATTGCTCGACAGGGAAAAGACATTGGTCGACAGAGAAGAGGCGATTGAAATTGAAGAAGAGAAATTAAGCGACCAAAAGGATGATTTGAGAATGAAGGAATTGCAATTTGAAGAACGAGAACGTGAGCAATTGGAGAACAACCAAATCACGTCGGGAGGTCTCATCAGTACATATGAACTTGAAGAAAAGCAAGAAGAGATCAATACTCTCAAGCGCAACCTTGCGTTGAAAACGGGCGAAGTCCACGAATTACGAGGTCAGCTCAGTCGAGGTACGGGATCAAGCGGTGCCAATGCGAGTGTCTTGAGGGAGGAGAATGATCGCTTGAAGGTGCGATTGTCAAATTATGAGTCCCAAGAGAAAGAACTGCTTCAAAGTCGCAACGAAGAAATCCGCAATATACAAATGGGTGCAGAGAAGCAAATGCAAGATCTTTACGACCAGAATGAAACACTAAAACGACGAGTCGAAGCATTGACATTGGAGCAGGCCGACATTCAACATTCGGATATGCATATTCAATTGAAGAAGAAAGATGAGTTTGCTCTTAGACAGCAGAAAGAGCTCGAACAAGCATACCAGGAAAATTATGAACTCAAGGAGGATCTGGCAGATACTTCCCAGAAATTGAAAAAGGCCGAATTGCAGGTTCGAGAATTCAAGGGAAGTGCAAACAAAAAGACTAAGCAAAAGGACGAAACCATCGACTTTTTGCAAAGCGAGATGGTCCGTCTCACAATGGAAAAACAACAACTCGACAAGGTCGTGCAAGAGAAGATAAATGAAGTCGAAACGCTACACTTCAAATTTGCTAACGTTGGCCAAGACGAAGAAGCCGAAATGCTGCGAATCCAGGCCTTTACCGAACAAATTCGCATTCTGGACGAGACCAATCAAGGACTCCAGAACAAGATGAAGATAATGGAAGAAGGCTATTTAAAGGAGCTGCAGGAAAAAGAAAGTTCTATACAAGAAATGCAGAATTCGAAAGGAGGTGGTTATGCTAGAAGCCGAATTCAACTCAGCCAGACCCAAGGTGAGTTGAGGCAAGCCCAGGATCGCATCCAGGAATTGGAAGCGACAATTGAGGATCTTCGTCAACAAAAAGATGCAGGTCGAGGCCGTCGAAGCCAGCAAACGTCCTACGACAGGGCAAATGGGGCTACAAGCAATGGAGGGCTTGGCGTGTTTGGAAATAAAGCAAAGCCTGCGGACTCCGCTAAACCCGTTAAGGGACGTTGGGGATGGGGAGGAAGAACTGAGGAAAATGAAAGCGCGTACGACCTAAACAACAGGAACAACATGGTGCCTCACAAGTCCCCACAAACAAGAGAAAAGAGTGTGGTGGCCACACCAAAAATTAGTGCACCCATCATCGCGGGACAAAGTATCGAGGATGAACTAGCAGCGATCGAAGCGGATGCAAAGAAGTACGAAGACCTCAAGAGATCCGACAGCGCTCATAGCGGGAATTTCCGAGTCGATATGACAGGAAAACTGAAATCAAGTGATGACTCCGGGTCGGAGGAAGAAGATAGCAGCCAATCGTCCGCCAGCAGTAGTGGTTCTGTAGGAATGAATATTGCGGAGCGGTTAGAGGCAATGCGAGCGAAACGAAATAGTACCACTACCACTCGCAAAAAGAGTTCCAGACGAATAAAGACCCCTAGCAAAAAACGAAATTCGGGCTCGAGCAACGATTCCATGTAGACGGACAGCTGATGATTCCGCAATTGTACCTTGAAGAAACCATGATGAAGGTTTCAACAAAAAGATGGTGGGATGGACTTGTTCTGTTGGAGCCGATTCTTGAGACTAGCGCTTAGACTTGGCAGCAGGCAGTCGCAGCTTGAGATTCTCCCTTACAACAACTGTTTCATTTCAGGAACATGCTCTTCCGAACCGTCACATATCGTAAAATCCTAAGAGACAATGTCATTTTTGTTTTGCCAGTAGTCTGTCTCAAATTATAATACTCGTACAGTCAATAATAAAATAACGGTATTCTCAATTCAATGCAAGTCTACCTATGAACGTTTTAGATTTGTCTGGACTGTGTCGCATAGCGAGTCGTTTTCGGATACTTTTCTTGACCTTCAGATGAACTTGCCTACTACTCTTGCTTCTCATGTTGGAGTGGTTTGAAACAACATAGTTGCACAGCTTCAAATGCAGCAATGCATACACAAGCTATTGTGAAACTTTTCCAACCTACATTCATCAGCAATGGGACTTCCTTCGGAGTTGAAAGAGTCTGCCAGCGGAAGCACCAGCCATACTCCTGTCAGTATCTCTCGTGTTCCTTTCCCCTTACCGTTTACAAAGGGAGAAACTTGTATCACTTTCCGTATTATTACCCAGTTGAAATGGTTTGGCCACACTGCATCATCGCGCCACGAGTAAAAAGACAGCGACTGTCGGGAGGGACTAGGCAGATTGCTTGAAAATTGGCTCAAAAAATGAAATCATGCGCTGGCTGTCAACTGTGTACCATACAAGCAAAAGCGCCTCCCACGCGCGGCCGAGCAGTTCTACCGTATATCAATATCCTGACCTCCCACCGTACACCTACCGCCATCAGTGTTGGTGTTCGTACTAGACATTGATACCTATAGGTGATACTGTAGCTCTCGGGGCTATACGTGGGTACATTGCCACTGCTGTGATTTTCCACAGACCTACATGACATTCCTGACCTTTGGAAAGGAATTGGGATATTGAGTATTGTATGGGCAGAAGAACACTCAGGGGTAGTCGAGACTCGAACTCGAGACCTCCGGCTATGCGGCTGTTAATCGTCAACTGTGTACCATACAAGCAAAAGCGCCTCCCACGCGCGGCCGAGCAGTTCTACCGTATATCAATATCCTGACACTGGCAGAACAAAGCGCTACTACCAAAAATAGCAAGTCAAAGACGGGTGTTCCCAGGAGCCATCATGTATCATCAGCTTGCGTTATCGTTCCCTTAAAACTGCTCTGCTTCAGCCTCCGCATAGTTGAACAGAGTTCTGGGTCGTCACGTAGAAATAGCTGGAAGGGCATGTCAGTGGAAGAGTACACTAAAAGTTTCGAGTCAGAACCAGCACAAACATACCTCATGGGAATAAGAGTTGATCTCCGGTCCTTGGCGTGCCTGCGAAAGGAAAAGAGTGAAGAGTTAGTCCGGTCGTTCGAATGAGGCGACAATAGACGTTTCCATTTTTTTACATCGTACTCTTTTGAACCCCCATCCTGTGTGTCAAGCAAATATTTAGATTCGTCGCAAAGCAAAAGCATACAATATATCACATGCCGATGGGACTTACCGTTTACTTGTCGCATGAAAGAGGCGTACTTTTGGTGTTTGAAGTATTCAGGAAGAGCAACATCCGCAAAAAGATGTTGGTTTAAAACTCTCCACGACTTTCCATTTGGCAACCAGCAAATACAATCCCGAAAGCGAGGATCGGCTAGAATCCGATGAAGTTTCATTGGAAACGTGGAATCCCTCCCACCCGCATAAAGGTCGGTTCCTTGACTTGCAGCAGTCGTGTATTGTATACTTCGAGGGATGATCGGGTGTGATGCAGCGAGATTAGGAGGGCTAGAAGCTAGTGGATCCTGTGTCAGCAGAGAGGGGTTCATGTAGCTTCGCAAATGGGACATTGCGAGAGAAGCGGGCCGTTGCGATAAGAAACCACCAGGAAGAAAGTTACTGATCAATGCTTGGTTCGGCTGATAATTTTGTAATTGTTGTTGTTCAAGACTTTGTTGATCAAAATGTTGTTGATCCATCTGTAGCTGATTTTGCATATTGAGGAGCAGATTATTTGGAAATCTTATTTGTCGAAGATCAAGTGACCCTTGCATTGATTGCTGAGTCAAGCTTGCGAGCCTTTGTTGGCGAAGCATTTGGCTTTGAAGTAACAGCCTTGACTCGAGATGTTGCATGGACGGACTATCATTCGTACGTGCTGCAGCTTCCCATGCCATTTCATCTTGGTGTGCCCGAAAATTGCCAACAGATGATGAAGCTCCAGAATGTTCAGTATGCGATGTTACACCTCTTGAGAGTAATCCTCCAGGAACGAATAGCGCATCATTGGGCCCAGATGACGAGGGAAATACAGAGTTTTCCGCAGCAGGCGTCTCATTGAAGACAGTTTCCGGGACGTCTATTTCCGAGCTATTTCGCAGCAATGACATGGCAAGACCGGGATTACCATACCGGTATCCTTCCAATGACCAAGCCCTCCTTCGTATATCCGAAGGGTCGCCAGATGGTGGCGGCTCATCGTTGCCATGCATTGTGCAGTGAAGTGGAAGAGAAAAAGAATAGAGTATAAGCTTCGGAAACCATCACGACCTGCTACGATTGCCTTTGCCTTTAGGTCACACCCAACAGTGAGCTCGAATTTGTAGTTGGCATGGAGGATCTGGCCATCTGATCAAATGGCCGGTTCCCTCGCGCAGAATTGGGTCGTTAAACAGTCTTCATTTAATGGTTTTCAACCGAATGATGAGTTCATCTAAATAGGGATCTTCCGTAACCATCTCCGTTCCTATATAGTTTTTGCGATTGCGTCAGAACGGTCTTCGCAATAGTCCAAACTTTTATAAAAATCATGGTCCGCGAAAAATCCGAACTTTCAGCTTTTTTCCATAATCAAACCCAGACAATTACTTTGATCAGTTGGCATGAAGAACCGTTCGGACACATAAAAGATTGTAAAACCTCTTGATCCCATTTACTCGAAATGGATCCTCAGACGCCACTTTCATGTTCCTTATTCCTACGGTACCACATTATTCCCCCGGATGCCTTGATCCCATTTACTCCAATTGCGTCCTCACAATGAGAGATAGTGAGTTCCTTATTTGTACGGTACCAGTCCTGACCTAGCATTATTCTTAAATATTCTGGATGCTGGTCTTTGGCAGTAGGGGTACCGTACAGGTGTACCTTGCACTGCTACACGGTACCGGTAGGTACAGTTCAGAAGACAATTCTGACGCAAATTTGAAAAAAATCATGTGGGAACAGATGCTTGAAGATCGATTCATTCATTCAATCAGGTGGCCGTAACTGCATTTGGGAGATTCCCACCACCTGCAAACTCGCTGAGCTGGTATCCTCCCCCAAGCCCCAATGCAATGGTTCAAAACTCATGCGGGAACAGATGCTTGAAGATCGATGATTCATTCAGTCAATCCTTGAATTGTGGCCGTGACTGCATTTGGGAGATTCCCACCACCTGCAAACTCGCTGAGCTGGTATCCTCCCTCAAGCCCCAATGCAATGGATGCGCTGGATTCATTCTCGCGCAAATGCTTCACAAGTCTTGATGCCATCGCTTTGTAGTCCTTCGCCTGTAAACTCACGCTTGCCAGTTCATCGCTATCGAGTGCATCATATCCGGCACAAATCAGCACGAGATTAGGCTTCCACGAGTCATTATCTGAGCATACAAATGGCAATACTTTCTCCTCAAACTTCTCCTTGTATCCACATGTCCACGTCGTTTCCGCTGGTATAGGGATGGTCATCACATTCAAGTGTTCCCCTGATACCCCCAGCTTGTTTCCCATGTACGGAAAGGCAGGAGTTTGGTGAATTGAAACATATCTTGCTCTTGAGTACTTCTGAATTATTTTTGCAACTCCTTGGCCTGCCAATCGATCGTAATAAAATATGACGTAAGAAGTACCTGGTTCGTGGTTCCGAGAACAACTAGTGTGATGATTGCTTACCATAATGCACGTCCCAATCGAAAACTGACACCTTGATATCATCATGTGACTCCAACAGGTGGACCACTGCGGCAGCCGCAAAGTTTACAATACAAAATCCGTTGGATAGTTGGAAGGTTGCATGATGCCCAGGTGGTCTTGTGAGTGCGAATGCTGCTTGTTTCTTGTCGAATGCATGATCCACAGCCCTGATCCATGCGGCGGTGGCTCGGAGGCAAACGTCAAAAGACTCGGTCGTTAGAAAGGTGTCTTCGTCGATATTGCCGATAAAACCAAGCGGATCTTTGCCTTCGGAAATACGCAAGTCGCGGCTTTTGCTACAGCTTCCTTCAATCGTCAACACCATTTCTTCATCGTGTGTTTTCAGGAGGATGTCACGAGCATGGTGAAGCTCTTCTTCAGAAAAAGGTTGATGTTCATGTGCACAATCCTTCCATAGAGTGCTTGTGTCAGGTGTCGTATCTATCAATATGGTACCTTCCATTTGTTGGCTCTCCTTCAATCGTTGGATCTCCTTCACACAGGCATCAATTCGAGCAGGTTGCTCTGGGTGATAGTCGATGGAGCGATGCCAGCCATTGGAAGAATCAAACCATATCGGCACATTGAGGCCCGCTATTGGATATAAGTAGAATGACACAAATGTGACCACAATACTGCCAATTGACGATCCGTTCGTAATCATCGAATAACTGGTGAAAAGCTACAGTGCAATATCAGGTACTGTAGTATCAGTACCTGTTAGCGGTGAAAAAAAGATCGAGAGGTTGTCTTGGTTGAGCCTCATAATCAAGACATCTGATCAAGATCATCTCGTCCTGTACTGGATTCAGATTTTTCCGTCAGTGACGAAGAGTGGCCTGTACGTCCCACGCGTCACTTCATAAAGTAGAATGCTATTATTCTCCCTCCTAATATTTTTTAATCATATATGACCCCTCCGACCAAAAATCAGAACATTCGGTGACGCACCGCTGGAGCTCTTGAGAAGATTCGATGCTACAGTCCAACCTCCAAGTATTTGGATACTTCTGTGGCTCATAGGGGGGATTGATAGGCAATGGTGAAGGTGAATGAGAGCTGGGAAACCCGGGCCTTTGAAGCTGCCGAGCGGCGAAGGGTGACAAAGGAACGAAAAGAAGAAAAGAGCCGAAAGCGATCTCATAAATTAAATGCTCAGAATTTGTTGACACGCTTGGATGAGATTGGCGAAAGATTATTGACAAAGTCCCTGGACAAAGCAAAACCGCTTGACATCCATATTTGGACCGATTCCCTACCTTCAGATTACGTTATTGCAGATGAATACACGGATGACATGACGATGACACCGACCAAGAAAGGAAGAGCGAGGTCCAATTCATATGCCACATCTTCCCCATCCACACCCATTAGTGCCAAGCAAAATCGGCGAAACCGATCAAACTCCTATACTGCGCCACACTCATCGCCTCAGAAAGGGAGCAAAAAGAACAAGACTGGTCAAGATTATGTTTTAGGTCGAAAAGGGGGGAGGCAACGAAGCATGTCTAACGTTTCAGATAGAAGTGAGGAAGAACAAATCCCAACGATGTGTTCCCAACACTTTTTCGCTGGAAAGGATACGAGCGGGGGCAAGAAACTAAAGAAAAAAGGATCGAATCTGTCTGCAACCTCAGTTTCAAAGCAAAACATCAGTCTCTTTCAGGTATTGACAAGTTCCAAACTCTCAGAAGAAAAGTGTACACTAGGACGAGATGCATTGGAAGCTTGCAAGGCGGCAAGCAAGGCCAATTTTGCCTCGGAGATCCTTACCTTGACCGATCAAATGCCAGCAATATACTATTTGACCATGAAACTCGGCAAGACCACAGAGAATCCACCAAAGGTTTCTGAGGAGATCAGCAGTTTGCTATCGAAACAGGATTGTCCAATTGCCAGTATTGTCTACCTGGTTATTGACGGCATGCTTCTTTTTGATCGATACAGGGATGGGATCGTTCTGACCAATAGTGGAGAACATTTACTATACAAAGATTGCAACGGGGTTGGATTCAAGAGACGGACCGTGTCGATTGGAGGATACGCAGATACCACCCAAGGACCAAACGAAGATATTCTGGATCATCATCAGAACATGGTCCGATATCTGCCCAGTCAAATATTGGAATATATTGTTTTATTTCTACCAGACGAATCAGTTTCCTCCATGCCATTGGTTTGCAAGTCTTGGTACGACGAAATTGGCAAGTCGTCCCCAGATTTGTGGATTCAGCTTTTGCGGCGCCGGCAGTGGCCTCGAAACGATCTTGCATTGTCGCTAGAGCCGTCAGAGGAACGAGATTTTTATCGTCGCACATTCCGTTCGCATTTTTCAGCAGCACGTAATCTTGACACGATTGTGCAAGGTCTGGAAGCAATCGAGGCCGGCTGCAGGTCGTCGGCTCCATCCAAGCCAATGGCAAAGGATGTTGCTATACTCCGCGAGAAGGATAGTCATGGGCACTACAAGCCAGGAGAAACAATTTTGCGTGTATTCTCCGAGGCATGCGTATTGGTGGCCGACAAAACGGATTGCACGTTGAGCCTCTATGACGTCGCCGAAACCAACGGTAGTGCCGATCGTAGGTGTCGGAGGAAGCTATCAGTGTTTGTAGCACCTCTTGGTCATTCCAAGAAAAACAAATGTTTGCTAAATTCCATGGATTTGGATGACGAAACGATTGGATGCTTGTTTTCGGTCGGAGGAAGTGAGAATCGCAAAACGATGCTTGGGGTCGTCAACCGGCAGTCATTTCAGTCAGCTGCGGGTCGTGGTGGAGGAACCTCGCAATTGGAAGAAGGTTCTCTGCAATCCTTCGATTTACAAGAGAAAATAATTGACTGCTTGGTTTCCTGTGACGACGAGGAAGTAACTGGGTGGATTTATAGCAATCTACTCGGCGAAGATGGACTGGACTTGTCACCGATCGAGTGCGATATCAAGGAGAACATTGTGGCTTGTGGGAGCAGTCAATTTCTGTTCGAGGCTGCAATTATGGTGCCGATGACGTTTGGCGATGATCACGATGACCCGGACTTAATATCAACTGCGCTTCTAAGACTCTTTCTTTTCGACGCAAAACGAGGGGGTGTTGTATGGGTGGGCCCGTCAGGTATCGGAGGCACTGCCACGATGCAATTCTGGTATCCACTGAAGAATTCAATTGCCCGTAACTCTAGTCCTCAGTTGGATTCTGAACACTCGCATCCATATTCAGAAACCGTCTTTGTTTCTCGAGTATCCGCAGACCTTTCTTCCATCCTTGTCAGTGAAGAAGGAGATGTGGTTTGTATGAAAGTGGGCAAGAACACGACTTCAGATTCCTTTTCTGATGATGGTGGCATGTGGCATCGGAGCCCGGAGCACAATCGCGTGGTTATTGCGACTTCGTCCGATATTGTCGTTGCGGAATGCTACAGTCACGTCGCACGGGACACAACAAGATTGTCCCATAAATCTGTCTTCACGTTCTATCCCACTGCAGATAGCGAGCACAATCAAATACAACAACTTTCTGTCGAGGGAAGCTGCTTTGAATTTCCCATTGAGACGCTTCGAGGTAATCACATTATTGCCTTTACTACATCAGACGCATCCCCTGGTGCGGACTGCGATAAGATGCTCACTGCTCTTTTGATCAATGTCCAATCACGTGCCATGATCTATCGAATACAAATCGAGGATTCGTTCGAATTCATCGAGAGCTCGTCTGAATTTGCTCTCACGTGTCACCAGCATACAGTTGCAGTTGCAACGAACAATGGCTTGGTCTTGGCCGGGCAAGATGTCAGGGCATTTACGAATGCAGCTTCTAGCAAGAGAAGGCGGCCTGAAAAGAAGAAAAAGAAGGCAGGGTATGGGAAGCAGAAAAAGGATGTTTTTGCACGAGGTATGCGTCAGACGTTAGGGTAACCATGCCATGTCTAGTCAAGTTATTAATAAGACTTCGGTTCCAATTTTCTCTGAAGCCTATTCTTCGTTGTTTCTCTGTCAACTTAGGCAGCAAATCTTTCATCTACCTACTCATCCCCTTCATCGTCTGATGGTAGTTCCTCTCCAACGTGCAATGTAATTGTCCCCTTTGCCAATTCAAGCTCGGATGTAGGCGCCAATGCAGAAGCGACATGACACTCTGCCATTGCTGGGTTGTACTTGACAGTAACATTGTAATTGCATAGTGCGATTTCATCTTCTCCTGCCGGATCCACGGTTGAAGGAGCAAGCTTTTGCTTTTCGATGGTTGGTGCTTGCCCGAGGTCAACGTTGTTCCAAACGAATGGTGGTTTATAAGTATCATCACCCTTCAGGTTCCCCCCTGTTTCTTCCCATGGTGTCTTCAGTTGCGAGCAAACCTCCTCGTCGAGTAAAGCTGCATCCAAAACCCAATGATTCAGCCAAATGTTGACCAGCAGGGTGTATCGCACAGTTTCCACCTTTTGTCGCTTTGCCTTTGGTTCGTCGCCCTCCGAATGCTTTCGGCTTGGAAAGTAAAGTGCAGGAGCTCCATGAAGGAGTCGTCCATCAAACGCGATGTGTTTCCCAACCTTTGGATGCGAAAGCCAAGCCTTTTCAATGCCCTTTTCCAGTGTCGTTTTCTTGACATCATCTATCGGTGGACTCCTCTGTGAAAGGACGACTGTCGGAGCCCCATAGTTCGAAATATAGGTAACCGTTGCCAATCTCGGGTGTAGTAGTATATTTGAGGCCTGTTCTTCAAGCTCGTAGTCTGCATCAAAGTGCAGTCCAACTTCGTCTTCTTCATCCTCGTCCTCGCCATCATCCCCTGTCGATTGAGGCTTTTCATCCTTTTCAGAATCCATAACAAGAGTCCACCATTCTGCTCCAGAATGCTCAAAGCTGAATGTTCCTTTTTCGAGATGAGCAGTGTGCTTGTTAAATATTTCTTTCACAAGCCCCTCCAACGCACACCTTGGCTTCATCTTGGCAGGTAAAAAGAAAGTCTGCCCAGCAGAATATGCTTGCCCATCCGGCTTATCTCTTGCTGTAAACACCGTCTTACAGTCTTCTCTGATTGTTTCCAAATGAATGGGGTTGAATTGAATAACATCGTCCCCGGCCCAAAATTGGTGGCGAGGTATTGGCTCTTCTCCATCCACCATAGGCTTCCACTTCGTCCCAGGTATCCGCAGAGCTGGAAATCCATCTCTCATCACCAAATCAGTTTCTCCCGGCCCATTTTCATCTTCTTTCTCTTCTGGTTCACTATTCGAATTTGGTTTCTTTGCCACGCTCTCTTCATTGGATAATTCTTTCGAAGACATGATATTTTGTGTGACAGCAAAAAGATAGATGATGTCCTACTCTACCGGTATGAGAAACGGTGGATGGGAGAGCGGTTCGGTGCTTGTCAGATTTTCTACAAAACTCAAACTAACTATCCGGTCGACGGGTGAACGTACCTCCCGAAATCCAATCATCGAAAAATCAAACCAAAATCTCCTCCCACTGCGAAACACAAGCCAAAGTTGTCAACTGGTTCACTTCATTCTGATTATTGCTTGAACTTGGCTTTTAAGCTTTGGAATTGAATAAACACTAATGGCGAAGCAATCCAAGAGAACACGCAAGTTCGTGCAGAGCGGTGGTGTAAAGGCTCGACTTGAGAAGGGCACCATCAACAAGAAGGGAAAAGTGAAGAACAATAAGAAAAAGGGTCCCAAAAATGACGCTCAAGAAGGTATCGACGCCATCAAAGAGGCCAAAGCAAATAATTACGCCAAGGGATTGGCGAGGAAGCGGGAAGAAGCAGATTTTGTTTCCCAAAAGAATCTAGGAGACTTGGATATGGAATCTTTCTTTTCCGAGTTCGCGGGTGGAGTCGATCCTGATGAGTACGACGACGCCGAAGAGGAGGCTGCCGCGGATAATAGTAGCGACGATGATGACAAAGAAGATAGTGACGAAGACGAAGAAGCAGAGGCGGAAGCAGAAGAAAAGCCAACAAAGAAAGCCCGAAAAGAGGCACAGCAGAATCACGAAAGGAGCGATTCCGACAGTGATAGCGAGGAAGAAGACGTCGAAGTTCTAGAGAAACGAATGAAGTCTGAAATGGGAAAGCTTGAATCAGAAGACCCTGAATTTCATGAATTCTTGCAAGAAAATGACGGGTCCCTGTTGCAATATGGGCAATCTGCCGAAGGTGACAGTGATAGCGACGAGGACCATGATATGGCTGCAGTCGAAGATGACGAAGAGGGAGATGATGACGAGGAAAAGTCCCAGCCAATCGATGGAAATGCGATGCGTCTTACGCCTGCTGCTCTGGCAAAGCTTGAGAAGGGTGCCTTTCAACATCATGGAATCAAGAATCTCAGGAAGTTGGTAAACGCTTACAAATCTGCTTGTCATTTGACAGACGGCTCCGATAGCGACATGAGGGGCCAAAGATACCATATCGAGTCATCCAAAGTGTTCGATCGCCTCATGGTTGTTGCCTTGACAAAAGTTCACGAGGAATTCCATTATCATCTCTTGGGGAAGGGATCCACCCAAAAGAACCAGCTTCCAAAAAAGAAGGGAGTCAAAAAGAGTGCCGATGAGGATGCAGAAGATCAAGAAGATGAAGAAATGGACCCAAACAAGCCAATCAATCCCAAGACTCTTGAAAAGTCACAAAGGTGGGCCGATGCAAAGCCCATTCTAATGACCTTCATCAAGGCCACTTTGCACATTCTCTCCGAAGCAAAAGAACCAGATCTCGTTGTGTATGTTCTCAAGTCACTCTCCAACTATATGCCCTACATGACTCCATTTCCTCGCCTTGCAGAAAACTTCCTCAAGACGCTCACTGGGCTTTGGAGTGCACCCATTGATGCATCAGAGGACTACCAAGTAGTTCGTTTGCATGCCTTTCTCAGAATCCGGCAGTTGGCCCTAACGCAACCATTCCCATTCATCGAGGAATGTTTGAAGAAGCTCTACCTAGCATATGCCCAAAGAGCAAAGTTTGCCAATGCAGCATCTGTCACTTCTGCTTTGCCTACTTTGACTTTTATGGGTAACTGTTTGGTAGAGCTCTACAGTCTCGATTACCATTCATCTTATCAGCACGCCTTTGTTTACATCCGGCAACTGGCCCTGCATTTGCGTTCCGCAATGCAAAAGAAAACACAAGAGGCAATGGCGACCGTGTACTGCTGGCAATACCTCCATTGCTTGAAGCTTTGGGTCGCAGTCTTGACCGAAGCATGCCAGTCTGACGAATCTGGGGCAGGAGGGAGCGACGATCAGTTGCTGCGTTCGTTGGTATTCCCACTCACTCAAGTCATTTTGGGAACTGTCAGTTTGATCCCATCAACGCGATATTTGCCGCTTCGTCTCCATTGCGTGAGACTGCTTCAGCAACTTGCTGCTGCATCTGAACAGTTCATCCCAACTACATCTATTCTACTTGGCTGTCTGGACTTGAAAGAAATTTACCAGCCATCCAAAAAGACAACAAAGGGAGGTGTTCAGCCATTGGCATTGACACTCAGACTCCGAGCCGACAGTCCCCTCCGGACTATGGATGAGTTGGAGATGTGTATTTCGGAAATATTCCTATTGCTAAACCGAGAGGTGGATTTATATCAATATTCGCCCGGTTTCCCAGAGTTCTCAATCAGGATTTCGCAACGGTTACGAAAAGTAAGCAGAAACGTCTACTATTTTGTTCGCTTGATTTCAACTTCCATATCTCACAATTCTTGTTCAGTTTGCAAAAGAAAGCAGATCTCCTCGATGGAAGGCATATGCACGCGGATGTCTTGAGCTCTGCACCAAGTATCACGAACGAGGCGTCAACGAGCGTGCCAAACTGAACGATGTTGCTCCTAGAGATGTGAAACAACTCGAACTTCTTAGACCTATTCGCGTACCCAGCATGGGCGCACGGTACAAGGAGTCCTTGGAGAAGGAGAAGCGATTGGAGGCCGCCAGTCGTCCATTGCAAAAGACTGCCAAGAAAGTCAAGGAAGCTGATGTCGAAGATCCAGACGAGAAGAAATCCAACAAGAGGAAGCGCTCCAAGAAGAAGAAAAAGGCAGAAGCTCCGAAAATGTCGGATGTGCCAAAGGATGCTTTGGAACAAGAAGACGAAGTCCACGAGGGTATCGATTGGTCAGATGACGAAGAGTAACCATTCTAAATTCTAATAGAGCTATTATCCTTCATTTCGACTTGTTTGTTTGTACGTTCTGAATATCTACGGTAGCCCTCTGAGAAGCTTCAAATGTTACAATTTTTTATAGTGTTTTTTTAGCACTTAGCTAGATCTCACTAGCTCCGTCCCTCCTAAGCCGCTTGCTTGGCAACCTCGTTCACTGCGGCAACAGTTGCTTGTTGCAATGTGGCTTGCATTTGTTGAACCTTAGTGGCAATTGCTGCTCCCCTTGTCTCAAGTTCCTTCGTTTTTGCTTCCAGTCGGTCCCGCTCGGCCGTGATAAATTCCAAACGTTTGCTGACGGTGTCTCTGGCATCTTCCAGTGAATTCTTGATGAGAACGGGCCCAACCATCTTATAAACGCTAGCTGAACTATCCACTAATTCCAGCTCCTTTTGTACCATTTCATTCTCCGTCATTTGCCCAAGAACTGTTTGCAAGTCAGTCCGAACACTCTGCAATTGGCCTTGAATTTCCTTGAAGACTTCGACTTCGGCATCGATTTCTGCGGCCATTGCGCCACCTGGGTTGTTAGCTGCCATATTAATACTTGTTGCAACTGGTAGGTATTGTTGTTGTTGAGATGATTGTGGTCTTGGGGTTTTTGTTCACAGCGGTGTGCATGACAGACCACAGAAATCGATTCGAACTAGTCATCATTCAGTTATTGTATTCAGGCCCATTCCTGTTCGTTGTGTGGGTCTCTTCTATGCTTGCCTGACAACTACCTGTAGTTGCTGACATTCTTGATGGCTTGACAACTTAGTCTCATTACTATAACAATGACTAGCTACTTATTCATGCGACTACTGCATCTTTAGCACCAATGATTCCAGGAACCAAGGAAGCCAGTTCCTTTTGTAGCTCAAGTACTCCTCGTTGGCCTTCCATTTGCGCACTGACGAGCATGACAGGAAGTGCACTAGGCTGTCTGATTAAGCTATCAGAAAGTTGTTGTCGGACTTGAGTGACTCGCCTTGCCAGATCAGCTTGAGACACCAAGTCGCATTTGGTCAAGACAATCTGAATGGGTGGCAATTCTCGTTTCTGTGGTACGGGGAGAATGGGAAGACTGTGAGAGGATCTGCTATTTCACAAATATAAACTGCATCCGAAACGTACCTTCTTGGCTGACGGATGATTCTTAGAGGAGGCTGCTTGCTTCTTAAGAGCCTCTTGGAGCGATTCCATGAATTCCACATCTGCAATCTTCATACCATGTCGGGCATCAATCAGCAAGAGAATCCTTTTCAATGGCTTACCCCGATTTAAAATATAATCTTGCATCAAGGACTTCCAGGCTTCCATCTTGTCGTCCGTAGCATACGCAAAGCCATATCCAGGCAAGTCCACCAATTGCAGTGAGATTTTCGTTGTGGTGTGTAGTGTTTCTTCTACTGATGACGATTCATCTTCAGAGGTATTATCGCCTGCTGCTTCATCATTCTTGGGAGTAATGGTACTAGTGGTACTAGTCTTGGCAGTGAGTCGATAAAAGTCAATGGTTCGCGTCTGTCCAGGCTTGGAAGAAGTTGCTGCTTTGAGACCCTTTGGAAGCTTGGCAGTTCGGGCCGTGGGTTTCGGACCTTTGCCACGACGTTGATTTCGATGGGAAGGTATGGATTCGTCACCATTACCGTCCTGCTCCTGACTTGCCTTGGGGTGATTCCCGTACAAGAGCGCATTCAACAAGGTTGACTTTCCTACGTTGGACCGTCCTGCTATTGCCTGTCAATGGAGTGAAAAGTTGAAAATGAGAATGGGCATTTTGGGAAAAACAAGAGAAAGGTGATCAGACTTTTCTAGTTTGAACTTTCTAAGTTTTGACTTGTGTGTCCATGGATCTAAAAAGTGGACAGCTGGATATACTACTACGTACCACTTCCGGAACCTTCAATGATCCCGTTGGGAATGATTCCTCTGCCGTTCCAACACTCGCTATGCACTTTACTGGATATCTTCGAATCGATCGTTGCTGCGGTTGTTGTTGTGGTTGCTGCAGAGGTTGCTGCTCGTTGCTAGTTTGCTTTGCAGATTTATTGTTGCTATGATTCCTCTTCTTGTTCTTATCGTTGCCTCTTGTGTTCTTCTTGCCATCGATGGGCTTTTTGCGGTGCGATTTACTTTCTGTCTCTATCATTGCGTCGTTCCGTCTTGGTTTGGATTGTGGCGGCATGGCAAATGGTGGAGGTGGTATTCGTGATGGCAATCGTCGAATGCTTGGTGATAAGCTCTCTGCCTCTTCTTCTCTCGTCAAGAATTCACTCTTACTATTGCGTCGACTATAATTTCTATTAGCACTGTTCTTCTTTCGTAATCTATTCAATCGCCGCTTCACTGGAATACGTTTGGGAATACCTATCCCAATATTCTCAATGTAAGAGAGTATTGAAGGGTTGACTGGGATTTCCTTGAAGTTGGATCGATTGGATGAGAAAAGGTGATCCGATTCAGTTGAAGATGAGAATGATAACACCGATGAATAATGTCCATATGGCTTTGTCGTTGATAATATGTCATTGGATAAAGCCCTTTGGAATCGATATGATGTCATACATGGACTGTAAGATGAAGTGGATCGCAGTAGTGTTGTTGGTGATCTGGAATACTGTTGGAGTATCTTGAAAGATGATTGGTTAACCATATGACGAATATACAAAGGATGAATACCGCATGCCAAGTGTAATGAACTCCCAGGTCTCGATCTAATAAGGTTCCTGCTTGCAAGTTTGGCAGCATGCATGATGATCGAAAGAAACCACAAGAGCGATGAGGATGAATTTGAGATGTATGTTGAGGAAGTTGTGATGATGGATCAGATTGTCGAAATAGGACAGGTGGCCAGACTTCGTCACTATTTTCCCGTCAACGTTCAACGTGAAACATGGTTTATGGTGAACGTCCGGAAGTTGAAAACCGTCTTCATGAAACGCCAAATGGGCGATCCGGCATTTGAAGGGACAAACTTGCTGATGCTCGATATCAGTTTCAATTCAACAGCAAACGAATACATTACATATAGATTGATTCCTAAGGCAGCCCAACATGACAGCCGGTGCGACAAAACAAAGCGTCATTAATGATGCAAGGAAGTCCAAGATGAAGCATATCAATCAAGACAGTCAGCGTCGTATTCGCAGAGATTTTCAACAAAAGGAAACCAAGAAACCAACTGAAGAAGGGAATAATTGCTTTTTGGACTTTATATCCAACATGCTGAGTCCTTTCCGAAAGGAAGATATTCTGGAAGAAGTTCAGACTACAAATTTCAGCAAACAAGATATGAAGCAAAGCGTTTCAGAAATCTTTGACGGAAGTCGCAGAATTGACATTGATACAATTGAAGAATCCCCAGAAGACTTGGAATCTTCTCAGACCAATTTGCAGACTGTTCACGGTGATGGTAATCCGAACAATACAGAGGATCAGGCAACAACTTATGAGGACGTAGCTGATGGATATACAGAGGGAGGCAAATTTGAGGAAGCCATGAAGTCTTACAAACAAGCGTTAGAAATCCGACTATTGACTATGGGAAAGGATCACCTCGTCGTTGTAGGTACATACAACAAAATCGCGAGTATCTTTCGTTGTCAACTTAAATATGATGAGGCGCTGGAAACCTACGAGAAAGTTCTTGCGATTCGACTGAAAAACCTCGGAGCCAGCCATCCCGATACCGCCAAGACATTGAATAGCATGGCCAATGTCCTCAGCCGTCAGGGAAAATTTGACAAAGCCATGGAGAAATATCAGCAAGCATTGAAGATTCGAATCAAGGCCTTTGGTTGGGATCACTTGATCACTTCCGACACCTACTGTAATATTGCGGGGGTGCTGTACAATCAAGGCAAATTAGATGGAGCCATGAAGATTCATCAACTGGTTCTTGCTATTCGATTGAAAGAATTAGGCCGTGAGGATCCCGATATTGCTGATACTTACAACAATATTGCTTGTATATGCTATGATCTGAAAAAATTCAACGAGGCCCTGAAGCTGTACAAGCAAACCATGGCGATTCGATTGAGGACTGTTGGACCGGACCATCCAGATTCTGCAACGACGAATTACAATACTGGCAATGTGCTGAGAAAGTTGGGGAAATACGATGAGGCCATGGCCATGCACCAAAAAGCGTTGAAAATTCGACTCGAGACGACTGGGAAAGATCATGCAGACACTGCTGATACCTATCGCTGCATGGCTATCATCCTTCAAAATCAGGGCAAAAAGCAGCAAGCCCGAGAAATGTGTCAAGAGGCATTGGAGATTCGGCAAAAATGCCTGGGGCAGGATCATCCAGACACAACCAAGGCGCAAGAACTTTTGGACAAACTTTGTGCCTGACGATACGAAAAAGTTTGTTTTAAGTTTGACTAAACGGACTCTTTTGATAGTTTCATGTCACTTGCGACTTTTCGTGTGCCTTGTTTCGCATCTGAAAACTGCATGAACCAGTGAGTGAAGACGCTATTTCGTTCTTTCACACACTCTCCCTCAACACAGCAAAGTAAATACAAACACACAAACGACATCGTTCTGCCTCCTACCTGATCATGATTCCGCCTATACCAACACACGATGGCATTTCTGCCGAAAACAAGATCCAGCATGTTCTGGCGTCACCCAAAGAGGTGCTCCAAAGTCCTCAGCAGGCTTGCAAGAAGAAACTCAACAAGAATCAACCAAGTGATATCCCAATCCCACCTTGTTTTGACGATTCCATCTCCCACTTGTTGAGCCCTTTCAGCCCTTTCCGGAAGCGAGCTGTCCTGGAGCGAGCCATGCATGCCAAAAAGAAAGACATGTTGACCTTGAGTGTTAGGAATATAATATTTGCCGAGAACGACCAACTCGACAATAGTGAGAAACTTGACCATAGTGAGAGACTCGACAGAAGTGAGAAGAGAATCCTTGAGGGCTATCAAGGGAATGATAGTGGCCTTGTTTCTGTAGAAGAACAGAGCGACCGAGAAACTGCAGAAACCTATCTCCGCCTTGCAAAATTTCGTAAGAGCCAGGGCAAAAATGACAGATCTTATGCGCTATACCAAAAAGCACTCAAACTTAGACTGGAAACGCTGGGACCAGACCATGTCAGTACTGCAGAGATATACACCGATATGGCAAACGTTCTATTTAGTCAGAACAAATTTGACAGAGCGATGAGGAAATATCAGAAAGGATTGAAGATTCGAATCAAGGCCTTGGGTTGGGATCATGAGACCACTGCAGAATCTTACTGCAGCATTGGCCATGTCCTCTACAAACAAGGTGATCTGATAGGAGCGATGCGAGTTTATCAATTGGTACTTGCTATTCAATTGAAGAAGGTACAACGTGATAATCCATGTCTTGCTGATACCTACTCGTCCATTGGCACGGTCCATTATGACCTAGATGAAAATACAGAGGCCATGAACATGTATGAGCGAGTTTGGGCGATCCAATTCAAGAATATTGGACCAGAACATCTAGACACTGCGGCTACTTATCACCGCATGGCTAATGCTTTGAGAAAGCAGGGCAAGAATCAGAAAGCGCGACAAATGTATCAGCAGGCATTGGACATACGGCTGAAATCACTAGGAAAGGATCATCCAATCACTATCGAGACCCAAAATTATCTGAAAGAACTCGATGGAACAGGAAGATGAAACCTTGATTTGCAAAGTACAATTGGCCAATGCAGTGGAGGACTTGTTTGCTAATGTAAATTGCATAACATTTTAAACATAGAGAATATAGCATGGTCTAGATTACAGGTAGCACTGACAGATCAGGCAGTCGGATTATGGCACCTTTTAATAAGTCGACTAAGCGGACCAACTGTACCCAGCCAGAATTCTGGGTCGGCACGCGCATACCAGAACTCTGTATGCAGCTTCGCCACAAACAACATTTATATGACCTGATATTCGGTCCAGCGAGAAGGCGTATGCGGTACCGGTAAGTGATTAATTGTTTTTTCGCAAATTAGCGCTTGCATTCATTCATCATCATCACCTCTCTGATACCATACAACAACACTACTTTTCATTTAATACTCTAGTATGATGTCCGCCATGCCAGCCAGAGATGCTGTTGTACCACCACCCAAAGCACCAGAAGACCTCATGGAACTTACCACCAGCCCTTTCGGCAGACGAGCCATGTTGGGTAGAAAGCCCATGTATGAAAAAAAAGATATCATGACTCGAAGCGTCAGAAATATTCTCTTTGCTGGTAACGAGGATCTCGACACAAGCGGGAGGAGCGTTGGGCTCGACAGCAGCGCAAGGACGAGTGGGGATCTTGACATTAGCACGAGGAGTGGTGACAATTTCAGTATTCTTGAAACTGTTGGAGAGAACGACATCGCAGACACCGCCGACAGCCTCCGAGAACAGGGCAGATATGAAGAGGCTCTGGTACTTTACAAGGAGGCACTTGATCAAAAACTTGAAACAAAGGGCAAGAACCACAGGGATACAGCAGAGGCCTACTTTAAGGTTGCAAATGTCCTGTTCAGTCAAGAAAAATACGACGAGGCTATGGACAATTATCAAAAAGCCTTGAAGATTAGAATTAAGGTTCATGGATGGGATCATGAAAGCACCGCAGATACCTACAATTCTATTGCCAATGTTTTGCAGAATCAGGGAAACTTCGAAGGGGCTATGAGAGTTCATCAATTGATCCTTTCCATTCGATTGAAGAAAGTGGGACGAGAGCACCCGGATCTCGCCGATTCGTATACGAACATGGCCTGTCTTCTGTGTGATCAACATGTAAGTCACACCATGGAAGCCGAGAGATATGATTATATGATCTAGTGGCTTGATACTAACCTAAATTTTTTCCTCTCTCAGGAATACGCCGAGGCTTTGGTAATGTTTCAACGCGCCCTAGGGATTCGCATCAGCACTGTCGGACCAGACCATGCTGACACTGCGGCCACCCACCATGGCATGGCAACCGTCTATAAAGAACAATCAAAGATTGACCAGGCCAGAACTACCTATAAAAAGGCATTGGACATTCGTCAAAAATGTCTGGGAGCGGATCATGAAGACACCATCAAGACCCAAAAGCTTTTGGACGAACTTGCTGCCTGAGCGTAGTACTGGGAATGTATTGATCATTTATATTAATGCATAGCTAGTACTTAACAGTTTTTGGAAGCCACAACTGGTTGAAATCTCATGATCTTGGCCCAAAAAAGACCAATCAAGGCTGGCTAGTATCTACTGTAGTACGCCGTCGATAAGCAATAATGTCGCTCGGTATCATGAAGTCATCTTCCTGAATGGACTACTACTAGCATTATAAATTCCCGGTCTTCCTCTAATTCGTCCTTGTCGTTGTTGTACCTACTCATTGTTGAGCCTTGCTCCTACATTCGATGCCAAGAAGCATCGTGCCACTGTGATGTGATAAATTCTGAAAAAGAGTTCTTCTCGAGATATTTTTCGGTATTGTTCAGCATCCCAACAACAGTAGTGGCTGATGTAATAGAATCTACTTACTAACTATATAGCACCATATCCAATCATCTTTTCATCGCCTTGTTTTGTCCTTTGAGTACTACTAGTACTAACATTAGTACTACTACTTCTTGTTGGGTCTTGTTTCTTCAGTGATGGAGTCCAAGAAGCTGTCGACTACTGCAGGTTTGTGGAAGCGATTTCAAAGTTTCGCTTGGGAATTCGAGATTGGAATTGATCTCGTGCGTCCGTCTGCAACCGCATCTGTAGAAGAAGCATGCTCTGAGGAATAGAAGAAAGTATTGTAGGGGATACTGTTACCGGTAGTTGGATGATAGTCCTACTATTGCAACAGCTTTTGATTTTTTAAATTAAAATTCTTCCAGCACATGGATGCAGGGACAGGAGCACAACAATACATTTTCAATTTGTTCGCTAGAGCATCGCTATATCAAGTTTAAAATATATTGTACATTACATCTTCAGTGGGTTGCGGCGAGTTTGCGTCTCGAAAGTCAAGAGTTTGGGTGAATCATCCATGAGATGATCTTGAATGAACTTGTTTAGGCCTTTCCTGCCGCGCCAAATTGAATGAGCATTGCTTGGTAGAAAATGTACACAACTTTCTACAGCGATGTATTTCGGTACCGAAATGCTTTCGCCTGCCAATTCTGTCGCCGTCCGGATTCAGGTTTACGTGATCTCCACGTGTTCCAAGTACGACATTTTTCACAGTCCGTCCATCAGTTCTCAAAAGCCTTCAGGTGCACACACGGCAAAAACCAAACCTCGAGCTTTGTCAAACCAAAACCCAAACATCTCTCTCTCTCGTGGCATTTCTACCAAATTCTTTTGCACAAAAAGCCCTGTGATTCAGGCGCTGAGAAGCACGAAACGTGGATCATCGGTTCAGGACACTGAAGGAAAATAGCATCAGAGACAACACTTGGCTCTCCAGCTGCTTTCTGACAAACACAACCCTGAAAACTTGTAACAGACTGGAATTCATTTCTTGAGAACCCATCATTCATTCATATTTCCACACCCAAATTGCACCAGCTTTCCCTCAATTGGAAACCATGGATGATTCCGAAACCGCTACTGTCCCGCTCATGACGGGTTTGAATGCTCACCGAGCGCCTCAACCTCCTCTGAGATCTCCGAGTTACGTCTTTTCCCAAGTCCCCAAAGCCACCAAAGACTTGTCCGGATCCATCCTGCAAGAAGTCAAGGACCGGGACCATTTCAAGGCGTGCATGTCCGAAATGGTCTTGCTCTGCAATGAAGCTATCAGACGCAATTCTCTCAAAAAGTGCAAGAGCAAACCATTGAGTTTGGAGTACATTGCCGATCGATTGGATGTGGACGATCCCTGTTTTGGGTATTTGGCGAGATCCAACGAAGGAAAATTGCAAGGATTCATTACCCTCACGACTTTTACCAATTGGCAAAAGAACTTTCGGTGGGATTCCAAAAATGAAGCCTCTTTCTACTATGATGACGATGACGACGATGATGATGCTAATGAAAAGGAGAAAGAAGGAAACGATCAACAAGATGAGGAAGGAATTAAGTCCGAAGAGGAAGAGGAAGAGGACGAAGCTGAGTTTGAAGACAAGGATGACGACGATGATGAAAGTTATGCCGGTGAAGGTAGATATCACACACCAATCCCCTCCCGCAAGAGAAAGAATACGAAACCAGAGAGCGCCAAGAAGCAACCATCCACCAAGAAGCCAAAACAGGAGGAGACTACTGCTGAGACAAAGAAACCTCCCAAGAAGGCTCGCAAAATAGACTTGGATGGATCCTTGGCCCAAGAGTTGGAAAACACTGTCCGATTGGGAGATCCCTACAACGAAGGGATTGTCTGGCCCCGTATTGCTGAAGTCTCCTTGTTGGGAGCCTTGGGATGTGGAAAACAATTACTCAAGTTGGCCATTGAACAGCTGGAATTTCAAAAGCCCAGTGCCAATGCCAACTATGATTACTTGGTTCTGCAAGCGACGGATAATTCGATTGGCTTTTACGAGTCTATCGGATTTGTTCGTGTGGGGGCGGTGACCTTTGGTAATGATGACAAGAAGAACCAATCAACAGGTTCCACCGATACAAAGACGCCTTCGAAATCGACGAGTGACTCGACGAGCGGTGATAGCAGCAGCGTCGGTAGCGTTACCGACACGTCCATGGAAAGTAACGGCAGTGGTGTTGTAGTGGCAGAACCTTTGGCTCCATCGTCACCCGACAAGCAGGATGCTCTTGCTCGACCGTCCAGAATTGTCTCCAGCCCCTTGGAGGTACACATTGTCAAGCAAGGCGGATGGACACCAAAGGACATTGCCGCTAGGCACAAGGTGGATCCATGGGATGTCGTCTTTTTGAATCGGGACATTTATCCGTCTCTCACGGTACATAGCAAACTGAAAAAGGGTACCACACTATTTGTCCCCAAATCGAAAACAGATGCTCTGCATGCTGCATCCAGTCCTCAAGCACCAACCCAGGAGGAGACACCCACTAAATGGTTTGTGGCCAAGGAAAATGACACTCCACGCAAGATTGCCAAGATGCACGGTGTGCCTTGTACCCAATTAGTCCAAGCCAATGTTGCTCGATTGCCAGAATTGCAAGCAGCTTCCCGGCTCAAGGAAGGAACTCGAGTCAAGGTCAACAACTTTGACAAGCCGGACAATATTTGCCAACAATATTGTCACTGGAGCTTTCCTGACGATGCCTCTGTGGAAAATGGAGAACCCAGTTACATGATGGTCTACAAGGTGGAACGAAAGTCTGCCCGTGCGCCTCGTGATGTGCGCAATTCCTTGGCGGCCAAGGTCCAACCCTATCAACCACCGCCCCTTTTAATGGAAGCCCCCAAGACCCAAAAGGTGGTGACCAAGAAACGTCGAAATTTGCCCCGACCACCAGTTCCACCACCCCAGCCACCATCTGGATTCAATGTCTTTCAGGATCATCAAAAGCAACTTTATCCGGAACTTCGTGACTCCAATGCTGCCAATCGTCAATTGATCAAGGGCAAATGGGACCTATTGTCCAAATTAAAGCAGTCCCGCTACGAAGATGTGGCGAAGGATTGCGCCAAGCACTTTGACGATGCTCAAGCAAAGTTTGAAAAGGCGTACGCCAAGTGGAAGGATGATTGCGACAAGCTTCCACTCGTTGAGACTGTGTTGGAAAAGGACGACAACCTTTTCAGCAAGGTGGTCAAGTTGCGGGATGACGCGTTGGAAGGCAAGCAATATACCTATTGGTACGTTTTTCTTTTTGTGTTGGATCGTATCATTTGAAATTTTATCGATTTTGTACTAACTTTTTTCCATTCTCCGTTCACTTTTACAGGTTTGTCCTCACGTACATTCCCGACTTGAAGTGGTGTCACTTGGCACCAATGGTTCCCGATGGAGTCTTTGGTCCTGAACGAAAGCGATCCCATGGTCGCACTCGCTGGAGGTTGGTAGATGAATCTCTGGGTCACGAATTGGACATTAGTTCCGTGTTTTGCATTCCCGTTCGATCTCGAACCCTGAAGAAAACTGCAGATGCTGACAAGGAAGAGTGGGATGTCTTGGATGGTACAAGTAATGGTGTTGCGGCTTCATTCTCGTCGGATAAATCATCGGAAGGCAGTCCAACCACCAGTGCTGACGAGAAACCGCCACCCAAGCGGGCCATTCGAAAACAGCCCGTGCGCCCACGATCAGCAACCAAGCCTATGAGTGGGAAGATTGCAGTCAAATCTAGTGCTACTCCCAACAAGAAAGTCTTGGCATCTCCTGCCCGATCGACCCGCAGCAACCGAACCACTGACTCTCCCAGATCCTTTCCCTCGCCACGTCGCATCTTGTCCCCAGGACGTCCCGAGAAGGCCACCAGCTCACCGATTCGCCAATCGGCTGTCAAGCGAAAGGCGACTCAAGATTTGGATCCCGAACGCAAAGCCCGCACTATCAAGACGGTCGGAGGGCGCCGGAGTGTTTTGCAGTCATGAAAGAAGGTCGAATCGTCATCGGGTTCCGAAACTGTGGATTCGGAAACAGAATAGATTAATACACGCTATGTAACAAGATTACTTTTACAGTTAGAAATGCTATCAAGGTTATCATTCATTCTAGACACTATTTTAAATAAATTACAACTTTAGCCTAAGCATCCGGGGTAAATTCATCATCATCATCCATATCTTCGACAACCGCAATAGCTGGCTCCAAGTCCATCTTTGGCTGTCCTTGCATCTCGCTCATTTCATCAACACTCTTTTGGATAAGAAGTACTTCTTCTGTTTCCACTTCACTCGTTGGGTTGGCCCGAGTGAAGACAGCCACTGATCCCCAATTCATACCATCGGAAAGCATGCCATTGATTCCCGACTCTGACTGCTCGGCTCCCGAAAACTTGTCCACATTCAGTGTGAGCAAAAGCGGTGGCAACAATTGGCATTCAAAAGATCGTGGATTTCCATCAGGAGAGGATGGAACAGTAGGAGCTTCTGTAGGAATGGACCACATTGGGATGCCACCAGGAGCATACCTAACGACCTGTCGAGGAGCTCTCCGCAGACGATCCTGAAAGCCCAGCAGGATTCGATCTTCTTCGGATAGTCGCTCATCAGCTTCACCACCAGCACCACCTCCTCCACCTGCAGTTCCAGAGAGTGCAGCAAGAATATCTTCATCCTCTTCTTCGGCCATGTACCGAGCCAACATGTTTCGAATCTTATCGTCACTCGCACCCATACCAACATCGTCTTCTTCAATTTGTTGTCTAGGAGCAGGTGGTTCAACTTGTTGGTTCAGCATGTAACAAGGGAAGCTATCGGGGGATACCTTGGCTGTTGGCACAGTGCCTTTTGGGGTCTTGGCTGCTGCTGCTTCCTTCTTTGGCATGGCACCATCTTCTAGATTGGCTTCCATGGCCGCAATTTTCGACTCCAAATCGGCCACGTCGTTGTCACTTCCCGTATCTGCACCCCAATCATTATCCATATCATCTCCATCATCACTATACCATGACGACTTCACTGGTGCCGCCGGTGCAGATGGCTTGGGCTTTTCGCGGATTGGTCTCACCAACATTCTGCAGGACATGACACCGTTTCCGTATGAAAATCCATTTTCGAACTTTAGCTTGCTGAAACATGCCGATTGCGGACATCCGTAGACAGTAAGAAATCTTTCCATTTGGTTCTCTATGCGATAGAGCTGTACGAGTAGCTTCATATTGTCGTCACAATGCTGACAAGTTGGAGCCGGACCCAACTCGGAAAATGCAACTCCACCGATATGGGACTCTATTGGTGCCGTACTGTTTTTTCTAGGCGGCCCTTGTGTGGGAACATATAGTTTTACGGGTTCACCGTTATCACTGTAATCGTCATTGTTGCCCCACATCTTGATGCAATGTGGTTGGAGGGTGGGATTTTCGAAAATTGAAAATGTTGTGACGATATTTTGATGGCCATGTCATCTTCATCCTCTGCGCATTTGATTGCGCGATTTTCGTTCAATCCCGAGTGACGAGAGAAAATTCTTGTCAGTCGCCAGCCCTCTACAATCGCCAGCCAACAGTCTTGAACTTCGTTTTTTGTTGACGTTGAATAAACATACATAGGAAGAGCGAGCAGACCTGCACCTTTTTTTGACCGTGTGACGGCCGGCTGAAGTACAAAATTGAAAACTGCTTGAAAACCCAAAAAAAAACTGAAATCATTGGTTCCATTAGCTCCATTGTTACTCGAAGATGATGAATTCCAAGGTATACAAAAAGACCAAGGTAGTCGAGACTTCCTTGGCAACTGTTCAGATAGAGTCTGAAGTCTATGAAACAAAGCCAGTAACAGTTGGAGAAGGACCACCAAGATGGTTAAAGAACATAGAACCATCACAACAAAATCCTGAAGCAAAGCGAGAAACAGATCAGCGCCAGCATATGAATCTCCTATTTAAACTGGGACAAAAGCATCAGTCTTCTTCTTTTTTGAGTGAAGAAAAAAGTGCAGGTTCTGGATCTTCTGATGAACGCAGGTCCAGAGAGCAATTGTATGGAGGAACCACCATTGGTGTTCATCGATCTACAAGACACTTGGATGTTTCATCAGCTTCAGACGACTTGAGCAAGCAACAGAAGCAACCGGAGCCTGAGGACGTCCGAAAGGACGCAGCTGAAACCTATCTTGGAATCAGCCTAAGGGACATTTCGAACAAGTTCTTCATGACACAAAACTGCCCAACTGATGGAGTGGAAGAGACCAAAGAAGGAGAGGAAGATGCGAAGAGAGACAGCAGGCCTTCGCTTGTCGGTTTCGATATTGGAAAGGTGATCCCGAAGAACCTTTTGGAATCCATCCAAACCATTCCCGCAATGTCATTCTATGGTTCCAACAGATCGTCTGATGAAGCTCCTTTGAATGACCCAGTCAATGGCAAAGCACCTTTATTTACTGAAGAAATGCGCGAAAAGCAACTCCAAAGTCTAGTGCCCCTGGATGAAATTCGAATCATTGACCCTTGCGAAGCTTGCCGCGTTGATTTGACGACGGTGGAGGACGGTGACTTTTACTTGCGACGGACCGAAAGTGATGAAATGAGTTGCGTTACCATCCCCAACATGAATGCTGCATCGTAACGACTCCTAAAGGAGGGAATCAATTATGAAATTGCAAGAGCGCTTGGAGCGAACTCTTTCGATTATCAATTGAATACCCTGTGTATATTTCTATTTTGCATAAATTTATTTTAGAACCTACATTTTCATTTACGCAAACTTTTAGTCTATTGATACTTGACAGTGCCTTCATCTGCACTCAGAAGGAGCGAAGCAGTAAAACAAATGTGGAAAGACGCTACATCACCGTTGGTAAGATTAGATCATTGTTTTATCCTGGAGTTTCCCTTATTTTCTACACGTCTAGTCGATGAACCACAGGTTGCATCAGCTCGAGACTGTGGCTGACTCGAAGCTGATTGTCTTGTCTACCTGTTAGCCGGTTGAAGGACTCTACAATATGCAGTTTCAGTAGGCTGGAAAGGGCTTCCGAGTCCTATCACACGTTCCAATTGGTCATTTTCACCTTCCGACACCATGCCGCGGTTCTCATACTAATCCCAACTTGGACATGATGAATACTCCCAGTGGACCGTCTAAGACTGCCCTAGAAACAGTGACGGCCAGTATCACACCAAGGATATCCATAATGACCTGAATCGACGTCGATGAGTGAGCTGGATCGACACCAATGAATTCCAAAATGATTGGCAAGACTGCTCCGAGACAAACGCTGCTAAAGACAATCAATGTCAAGGCCGATGTTACCGCAATGGCTTCCGGCAAGGGCGTCTTGAACAAGATGGCCCTTAAAAATCCTGCCACACTCAAAATTACTGAAAGGGCACCCGCCATTTTGACTTCGCGATTCAAAAATTGATTGCGGGTCTTTTCATTGAGTGTGCCCAAGGCTAGACCGCGAATGACTGAAGGGGCAATAGCTGTGTGAGAGCGACCCACGCATCTAAAAAAAGTGGCATTCAACATTTATACTCACCTCGCACTGACGCTTGATTGCCGGCATTTCCACCCGCTCCCACCAACATGGTCAAGAAGTAAATAATGACAGGATGGTTTGCCAATAGTGCTTCATTTCGTCCCAGAATAATCCCCGAAAAGGATTGCATCACCAATAATCCAACCAACCACAAAGCACGATCGCGAAGGGCCTCCTTGAAAGAAATGGCAGGTTCGACGGGGCATTGGTCTGAAAATGAGGGAAAATGACAAAACAATTGATATGAAATCAGCTGAAGAACAACAGCGACATATCATATCCAAAATACTGCATCCAGCGATGATTATGCAACAGCCAAATGCAAGATACTTACCACCTTCCAATTCATCACACCACAGTTCATCTTGAGAAATTTCGTCTCCACTTAGTGTAATGCCGGATGACATACCAGTAGCACTATCTTGATCCCAAAACAAGGACTCTCCTTCAAAACTCTCCAACACAATTCTGTTCCTTTGTTTCAAGTTCTGATTTTCTTCTTCCAATTGTCGTATCGTGTCTCTCAAGACGGAATTCTCAGACTTCATCTCGTCCAAGTCTTCTTCCGCCGTGCTGGAGGACGACAATTCAAAGGAGGGTAGGGTAATCTTTCTTGGCAGGACGCGTTTGAAAAGATTGGAACTTTGATGGCGAATCGAAAGCGGATTGATAGATAGCGGTTTCAGCGGACTCCAGGCCTGACACACCAAGGAATAGTGCTGTAGGAGTAGCAGTGTTGCAGCCAAGACGGAATTCCGTCTACTGTATGATATCATCGTCATGATTGCGATTGATGTGTTGTTTCTTGTTGTGCTTGTAGTTTGTCTATCGCGTCTTAGATTCACTACTATCGATTCTGATGTGCTGCCGACAAATTCTAGCTACAACAACAACGCTTATGACTGATGATAGGACAGTTCTTGTACTTCTTGTCTAGAGGAGAAATCTTTGAAGCTTTGAATGACGTACTGTTGGTACTGGTAGATACGGAGATTTCAGATTTCAATTGAATCAATCCATCGATATCATATCGACTGACTCATTCGAACACGACTTCTTCGATTGGTGCAGTTGGTGGCGGCAAACGCGCCAGAAGTTTGCTGCTCGAACATGGATCAACAGCTTTGCTTGTACCATACCGTGGACATCAAAGAACAGATCATCAAAGAAGGGAACCAGTGAACATACAGAATGTCGGAACCAATTACCACCTTGGTATCCTCCAAGAAGGTCACCAAGAAGAAGAAAATAGGATTTCGCCCCGTAGGAAAAGCCAAACCCAAAGCCGCAAAAAAGGGAGGCAACAAATCATCTGTCAAGGCATCCTCATTGAAGTCACCGCCTCCTGGTTCCATGCCAGCATCCCCTGGTAAGCTGCGAACGTCAAGGACCAAAGCAACGCCTAGCATTGCCGAACCAATGGCAGATGCGGATGCCTCAACCGCGGCATCACCTTCAGACATGCCTGAAGTAACGGAAGCTTCGTCTACAACGCCTGTAGACGAAACGTCCTCCAAACTACCGGAACCTTCTGAAGCAAGCTCTACAGAACACACAAAGTCAATCCTTAAAATACCAGTAATGCAACGGGGCTCTCCACGAAAGCGAAAGCACGCTGGAATTACCATTGGTACTTCTCGCAAACTCACTGATACCGCCACGGAACGATCCAAGGCTGCAGTGGTTGTTGCTCAGAAACCTCCAACGGCAAATCCCGAATTAGTCGACGAAACGCACAAGCCCGCTGCTTCTTCCGCTATTGAATTGGTTTCTTCCTCCAAATCCGAAGAACAAGACAACCAACTAATTGAAAAGCTTAAGTCTGAAGATCCGGAAGGCAAATCACTGAGTTCGTTTTGTTCCAGTTTCAAAGTCAAGAAACCCAAAAACGCCGATGGCGATTCCGAGACAGTAGGGAAAAAGAAAAAGACTAATCCAAATGCTCCCGAAAATGACAATGACTTTCATGGCAACAAGGAGCCCGCTCAACGAGGTGTCCCCGAAGTGCAAATGGTGGATGGACAAATTGTCTTGCAAGAATCGAGTTTGATGTTTCCCGGTCAACGCCGGACCATTCAAGAAGTGGAGGCCGAATATGAAGTCGTAGAAGAAGATGCTCAATTGACCATTATTGGAGCCAATTGCAATTCCTTTGTCAATCGCAAGAAACCCAAGCATTGGACCAAGGAGGAAACCAAAAAGTTTTATGAAGCGCTGATGCAACTCGGTACTGACTTTTCTAGTATGGAAGCCTTTTTCCAAGATCGGAATCGCAAACAATTGAAACGAAAATACACTACTGAACTGAAAAAGAATCCTAATCTGATTGAAATGGCATTGAATCCAAAATGCCAAAAGGATGTCGGTGAGTGCAGCTACTAAGCTATTGGATGCGGGTGTATTCGATTGGTTGATTGCTGTGTTGACTACCTGGCATCAATTAGTTGACTGATTCAACTTCTTTGTGCGCTTGCATTTGTTTCTTGCTGGTCTAACCGTTCTAACCTCTCCGTGTCTCTCTTCCTTTCTGTCTGTTCCAAACTCCCGTCCCATTACCGAATCACCAGATCTCTCGATCTTTTCCGTCCAAGTGGGCAAAAAGGACATTAAAGCTGCTGCGAAACAAGACAAGATCCCCATTCCCTTTGAACGAAACGATGTCGAAACAGAAGAAGACAAGGAGGCCGCCAAGAAGAACAAGCGACGCAAACGTGGTAAAAGCGAAGGCGAAGAACCATCGCCCCAACAACAACAACAAGGCGTATGGGAAGTTGTCCAGGAAGATGCAGCCGTGGTCGTCCAAGAAGAAGCTCCAAGAACGGCCATTTCGGCACGATTTACTGCCGAACAAGATGCCCTGTGGTTTGGAGATGAAGATGCGAATCAAAATGACATTCCGGGACCTAGCATGGAAGACTTTTTCCAAAGCAATGCTGACGAGAACACTACACCTGCTGACGAGAACTTACTCTCCGAAATGGGTGGTAGTGGTCCAGTAGGAGCCGAATCACTCTCATTGGTGCCCAACAAGAAGACCACTCCTGCTGCCAAGAGGAAACCCAAGTTTCGATCGTCGGGAAGAAAGAAAAAGAAATGAAGGACCGATTGATTGATTGATTCGGTCAACATGCTCATGTTGGAAATTGTCAATAGCAGCTGTAGCAGCATGTTTCGTAAACCTTGCATCTTGTCATGACGATCCACCGCTGGAGAGGAGATGCAGAAAATGAAGCGAAAATATGTTCCGCTTCACGTCATAGTGACAAATAACACGTACTTGCTCGATGCGCAACGGACGACCAATATGTCTTATCAACGATGAATTCCAGTAGTTTGATCCAGTGCAATCAATTTAAATTTTTGCTGCGGCACAGCCGCCATCAATATTTTCAAACCGATGTGTGTAGCTTTTGTACCACATTCTACATGTGTCTGTACTCTGTCTGAAGCGCCCCCTGCAACTGAGTACGTACTTTTGCAAACGCAATTCCGATGGGCTCGCTTTTTGAGATTTCCCTGCCCAATCAAGTGGCTTGAAAGAATCAGAAGACCCAGGAGCCATCACTTCAAAAGATATTCCAATACCATTCAAAAATCAACGGACAATCGATCACAAAAGGAAATAATACGTACAGTAGCAAGATGAAAATCAACAGCCAGCTTACTGGTCTATTTCTGGCTAGCCTAGCACTTGGCACCAATGCCTTTACTTCAATAGCCCCCAAGACAGGAAGCTCTGTGGCCCTCAAGGCCTCGGAACGACAGGATCCTGGACCTCCACCAATGGACACTCAAATGCCCATGCAAGACCGACCTGCTCCAGCAGGTCCAGCTGGAGGTCTCAGCAGGCCTCCCAACATGGTGGATGATTTGGATTCTTCTGAATTGATTGCCATGGACATGTTCCCAATTTTTCCTAGTCTTGAAACCGTACAAGGAGGAGGGACGGTCCGAACTTACAAGATGCCTCTTTGGGCCGACAAGTGCCAGATGTTGTTTACGACCGATGGACGTCCAATGAAGGCGGAAGCCAACTTGTGGCTGGGACCCCTTCGTGTCGTGCACACTATGAAAATTGACATGGAAGATGGAGCCAAGACTCCCTATCAATCGACCATTACCTTTAAGAAATTTGGACAAGTCTTGAAAGTCAGTACTTCCGACAGTTTGGAATTCCCCATGCTGGCTGGTGTCTACGTTCCGAACCCCGAACGAGCAAAGGAGCTTCATCAGAATACTATTGATGTCTTTGATAATGCTACTCCCGAACAAAAGAAGAGAATTCAAGGAGGATCCACTCTTGGTGGAGGAGGTGCCGTCCGGTATTGGACCATTCCGCCCAATGTCCAATCAGTCCAAGTTATTGGCTGGTCCAAGGACGTTGGTAAGAAGTCCTTCAAGCTAAAGGTTGAGGTTCTGCAAGGACCCAACAACATCAAGCAAGGGTTCTTCCTTCAATGCGGAGGAAGTACTCAACCATACCACGGAGTGCTACAAACTCCTGGACCTGGTTCTATCATTCGAATTACCAACCAAAAATTCTTGGAAGATGGTTTGATCCAAATAGCAATTGTGCCTTACGAGGTTACAGGAGAAGTTCCTGCCGACATTCCATCGGTGGAAGATCTTCCCAACAAGTTCCCAACTTCCCGAAGCAACTCGTGGTGGGACAATAAATAAACAGTTATTTTGTGTCTGATCATGATGTGGTAGGAGACGGCAAACAAGCAAGCTAGGGTTAGTGAGTGGTTCTTTTCATCCAATACAATCAATATAGAGATGGTTGATTGATTCGGTGGGGAGCACTTTTTGGTGCTGGATTTGTGCTTTTGGATAGAGGAGATAATGATAATTTGGGTGTGATGATAATGAGGATGATAAAGTGTGTATTTATTCTCACAATAGAATAAGGGAGCAATTCCATAAAAAGTATATGTAAACATCCAGCATACTGCATACTGCATAGGTAACATAAACAGTATTTTATATTTTTTGGAGCGTTAGACAAAAGAGTTGATGTTGGGCTTCTCATCATCGGAAAGTGATGGGTTGTTCGCCACCGATAAGAAAGGAGAAGGTTGTAGGATGAAGGGAAAATATCGGCAGAGAGATTCGCGAACGAATATTTTTTACAAAAAGGAAGATTTCTTCAATCGAATCAAATGCACCGAAACGAACTATCCGGGAGACAGCAAGACACGTGCGTGTAGGCAGCAAGACAACAAGACGCGGGTACGTGCCGAGTTCCCAGAATTTCGTTGCGCATTTTTCGCTGGCTTGCTTTTTGCCCCAAACCCAAAAAACTGCTGTGTGCAACCAGCGAGCAAAAACCCAGACAGCCATATTAGAAATTCCAGATCCAGCAATCAAAGTGCCAAGAGAGAGAGAGAGAGAGAGAGTAGAAACAAGATTGGGAAGAAGAGAATAGCGTTTGACTTTGAATCACACAACAACCTTACCTTCCAAAGAAAGGAGAGTCAAACGACAGCAGGCAATCAACAATTGACGCTGTAGAGTGTTCGGTTTCTAGTGGAGACTGATTTCGTTTCAAACCGTTCGAATCCCTTGTCAGCCGGCCACTTGATCATCACATAGTCAGTACATTGCCTCTATTGCATCACACAAACTTTTAAAATGGCGGGGGAGGTCAAGAGAAGTAGCAAGCCAAGCGCCCAAGGCTGTAGTAGTAGTCCCGGAAGGAAAAAAGCACCAGCTCCGGCAGCTGGGAGCTTGATTTCGGTAGCCACAAAGGCCGGAGCTATGCACCATCAAATAGCAGAGGCTAGTCCAGCAAGCGGGCCACTGCATTCACCTTCACCTAGGTTCAACTCTCATCCAGGTGCGGTGGACGTGGCATCATCGGAAGTAAGTTTTGAAGGAGTATTTGTTCTTGGAGGGGAGCCATTATTTCGTTCCACCCATGCCCTAACAACGATGTTTTGTCTTTGCCATACTCTTATTTTGTTCCATAGGAAGAGAGTGTTGCCGAACTTGCCGATGTCAGCGAGGGAGAATGCTCATCAGTCGATGAAGAGCTGGTCCGGAGACGACGAAATAGACGCCAGGATCAAGTTTTGGACGATGCAGACATCTGCATCCCTCCCAGTCCGAGGGGCAGCACCCCTAACAGTACTGGCAGCAAACTTGACAGCAACAATTCCACCCCACTCCCTCCTTTGGCAGTCAAGTGCGCCCGCTTCTCCGATGCGGAATCCTTGACAGAAGATCATCCCACAACTGCTGCCAACCATGACATGAGTCCGCCTCTGTCCTCTTCACCACAACCTCTGCCAGATATACCGACGCTCAAGACTGCTGCTTCTAGTGAGACCCAAGATGTACCCAAAGATACAGCAGCTGCTGGTGCAAGTCCAGCTTCCAACACAGGCAGCTTTGTTGTGCCTTCTCATTCGCACGAAGAAGCGGACAGTGATTTGGATCATGCTCCGACCTCTTTACCAAGATTCAAGGATCCAAGAACCTGCATGTGGACCTCTTCTCATGCGGCCAATTCTCCTTCCGAAGATCGATCAGCTTCCTTGGTCAATGTCTTACTACAGCCACTACCACCGAATTTTGATGAGGAAACTCAATTGCCCGAAATGGAAAAGGAATACTCTTCCTTGATAAGACTCAACTTGTGGGCCGTCATTGATGGACACGGGGGTGGCTGTGTGGCGACCTATGCTTCGGAAGTACTGCTTCCACATATTGCTGCTTCCATTTCTCGTGCATTGGGCTGTGCCATTGTCAGTCGGGGGGTCTGCCTGGTGAATGGACAATTGCGAGATGCCAATGCACTCGATTTGGATGGTCTCATCAAGACTTCGGACAGATCACCGGCCAATCCCAATTCTATCCATTATCGATCGCCCTACGAAGCCAGTGACAGCGACGAGGAAGGAGAGAATGCGGGACATTTGTCCCAAGTCCGACCGGATGATGAGGAAGCGACCCAAAATTCCAAAGAACAATTGTCAGCTGCTACGGCCAGTGCGATTGCACCTCCAATGGTGCCACGATCACCAAAGGAGGTACCACCAGTATCTTCCATTGCTCCTTCGGTATCGTCTGCCAAGACTTCAGTCAAGACGGCAGCCTCTCCAGCAGCCAGGCATGCACCAACTGGAACACATTCTCCCAGTGAAGTTGCCGCAATTACGCGTGCCATTACGGAATCGTTTTTGGCGGTGGACGAAGGGTGGATCAATTCCATTGATCCTGTGGCGACTCACCAGACATCTTGTCAGAGCAATGGAAGATGGAATTCAGGTGCCTGTGCCTTGACAGTCTTTTCTGTGCAACGCCTTGAATGGACCGATGTGACGGAAGAACATCCGGATCGAGGGTTGCATGGATTGTCCAAGGACATGGGGCACGATACGTCCCACAACAAGGATGCGGCGAGACGAAGAATGCTGGATTATGCCACCCGTGCCAAGAGTGCAAGTTCGATGAGCACCATTTCGTCCACCTCCTCCCTGACAACTGCGGACGATCGAGTCAATACTTCTGGCTTGGAATCGGAAATTACGGAAACAGAAGGAGAAGATGAAGATGGCTCCAAAGGTGAAGATAATTCCAGAAGACGAAATTCCCATCGACGATTGCACCGGAAAAGTTTGCAACAGGATTCGTTTATTACTGCACCAGGAGGAGATTCCAGCCATTACTATCGAGCCTTGGATGCTATGCTTTACACGGCTCATGTGGGAGATTGTCGGGCTGTCATGTTGGGATCGGCGCCACCGCGAACCATCAAGGTTCATGGGTCGGCACCCGGACATACCGAGGCTACAGATGACGAGTCGAGTCACCACAGTTCTGATGAAACAGAGTGCTTGAGTAGTTCAGACCACGATGCGGACAGCAGTGACGACGAAGTCATGGATATCCAAGGACAGCCGACCTCTGCCACGACTCCTTCTTACATGGCATACATGCGAAAACCAGCACGGAGGCAGTCACGTCGGCGGGCCAAGGACGATTTGGGGACCAATGCACCCTTCATTGCCCTACCCCCCTTGGAGGATTTCCGATCCGTCGAAATTGAAATTGGCAGCGATGGGGACCTTCAAGGAAAGACTCAAATAAATGGTGGCAAACATCATTCAGATGCTTCGGCATCAGCGTCATCGTCTTCATCGCAGGACACTCAGGACAACAATTCCATTATTCACCTGTCACCCGTAACTCGACCCATCGATTTGACAACGGACCACTCTGCTTACAACCCAGCTGAAGTGACAGGGGTTCTACGACGATGCAATAATGCCCCTCGAGCCATATCAGCTGGCGTGGGTGGAGGAATCAAGCGCGTCGCTGGAAGTCTAGCTGTGACTCGAGCACTCGGGGATGCCTACCTCAAGACTCCAAAGCTTTCCTTTTTTCCGTACAAACGCCATGCACCGTACATTACAGCTCGGCCTGAAGTGAACTGTCGTCCAATTGTCAAAGATGGGGATAAGCTGCTGGTCCTTGCTACAGATGGCGTCTGGGAACGCGCAAGTGGGGAAGACGTCCTCAAGTGGGTGAGAAACTTCTATGCCGAGCGAATTGCCAGACAGGAGCGACATCAAAACCGCAGGCAAAACCTTACGGAACGTGGTTCCAATGATGGCAGTGCCAATGGAAAGAGAGATGATGACAGTGACGAGCGCCCCAATGGAACCGAAGTGGTTGGATCAAAACGAGAAATGCCCCGAAGTCCAAGTCCTCCGGCCAAGCGTCGAAAAATTGGCATTGGCGGCCGCCCCAATCGTCGAGGTAACACTCCCTTTGGATCGCAACGGAACTCCAATGTTTCTGATGTCATTGTACGCCGTGTGCTGAACAAAGTGCGACGAACCCGAAACATTTCCAGTTTGCATGCGCTCATGTCGCTTCCACCAGGCAGAGCCCGGCGATCCAAGCACGACGATATTACCGCTTGCGTGGTGGACTTGTCTGCCTTCGTCCTTTAAATTATGTATTGGTACGAGTACTGCAAATAGCACATCATTGTAGGATTCTTTTGTCTAAATATGTGAGATTATTGCTTTATAGTGAATATCCCGTGGTAGTATGCTCTATATCTAAAACTGTAGCGAAGTGGTTCGACTTGATGGGTTGGACTTTGTTTGGTCGTTGGAAATGGAAACCTCCGCTGATGCACCAGCGAGGGTTGGTGGTGTGGGGGCTTGTCCCGGCGTGGAGGTGGCGGCAGTTCCAGCCAACATACTGGCCATGCCCGCCCCCAAGTCAGCCAGAACTGTAGTGGCGACTGAGGCAGCTGCTGCACCCCTTTCGCCACCAATCATTACTGGCTCGTGGGTACCAAACCAAGATAGCTTTTGCTTTCCTTGTTCGATCAACTTGTAATCAGTAGCATCGAATTGTAGCAACGTTGCCAAAACTGGCAGAAGAGCGGATCGTTCGCTTGTTCCAGGAGGTTTGGACAGAAATTGGACAATGATGCTCTTCAAGTAGTCCATGTTGACGTCCTCGCGACGTTTCACACGGCACAATTCTTCGACTTGAGCCTCGATCTCGTGTGCCGTTCTTTCGGCGGCTGCCAAATCTCCGTCTCGCTTCAGCAGTGCTGTAGTCAATCGTTCCAATGCACGATCTCGGACTTCGATTTCCGAAGCTTGTGCGGATTCGCGATTGCTTTGCATTTCGGCAAGTTCGAAAATTTTTCTATCGCTCAAGGACCCCTTGTCCACCTCTTGCTTGAGCTTCCTGTTTTCTGTTCGGAGTTCCGCGCATTCGGATTCCTTCTCTTGGATGAGTTTTTGAGCCGCAGCACTCTTTCGGGCTGAAGACTGTTGCAGTTGCTGAAATTCCCGTTGAAGACTTTCGGTCACCATGTTGTTTCTCTTAGCTGCTCCCTTTTGAGCCTGCAACGCGTTCTCGCTGGATTCCTTCTTTCCCTTCTCTGCCAAAGCAAGTGCATCTTGTGCGTCCTTCAAATCCCTTTCGAACGCCTTGAGACTTTCGTCTCTTTGGCTGAGATCGTAGATGGCTGCTTCCAGTTTTGCGTTGACTTCTGCGTTCTTTTCATTCACTTCAGCGAGTTGATTTTCGAGCATGCCCATCATCGCCGTTCGTTGTCCATGGTTTTGCTCACTCGCTTCCTTTTCGCTTTGAAGGCGGTTTGCAAGCTGGCTTGTTTTTGTCAATTCGAGCTTTAGCTTGTTCATCTCCTGTCTCATGTTTTCAATCTCAGTTTCACTCAGGTCCAACTTGGCTCTTTGCCTCTTCGCGTCTGCAATTGCATTCTCCTTTTCCCTCGCATCTTCTGCCATGATGTTCAAGTTTGTCGAGAGAGCATTCAACTTTCCACTTAGCTCTTCGACCTGGTTTGTCTTGGCATCCAACATTCCCTTCATCTTCTCAAATTCTGCTACGGCGTTCTCTGTAGTGTTCGATTTCTGCTTCAAAGCGTCTTCAGCTGCCTTGCTCTTTGATTCAGCTTCCCTAAACAGCTTCTTTTGCTGTTCCAGCTCCTCTGTAAGCTGCTTCTTTGCTGCTGCTTCCTTTTCAAGTGACTTCTGTAGTTGAATCCTTTCTTCTTGGCCCTTCTTTGCGGCCTCCGAAATGGTTTTCAATTGTGCTGCGAGCTTATTGACCTTCTCATCTCGTTTCGAGTCTTTTTCAGCCGTAGCATCTTGAACAGCCTTCGACTTTTCTCTTTCTTCTGTTAGCTTAGTCATCATTTGAGCCTTCATCTTATCCACATGGTCTGCCATCTTGTTCTTCAACTGCTTCAATTCGTCTTCATGCTTCTTCGCTTCAGCATCCATTTCTGCCTTGAGACGACTTTCAAGATCCTTGGACTGCGAAGTCAAGTCTTCCACCAGCTTCTTCTTGGCATTCGCGTGTTCCTCCTCGGTTTTCTTCATGGCCTCCGCGTATTTTGATTGGAGTTCTTGGAGTTGTGACTCCTTTTCAGTTGCCTGTCCAGCTTGCGAACCGAGCTCCTCGATTTGTTTTTCGGCTTGTGCTTTCTCGTCTCGCATCTTCTTCAGCTGCTGCGACAATTCCTTCATCTGTTGCTCATGAGAAAACTTAACATCTGCGAGCTCCTTCGTCTGAGTCGAAACTTGAGTTTCAAGTTGTGTCAGCTTTTCGGGCGGAACCTTGGTGGATACTGCTTGCTGCAACTTCTTCATTGAAGCCTCGTATTTCTCCTTCAATACTGCAAGCTCTTTGTTAGCACCTTCAAGACTGGATTTCAACGTTGATAGTTCAGTTGCCGAGTTAGTAGTCATCTTCGTAACCTTTTCAGATTCTTCTTTCAGGGTCGAACGTAGTTTATTCAACTCCTCAGCCAATCTCTCATTCTCTTGCTTCAGCGTCTGCTCTGCACCTTGCATCTTTGATGACGCATCCGATGTGTCTCTCACCAACTTCTTTGCGGCCTCCAGTTCTTTGTCAATCTTGGCCTTTTCTGCCCTGGCGGCCTCCGTACTCTTTTTGAACTCAGCTTCCTTCGTCGCCAACTTCTCATTCAGAATTCCAATGGTCTTATCAAGTTGGGATACCTTTTGATTCAACGACTGGACTTCCGCCTCGTGCTTCTTGCTGGATGCCTCAAGGTCTTCTGTCAGGTTGTCGTTTTGTGCTTTCAGCGCCTTCTCTGTGCCCTGCATCTTCGAAGATGAATCCTTCAAAAGCTTCTTCGCAGCCTCGAGCTCCTTTACGATCTTGGCTTTCTCCAGCTTCATGGTCTCGGTGGTCTTCTTCAACTCAGCTTCCTTCGAAGCTACATTTTGATTCAATTTCGATATCGTTTCGTCTAGCGCTGAAACCTTATCGATCAACGATTTGACTTCGAATTCGTGCTTTTTGTTGGCTGCCTTCATATCTTCTACCAGTTTGTCGTTTTGTGCTTTTAGCGCCTTCTCTGCGCCCTGCACCTGCGACGAAGAGTCGGAAATTTCCTTAACCAGCTTCTTAGAGAGCTCAAGTTCTTTTTCGGTTTTGTACTTTTCTGCATTCAGACTTTCCAACCCCTTCTTGTACTCCGTCTCTTTGGATGCCAGTTTCTCGTTAAGAGTTCTAATATTCTTGTCCAAAATGGAAATATTCTCATTCAACGTCTTGACTTCGGTTTCGTGCTTTTTGGTCAAAACGTTGAGATCCGCCACGAGCTTGTCGTTTTTTGTTTTCAATGCCTTCTCGGCACCTTGCATCTTCGAAGAGGAATCTGACATATCCTTCACCAGTTTCTTTGACACCTCCAATTCCTTCTCAAGTTTGGTCTTCTCTGCCACGTTAGCTTCCGTCGCCTTTTCAAATTGCGACACCATGCCATTCATTCTTTTGATTTCGGCTGCCGTGCTTTGGAGATCCGCTGCAAGCTTATCATTTCTTGCCTGCAACGCCTTCCCTGCCTCTTCCATTTTCTTAGACGAATCAGACATGTCCTTCACCAACTTCTTTGAATCTTGAAGCTCCTTTTCGATCTTGGCCTTTTCCGACTTCATTGTCTCCATGCTCTTGCTCCGTTCTGTCTCCGTGGATTCCAATTTCTCATTCAAACTTGTTATAGTCTTGTCAAGCTTGGAAACCTTCTCGTTCAAGGATTTGACCTCGCTGCCGTGATTGTCCGTCTGTTCTTTCATCATCTTTTCGTACGAGTCCCTTTGCTTCTTAAGTGACTCCTGAACCAAATTTTGGGAATTCTTTTCTCCGTCCTTTGCAGCATCCAAAATCGCTTTCCTCTCATCATCCATCGCTCCAATCTTTTGTTCCAAACCCTGCACCATCTCTTGCAAAGACTTCTCTCTACGAACGGCGGCTTCGAGCTCGTCAGCTGTCTTCTTCGAAACAGCTTGCAATTCCTTGGACTGTTTCTCAAACTTGGAGGTCATCTCCATCACTTCCTTCGCCTTTGATTTCTCAGCTTCGAGCGCCTTTGCCAACTTCTCGGCTTCCTCCTTCCTTACTGCAGCTATTTGGTGTTTGGTGCTGTTTTCTATTGCACTCTTTTCCTTCGACAACTTTTCTTCCGCTTGCTGCTTGAACTCGTCCAATTCCTTCTGCTTCTTTTGAACAGCATTCTTTAAAGCTTGGTCTATCTTTTGCTTCAGCTCACTTGCCTGCTCCTTCTTGACACCTTCCAAATTGGAAGCATGAGAATCGAAAACCTTCTTCAGTTCGGCTGCCTTCTCATCAGTCAGTTTCTTGTGCAGAGTTTTGATTTCATTCTCCTTATCCTTCTGCAGCTTCTCCAACTTTTGTGCATTCTCTTTCTCGGCTTGCAATATGATGCTTTGCTTCGATTGCTCAAGTGTTGTTTGCGCCTGCGCCTGAAGATCTTTCTTCAATGAATCGATCTTCTCCTGGTTTTCTTTTGTCATAATTTGAATTTGATCCTTTGTATCCTTCAGCTCCTTCGTGGCTTCATCCAATTTCTTTTGAAGCTCTGTAATCGTTTGCTCTGCAGCCGTGAGCTTCTTTGCTGACTCGTCGTATTGCTTCTGTATGGTTTGCACTTGACCAGATTTGCTCTTCTCCATTTCTTGTTTCATCTCCTTCAGCTTGGCTTCGAATTTCTCCGTCACAGCCTTGGTAACTCCGGCTTTGGCTACCTTCACTGCCTCTATCCTCTCCTTTTCTGACTTCTCTTTCAACGACTTTGCTTGTTCTTCGAGCTTCTTGTTCATCTCATTCAATTGGTCCGAAGTGCCTGCCCTGGCTTCATCCACGGCTTTAGCAAGTTCCTCTTTATGACCCTTTTGCAAGTCTGACCTTGTCTTTTCGATTGCATCAGAGAATTTCTTGTCGTTTTGCGAGACGAGCTTCTTCTTTTCGTCCGCTGCGGCCTTTTTTAGGTCAGAAATCTTCTTCTGCGCCTCAGCGGAGAGCTCAGATTTCATCTTTTCTATCGTTGCACTGTGTTGCTTTTCGAGGGCTTGCTTCTCTTTTCCGAACGCTTCAGTAAGTTCCGAACGAAGCTTCTTCAATTCCGCTTCCTTCTGTTGCGCTAGATCTTGCTTTTCTTTCTCCGAAGAATTCTTCAGTATCTCAGCTTGCTTCTGACTAGCATTGGCAATTTCGGCCTTGAGCTTTTCAACTTCCCCCGAATGAGTCTTTGCTGCATTAACCTTCTCCGCTGCGAATTTGTCTTCCAGACTTTTTTGAAGCTTTTTGAGTTCTGTTGCCTTTTGGTCTGCCACACTCTTTTTCAGGTATTCCGTACTTGCTTGCAACTCCTTCAGCTTCTTGTCGGTTGCAGCTGACATTTCGGTTTGCACCTTTTTCATCTCGGCTTGTTGCTGCTCTTGAATCTTTTTCTTTTCTGCCTCGAATTGTGCTGTCAACTGCATCTTCAGCTCGTTCAATTTGACTTCAGTCTGCTTCGATTCTCCGGCGGCGGCAGCTGCGGTGAGATCCTTGGCTTGATCTTCGTACTTCTTCTTCCATTCAGCTTCCTGCTTCTCTGATTGCTGCTTGAACTCCTTTTGAAGCTTTTCGATTTGAACCTTGTTGGCATCTTGTAATTTTTTAAGACTATTTGACGATTCCTTTGATCCCTTCTGTTGACTCTGAAGCTTTTCTTCCGCCTCCTTGACACGTTGATCACACACCGCTCGAATTTTATCTAGCTCCTCTTGGTGTTCTTTGCCTTGTAAATTCATGGTGACTAACAGCTTCTCTGCTTGTGCATCCGCTTGCTTTTTCGTAGCTTGTTGGATTACATTTCGAGCACGTTCGATTTCCTGCTTCAGTTTTGTCGATGACTCTTCTGTCATCTTCTTCTTTTCAGTCTCATGCTTTTCGATAGCCTGCTTCAGGGCATTAGCTTGCTCTGCCTCGAGAGCCGCCTTTATTTTTTCAATCTCCTGTGCATGTTGTTTCTTCAGCTCTTCTGTCTCGGCAGCATCAGGGGCCTTTTGTTGGTCCCCACTCGGTTTCGAATCGCCTCCCTTTGCCTTCATCTCCTCTTCCATCTTGGCTCTTGTCTCGGCTTCCGCTGCGGCCTTGACCTTTTCTAATTCAGTAGCCCGGGCGGTGGCTACCTTCTTTTTGAAATTTTGGAGTTGCATGGCGGCCGCTTGCTTGAGCTTTTTCATATCTTCAGCATGTTTGACCTTGAGGGCTTCCAATTCAGAAGTATTCCCATCTCCAGCAGGTGTACTGGGGGCATCTTCAGGTGCACTAGTCGCCCCTTGCTTTAGCTTGGCAATTTCATCCTTCAATACTTTGGTTTCTCGCTCGTGCTCTTGTTTCAATTGTGCTTTCAAAGTTTCAATTTCTTTGCCATTCGAATTGGAAGCAGCGGCATTATCCCCTCCGCTGGATCTCAGTAAAGACTTCAGTTGGTCCAGTTGCTGTTTGTCTTGCTCCTCCTTGGACTGCCAAAGTAGTTGCAACTGTGGAACCAACGACTGTTTGTCATCAATTGTAGTCACATCAACACCCTTAAGAACTTCCTCCTTGGAAAATATGACCAATTTATCTCGTTCTAGTTCTGTCTTTTGCAACTTTTCCGTCAATTGAGCTCGCAAGGCACTCAGTGCCTTGACTTTTTTGTTCATTTTTTGCAAGACATCGACCAATTCTTCTCGGGAAGCATTGGCAAGACCACCACCACCACCACCTACTGATTTTTCGGCCGACGCGGGTGTAGGCGCAGCAGCTTTGCCCTCGGGGGCCAAATTGATTTTGGTGGCTGTCTCCTGAATCTTGGTATTCATTTCCGAAACTTGTGATGTGACATTGCTACTCAGTTTTTCCGCCTGTTGTCGGAGAGATGCAAATCCTGCTCCAAAACGCCCCCCAAGACGTCCCTATTGGTTACGTTGGATTGGTTGGAGTTAGGTTTTCATAGTCAATCATGGTCAGCAAATGCGATAGAACAGTTTAAGATCAGTGATTCGTTCGAAATATAGCAAGCTCATAACGACAACAACCACGAGAAAATGTCTCAACGCACCTTATCGTCGTCAGCCATGTTGGATAGTCCAAAGACCTATGTCAGAATCTCGAAAGGAACCTCAAATTTCTACAAGAGCAATAGATTAGGTTGACTCTCAAGGGATATCCACAGCTATTCCTTCAATGGAAGACAACTTTTTCAATCTACAGTGACATAAAATGACACTTCATCGTCATCGGCGTCATTTCAATCGTCCCACACGGCGAGTCTTGGGTAAATTCTACGAGAAACACGGTACGAAAAAAGATTTTGGACCCAAAAATGGACTAGAAGGAGGGAGAGGATCTGAAAGGGGGATTTTGATAAAACAGGCAACGATGATGTCGTAGTACGGTAACGTCGATCTATCAATTTACCAAAAGAGCCCATTCTGCTTGGAACTCAATTCAAACATGGCATGCTTTTGGATCTTGTTCATCTTTTGCAACCGTTCATTTTCTACTGCGAGCTTCTCCTTGGCATCTTGGGCAACCTTCAGTTGCACCTCCAACGAAGCTTTTTCGTATCCACCTGGGTTGGCCAAGGCCAATTCGAGCTCTTCCTTCAGTTCTTGTACTTGTTGTTCCAACTCAAAGACACGGCGGCCGGAGATTTTTGTTTGCTGCATGGCTGTCTGAGAGATTACGGTTGTGGTGGTGTGTTCGAAGTTGCTGTGATTGGAATGCCTATCCCAATCCTTGTCCACACTTACGCCAACCATCTTTTTCGTGCGGTCCTCATCAGAGTCTTCATCCCTTGATAGAATATTACTGGGATTGAAGGCTAGAGACGGCATAGCATTGATTTTCCGGAGAGGCTCTTTGTCCTTACTCCCGGCGATCCCGACAAAGTCCATCTTAGCAAACTGCATATCCTTGTGCTTTCGATCAAAGTCGGGGGGGTCATTTGTGCCTTCTATAGTGTCCTCGTCATCCGAGCGTGATTGCATGAAGGAATACAACGATGCTCTGTCAACCACTGAGTCTGTCAGGCCCATTTTGCCCAAGAGCCCCCTGTGAGGACTACGTTCTGTGTCCGTCGAGCCATCGGTGGTATTGCCACCAGGAGAGAACGGTGCATCAAAGGTTACGCCCCGCTTGTTGGGAGATGCTGGCTCCTTCGGCGAAGTCTCTGCTTCGATTTCGCTCATGCGAACTGCGGGGATGCCACGGCTTGGGGAAAGAACGTTGGCCGGAAGTTTCGGAGCTTCCATCTCGCTCAAACGGACTCCTGGGATGCCGCGGGTAGGGGCCATAATAGCGGGTGAAACGACAGAGGCTACAGGAGTGATCCCACGCTTGGGTGCATTCTCGTCACTGTCCTCGTCGTTACCACTTTCGTCACTGCTGAAGGATGGAGCATCGAGACCAAAATCTAATGCACCAATTTTGGCCTTTGGGGCCTCCTTTTCCTCCTTCGGGTGTTCGACCTTGTCATCGTCCGATGGAGCATCAGAGTCGAGTGCACTGAATTTGCTTTTCTTCATCGCAGATTTTGTATTTGGCGCCGCTTCTACCTTCTCTTCTTTATTTGTCGCCTCTTGTTTTTTCTTTGCCAATGGAACCTTGTTGGTTTTCTTCTGCTTCGGTGGCTTGTTGGTCTTGCGTGTATATCGGCTCCGCTTGAGCTCTAATCGTAGCTCCTTGTTTTGTTCTTTCAACAAATCAACTTCGAGTTGAAGCTCCTTAATCTTTTCGTCCTTTTCAACCATCTGCTCCCACATATCATTCATATTTTCTTTTGGTTCAAGGGAAACGGTAGAAGCCGTTTCATTATCAGAGGCATCTGGTTTCCTTTGCTCAAGAGCTTCAATTTCTTGGTCGAACATGTCCCCAGGATGAACAGATGGAACGTATAATTCTCCTCGACCGCCTCTCCCTCCCATAGCTGGTCCTCCTCTTCCCCCTCTCCCTCCAGGACCTTTTCTTTTCCCTCCCATGCCCTTCTGATTTCCCCATTTGCTCGTCACCTGCTCCGTCAAATTAGTTGGCCCCGGCATCTCTTCGTCACTGTCGTCATCCACTTTCGTAGTTGCAGCAGCACCAAACGATACTGGCTTCTTTCGCGGCCCTTCATCATCAGTGCTGTCCATGTACATGTCACTGGAATCCGAGCTAGAATCAGAATCTTCCAAATACAGTTTTTCACGTTTCGGTTTGATGGCGGAGAAGTCCGCTTCTGTATCCCATTGGTGTCGATCGTCCATCATGATCGAATCTCTCCCGATACCAGCCACAGCTTCAACGTCTAGTGCTGCTTTTTTGTCCGTATCTTCCAACTTGGTTTCTCGTGCACGAATCGAAATGGTGCCGGCTTCCGTCATACCTTGACTGTTCCTCGGTGGTTTTAGCGTGAATTCCATATATTCGCCATTGCAGTCATACAACTTTTGTGGCGGTACTCTCACATATCCCAGATCGTCATCTGTCATACCAAGGGCAGAAATTCCCATATCGTGATCCTTTACAACAAATTCAAGTCCTCCTTTGGACCAGAGAGCTTTGGCTGAGCATTTCAGATTATAGATATTCTTGTGGTCAATAGAGTACGCAGGATTTAGTGTCTTTTCGATCCAGAGAGTCTTGTGCAACACTGCGTCGCCCAATTTGATCTCAACATAAGGGTCTGAAGTTCCGGATCGATCACCAGCGATGAGGTGTCGGCAAGCCATGATTTCAATCATAAGCTCTTTATCGTATAGGGGCGGGCCCTCACCCATAGATTCAGCAACAGAGGTACGAAAATCTAGATTTGGCAGAGAAGCAACAACTTCGTCCGTAGTCTCTTCGACGTCGGAATCGCTGCTGTCGGAATCTCCAACATCTTGTACGCAAAGTGTGATGAATCCTCCTTCTGTTTCCTTGCGACCCGGTGGGACATCTAATCGTATTGTGGTCGGTTTACCGCTTTTAACAAAATCCAACAGCTGGACTGGTTTGATAGTGGCAAGTCCAATAAGATCGTCATTGCCTATGCGATCCCAATCTTTGACCTCAATGCCGATGCCACCAACTGCCTTCATTACACCGTAGTTAATCTGCTTGGAAAAAGAATTATCATGTTGGGTACCAAAGACTGGATTCAAACTGTTGGAGGAAAGTTATTTATGTTGTATTGATCAGTGATTGCAAAAGGTGAGTAACGGAAGTCAAATATTCCAAAGGAGCTGATTGGTGGTGTAGACCAAAACAACTGTTTTTGACTCACGTTTTGAGCTGGTATTTGGTCCTATGAAGTTCCGTCTTCCCCATCATGATTTTGACATATGGATCTGATGAATTGCGATCACCTTTTAACAACTTGCGGCAAGAGATGATCCGGAAGTTTAGATCCAGTGTGGTGTCTGCTGAAGGTTCCGGCAACCCCGATGACATGGTTGTATTTCTTTGTTGTTAGCTCAAGTCTTGAGTTTTCTTCACAGTCGGTTGTTCGATGTCAAAACTATCTACTGGATTTCACGGGATTCCGTTGCCTGTTATGACGTTTGCCTTCGTAGATATCGGGTGACCGAGATAGTTGCTCCGATCTCCCACAACATAAAAATGTTGCTGGAACTTCTGAAGTTTGCTTGAAAAATTGCTCAGTGATCCGCAGTGATCCCGTAGAAGATAGAAATCAAGTTGGGTCACGTAATCTTCTTCGGTCATACAAAAACCTTTTTTCGAAGATTTAGTCAGTACCAAATGTACGGGATATTGTGTAGAGACTGCGTTTTGGATCTTTTTATTTTATACGGTATAAAATCACAGAAATCATCTGCTCAAGCTCGAAACAACATATTGCCCAAGAGACACAACACTGCATAGACCGATTCCTTGGTACTCTGCTCCTAGGTAGAAAAAGTTGAGTCTTGTCCAACAAGCGCTGCAGCCCCCTCCTGATTTAGGAGGGAGGGGAGGAATGCTAAGAAGACAGTGGTGGTGGCTGCATTGATTGATAGCTGGTTTTGGTAGCGTCTAACAGGCATCACTTTCTCGTCAGATGTGATGATTTATGATTTTGGTTAGCTGGTTGGCCATCATACTGTAGCAATCTGCTCTTTTATGAGTTTTAGGATACCGATAGTGGGGAAGGCGCTTTGTCATTTTGAATTTCGAGATGGATTCTTCATCGCATCGCGTCTGTTCTCCTCCGTTCCAGCAAAACCCTCTCACTTTCTTCACACCAACATTTGTTCCTAGAGCATTTCATTCATCGTTAGAACCAGGAAAAAATGAGTGACAATGATGGCCAAAGCAGCGAGATCCTACAGAATAGTCAAGCTTCAATATCGGAAGAAGTGAATCAGCTTCAATATGATTCAACCTCGGCTCCATTGTCCAAGAACCGTCGAAAGAAACTAGCCAAACGGGAACGAGCCCAACAAGCCAAACGAGAACGAAAGCAACGAGAAAAAGAGGACCAAGGCGATTGCTGAAGGAAGAGATCTAGAGGCCGAAGAAAAGTTTCGTATGGAACGAACTTTAGCGGGAGACAGCAAACGACGGAAGCAATTGGCTTGGGATAACGAGAAACTTCCGATTGTTGAAACTAATTTTGAAATCTGTCTGGATTGCAGCTTTGAGCATCTCATGAAGGATAAAGAGATCACCAGCTTGGGATCACAGATTCGACATTGCTATGCGTACAACAAGCGGGCCAAGTTCCCTTGCCGATTTACAGTTACAAATCTTTCTGGGAAAACCTTGGAACATTTACAAAAGGAAACCGGTTTCCACGAATGGGGCAACCGAGCTTTTGTATCTACCGATCGACATTTCTCGGAACACTTCTCAGACGGAAGCGTAGAAGGCTACTCTGATGAAGAAAACGGAGCAAAGGAAGCGAAAAAGCTGGTCTACTTGACAAGTGACTCCGACAATGTTATTTCATATTTGAAGAGCGATGAGATATATATCATTGGAGGTATTGTGGATAGGAATAGACTCAAGGGAAAGTGTTATGATGAAGCTTTGAAGTACAATATATCGCATGCTAGGCTACCACTAGACTCTTGTTTGGCAAAGATGCCTTCCACCAAGGTCCTCACTTGCAATCATGTCTTGGGCATACTTCTTCAATATCGGGAACAAAACGAGAATTGGGCAGAGGCGATGCAACAAGTGCTGCCAAGTAGAAAGGGCGCTATATACAAGCAAAAACAAAGGCAAGCCTTTCATGGAAAATCTTGGGACTGCTGATGGCAGAAAATTGCTGGACTGCTAATGTCGTCTGATGTTGTTCTCCTCCGTTGGCTACAGGTGAGGCTCATCTCCAGCCAATCGACTCAGAGCTTTTTGGTTACATAACTGATACTCATATGTCTGCATCAACGCATTGAGAAGACAGGAATACATGCAATAGAACTGTCGATCTACAAAATGAAATATATACCGGTAGACGATAGTACGAGCTGCGCTGAAATCCCAATGATTAATCCGACTTAAAGGTTTGCACGACTAATCTACAGTACCGGTAGGTGTCATTTTCAAATTATTTCGACCTGCTTGCAGACGAAGACTGACTGCAGTTTCATCATTGGAGCATGTCCTAAAGTCTTCCATTTTCTAAAATTCAAAATTAGTCAGAAGAAACTCAGAGAATAAGCTAGAATTCAAGCTATCAGAAAAATGAAAGTGTGGAGGCAGAGTTGCGCTGCCGTTGTGCTGCTATGCTTGTGTGTATACAACGCTTTGGCGGCTCCAACAACGAACAAACAAACCGAACGCAAGATTAACATTTTGAACGAAAGTGGGTAAGTGACTGTCGACTCCTCTCGCTATGTTCGTATCAGCCAATGAATGAAAGATGAATGAAAGAAGAAGTGTCTAATGATTTGTTTCAGCTCCAAATTTGCGATTTACTGGATTAATCCACAAACTCGCGAAGGCGTCTTGATGACCGTTCCAGATGTCATGCATGGTGCCAGTTTCCCACTCAACAGTTTTGTGGGACACGAGTTTGAGGTGCGAGAGGTTCCAGCAGCTTCCACTGGTCTTTGCAAATCGGAAGACCAAGTATGTAGATCAACTTCCTTTGAAGTCTCTCCTGGTGATGAGCAAACGTTTACAATCAACAAACACTATGAGATCAAGTTTGTTGATGACAAGGTCAAGGCAGAGGAACAGGCCAGTCAAATTGTGCAGGATTGTAAAATGAGGGCTACGACCAAACTTGCTGGAGCTGCTGGGGATGCTGCCAAGACCCAAGAGGCGATGGATGATTTGGTAGAATGCGTCGAAGTTGGAGTTGCATCTAGTCTAGCCAAGGCAAACGAGGAACTGGCATTTCAGGCGTCAATTCGAAAGGGCATGGCCGAACAAATGGAAAACTATACTTGTGTGGATCTTGAAACGGACACTACCCCTCCTTTGGAAACCAAAAGATGGAGAAGCGAAAAGGACAAAAAGGTTCGAAACGTGCAAATCTTGTTCAATCGGCCTTCTAGCAAGATTCATGTCATTGACAACTTTATCAGTCAAGAGGAATGCGAAGCCATGGCAGCAGCTGCAGAACCTAGGTTGCATCAAGCTACTGTCGCCGATGGGAAAGGAGGGTCTCATTTTTCAGAGCATCGAAAAGGTAAATCATCAAAAGCATTTTGTATGAATAGCAGTCCATGGTAAGAAAACTCACTGTATTTGATTGAATGTAGCAATGCAAGCTGGTATCCGTGTGCATTGGGAAAAGGAAAAAAATGGTGATAAGATCGCCCAACTGTCTCGACGAGTGTATGACTATGCCAACTTTGTTTTGGATCTAGGCATCGAAGAGCATGGTCAAGAGGATTTGATGTCCATTCAGTACTTTGGACGAGGCATGAATGATACTGCACCTGATCGCTATACTCCCCATTGTGATGGTGACTGTGACGGTCTTGAACACAAAGATGGAACTCGTATGGCGACGCTAGTCATGTATTGTACCATCCCCGAGTTTGGCGGACACACAAACTTTCGAAATGCCAATGTTCACGTCAAGCCAAAGCAAGGGACTGGCGTCTTCTTTTCGTACATGGATCCAGATTCAAAGGTCATGGATAATGGATTCACGGAGCACAGTGGATGTCCTGTATACGAAGGGGAAAAAAAGATTGTCACTCAATGGATTCGATATGGAGTAGATGCCGAAAATCCTTGGGACAGTTTCAACACTTGTAAGTCCTTTTGCTACATCCATTTTCAGAATTCTATGGATCGAATACTCACATCCAATCATCTTGATTCGTTTTGTAGTGGGTGTGAAACTCTCAGAGGTAGAAGATTATTAATAGATAGTAGCATTGTCACAAAGATCTACAGTACGGTACTGTAGTTTTCACTTTCATGGGTGAGTCATCAGCAGTCAGTCACCTTCAATCCAAGTGGTCGTCTTGTTCGCCACGTGGAAGCTCGAGGGCGACCCGTCAACCGCTGGCCAAAAAAAAATGATGTCTTCGTAAAATTCCTACCGCAAAGTTCCGTAAAATTCCGCTCACTCCATTCTGCTCAACATCAAGAAGCAACGAACGCAATTAGATCAAGATAGACTGCTTTCCTTGATCTTGTCATCACTACACTACATCAAAACTCCATTCGTAGCAAAATCTATTTCAAAGATGTCTGATCTTTCCCCGTCCATGGATGATTCAAAGCCACCTCCACCAGGTGATGAATACGAGGAAATCAGGGAGCAGGTGCGTAAACGCCTGATGTGGCCATTGTTTCTGTCGGATGTCGTTGCTAATCATTGATTTACTACAGGATCGTTACCTTCCCATTGCCAACATTGCTCGGATAATGAAAAATACACTTCCAGAGAATGCCAAAATCGCCAAAGACTCCAAGGAGACAGTTCAAGAGTGTGTTTCAGAGTTCATCTCTTTCATCACTTCAGAAGCTAGTGACAAATGTTTGCAGGAAAAGAGAAAAACGATCAACGGGGACGATCTTTTGTGGGCCATGTCGACTCTAGGATTCGACAAGTATGTGGAACCCCTGAAACTTTACTTGAACAAGTACAGGGAAGCTGTTCGTGGGGACAAACCAGAGAAAATCGGCGGAGGAGGTGGAGGAAGAGCGTCACATATGGATGGAGGTATCCCGCCATCGTAAACAACCTTGGGGAATTTTATATTAGTATTTCAAACTGAAAAAATAGCTATGCTGTATTTACATGTCAATGAATGAATCAATCAGCCGGATGTATTTTGTTTTACGGTGCTGTAGTTCAGCTTAACAACTTATGATTACCAAAGCCAGCAGCAGCGGGGGGCGGCAAACCAAAGCAAATGCATTACATATCAAAATTAGGAAGTACTACCGGTAGTGCAATGAATAACATGATTTTTTGTTCTTTTGTGAGAAGAGTAGGAAGGTTGAGAGAAGAATTGTGCGATTTCGGGACGCGATGACGTCATACTGATGGCGATGTTTTTGGAAATCGTCGACAGCATAATACACTTACCGACAGTATAAAACCTTCACCATGGCAAACAGCAAACACAAACCCAAGCAAGTCTACACAAAAGAGAAGGCCCGGCATCTTGTCCGAGTGTACTTGTCAGTACTCTGTGCTGTGCTTTTGATCGGATGGTTGAATCTATTTATCGTAAATCCCATGAAAACGGATGCCAAGGAAATGGTTCGTGCCGATGTCATCTTCTTGCAGTAAACGTGTATTTCCAACTCGCGCTCACTTGTTTTCTAACGATTTGATCTTTCCCAGGCACATTTGGACCCCAGCGAGATTGTCGCAATTCCTTCGGATATTCGTAAGCTTACAATTTTCACAGGACTTCCAGTTGTTTTGGTCATGTTGCTATGGCTCAAGTACGCCGCAAACAGGTTAACTTCGAATCTTCTATCATTGATGAAATTGACGCTTGTAATCTATGCACTATTTGGGGTTGCTGGGTCCAACATTGTTGATAACTACAAACATTCGCTCACGGCTGCTCTTTATGTTGCCGCTTTGGCTTCCACGACATGGACGGGGGAGGAAACCTCCAACGTTCTCAAAGAGCTTCCATTCTCAGATCCGTCAGATATCATAGCATTTTGCCGCCTCTATGGAATGATCCTGACATCTATTCCATTTTGCGTTACTACCATTCTTGACGCAGGAATGCAAATCCAACGTTGGCCACTACCTGTTGTTTGCGGAGCGAGCTACGGATACACGATTGGAACGATGATTGGTGTCACCGCACTCTACTACCAAAGAAAAGCCAAAGAAGGCAAGGAAACATAAAAGATAAAACTGATCTAGGCATACTCAAGCGTTTCCATACGATATTACAACCGCATCTCCAAATTTTAAATGAACAATGGGATTATGGCTGAAGTTAAAGACAGCCACCATATATGTCCTGGCTTCATTTGAAGGCCGGACCATAGCATGGGAAAATATGTTTCTTTCTCCCTGATCCTTCGAGGCGTACAGCCGACAAAGTCTCTTAGACTTTTCAGAGCTGGGGATGAGTACGGCATCAAACTTCGATCCCTATCGCTTCAACAAAAGGTACACCGCGACTTTGGTCTCATCCCTGAGCGAAAAACAAAATTCGAGACGTAAGATAGCTGTATCAAGACACAATCCGTTTCACTGTTGCAATTCATCCACAACACTGGTTTCATCAGATTCACGTTCAGATCATCGACCAAGGCGTTTTGGAGCGCACAAGATCTGGCATTAGAGGTGTCAGATATTTGTGAAAAAGAAGTTGGATCATCCCTTGACTCCAGGTGTGGATGCTTTTGCTTTTGTGATTTCAAACTTTCTGCTTCTGGATGATAAAAGCAATGCAAATGTGAGATACAGTTTCAACAAATACCAAAAGCCGTCTCATGTTCTCGATAAATGTGCTCTTTCAGGTGGTTAAACTCCAATAATATCACGTTAAACGCAACCATTTGACCCTAACAAGACCCTATTCGTCCCTTTTGGAGTTCAAAGATCAAGCAAGTGACCAAATTTTGTTACGCCAACATCAAAAGACCGTCGTGAAAACAAGGAGATATTTTCATCATTTAGGCACTTCTGTCGTTGTTTTCAATTTCATAAACGTACCTCACCGTGATCGTTGTAGATCCACTTCATTCCAGCTTGTAATGTGATCTGTCCCTTCAGAGTAGATCAAAATCTGATGTGCTTTCGAGCCATCATTGTTGGATTTGTGAGCATCGACAGGTTTTCAGAATCATTGGCCTGTGATGCGCAGCTTCTCGCGGTTTCGGTGGTAGGCAAGACCTCATCACCTCTTTTTTTCCAAAGCGCATTTCGGAACCGTTTGGAAAACAAAACAACCACAAAACAGGAGTAAGCATGAGAAACTGGGCTGATCATTGTTCATCGGATGAGGAATCTCTCACAGAAGAAGTTGAAGCTGAATTGGCGAGCCCCCAGTTGAACGATGGGGTTCAACAAGAAGAGCAAATAGCCGCAGATCCAGAACCAGAGCACGTGGAACCAGAGCTCGCGGAATCCAAAGTCCAAGAAGGACCACCACCACCAGTTGAGAAAAAGTATGACTTTCCTAGTCAGCCACCTTTCACTGCCTTCATTGGAAATCTAGCCTACTCATTAGACGATGGGGACAAGCTGAAGGATGCACTGGCTGATTTGATTGATAATCGTTTGGGCCCAGGAAAAATCAACGTGCTTAATGGACGGATTGCAACTGATAGAAGCAATGGAAGACACCGTGGATTCGGCTACGTCGAAGTTGAGACAGTGGATCAGGTACGTACACGTGTATGACCTTCATGATCTATGAGTGAATGAATGAATTGCACAATTTTTAACTATCCCTTTTCATGACTTCAGCTGAAACTTTTGATGGAGATCAACGATGGTCAATCTCAGCTTGCAGGACGCAATATTCAGCTGGATACCGCCAGCGCTCGGCGAGACAACAACATCAGAAGAAACAATAACAGAAATGACAAAGGATCGTTTGGAGGATCATTCAACGTTGATGGCGCAAAATTCAGAGGTGGGCGTTTCGGGGGCAAAGGAGGACACGACGACAATGATGCACCACCTGCTCAGCGTACTACCCTGAAGCTTGCTCCACGATCGAAAACACGTGGTGAAGGGGAGGGGCGCGGTTCATCGTCCGGTGTCTTTGGCGGAGCCAAGGCCAGAGATGAAGGGGCTTGGGAACACAAGAAACTTGAAGGAGGTGACCGACGACCACATAAGGGCCGTGGGGGTGGCAGAGGAGGAAGGGGACGAAACGACGGTGCTCATGGTGGCCGAAACGACGCTGGTCGTGGTGGCCGAAACGACGCTGGTCGTGGCGGCAACAAGAATAAAAAGAACAACAACCGACGTGACGGAAAACCTCAAGAATCGGAGCCAAAGGGAGAGAAGCCCAAGCCTGCTGTAAAAGCTCCTGCCACCAAGCCAGAGCCAGCCAAGTCTGTCCCACCCGCGAAGAAGGCCGCCCCTGTCAATAAGTTTGCCTTGTTGATGGATTCTGACTCCGACTAGATGCTGCAACTCTACCAGACGCAGATGAGATTCTCCACATGAATGAAAGCGAGGGATATTGGATGTTTTGCTTGTTGATATTTAAAACCAATGGTGCTTTGTAATTAGAAAAATCTTTGTTATATTTTCTTTATTGAATTTCTATCACAACTAATCGCAATAGGGCTGGTGTACTCCCTTCTTGTTGCCATGATTCATTATTCCAAAGATTTCAGGGTCTCTTGTCTCATTTTTGTAAACGAGCATCGCGAGATGCAAAATCTGCCCCACGTTTTGCATTTCGCCACAAAAAGACTCGGTCTTGCAGAATAATAGCTCGCTTGTGTTCTGGAGGTCCATAGGATACATGCTCGTCCTTTTGTTGTTTGCTGCCAGGAACCATCTCATCGACCAGTGAGACTGTCATTTTCTTTTCTCTCTCTTCGACAAACTTCTTGTCAACTTCATATTTGGCCTTTGCCTCTTTCCAGGAAAGCGACTTGTCCTTGTCTTGTTTCCCAAACTGCATAGTACCACGACAATTCTTGGCACCACATCGACAAATGAATCGATCTGCTTGATTGGTATCAAACTTGTAGTCATAACACAAGAATTCCCCTGCAGCAATATCCTTGATTGCATAGATTCCATTGCGCTTGTATCCCTTGACATTGACAGTCACCACCTTACAGTTGGGATCACAGGAGTGGTTGATGAAGCGTGCCATGTTGGCATATTCCCGAGCGTCCACGTACCAATCTTTTGAGATCGCCATGAGGTAAAAGTTGGGGTCATTGGGGTGTTCTTTATTCCATTCGATCATTCGTTTGGTCTTTTCTTCTTCGTGAATCACTTCTCCCACATACTCTTGGATTAGTTTCCCCTTGGGAACGGCATTGACGGGGACAAGTCCCCAACCTTTTCCACCTTCCCGTTGTGGTTTGCACTTGACAAATTCTCTTTTGCCCAAGGAACGATTGCCGCAGTTTCCCCCCACATTGCAGTTGGAATTGGGTCCCTCTCCCATGCACTCCTCCAAGGCCAATCGATTGAAGCAGTTGTCGGCACACTTGTCGACGCATTGGCATCGTTCGCCATCCAGAGGTATCTTTTTCGGTTTGTGATCCTGTCGATATTTGAGCGCCGACAGATGCTTGTAGGTGGGTGGTTTGGAGTTGACTTCTTTTCGAATGTCACATGGCAAACAAAAGCCAATCCCATAGTTGGGTCTGGGTATGTCATGTTTTTCTTCGGCATACTGTAGATATTCCTCTTCTTCCTTGGTGTACCTGTCCCCTCGAATCCCAATAAAGAATGGATTTGAGTTTTTGCCACTCGCCAAATTCGATAGTCGTCGTCTTCGGACACCACTCAATTGTTCCTCTTTCTTGTCGATTCGGCTTTCCACCTGATTTTGCAAGGACGTCGAAAGATCCAAATCAGGTAGCTTGTGTGTCGAAGCATGATCGTGGCATAGGACTGCCAATTCGTGAAACCGAGAGGTAGGTGGCAAGCACGTCAAATGATAGGATGTGGGACAATACAAGCAGCGCTGGATTTTAATATAGTGGCGGGCAAGTGCAGGTGAGCGAGTGGTCCTTCCAAACAAGCGTTTGAACAATCTGACAAAATGAATGAACTTACATAGAGTCTGGTCTCTGTCTTTTGTTGAAAGAGTGAGGGGACTTTTTTCTTTTTTCGCTTGCCCTTTTTCTTTTTCCCATTAGAAGTTCCTATCTTCCGATCCGCCTCTGCCTGTAGTCGTTCCTTCTCGATCATGTCCTTTTGGGTGCAAGTCCAACAGTTGTGCGCTGGACAAGTAAAGACTGGCTTGTATCTGCTGGACGCTGTTGCTCCCTCCGCCTCTTCATCATCATCATTGTTGTTGTTGCTACCATCATTGTTGTTGCTGCTGCTACCATCGTCAGAGGTTGAAACGGTAGTAGGAGTTGCCGTTCTAGATGTTATTGGTTCCTCTTCTTTCACCATTTTCACTTCGACATCACCTTCCACTTCCAAACAGGACAAGTGAAAGAACAAACCACATCGATCCTTATTGCACAGAAAGACATCTTCGTCATCATTCCCGTATTCTTGACAAATTGTGCACTGATGCTTTTTTTTGGAACAGTCCTTGCAAATCCAATCCTCGTCACCAGGAGGCAATTCGTTCAAACCAGCGCAAGGGTAATGAAACACCCGTTCGCATTGTCCATCACAAATTAGAAATTCGCTAGTATCTGGTCGAATCATACATTCCGCTTCTTTGCATTCTCCACAAATCCACTGCATATCATCCGCAGCATTGGCGTTTTTTGCCTTCTTTTTGGGACGACTCATGGCACCATCAGTCAACGACTCTGTTGGCTTGTCAATTGCCATGACGCCACTTTCGGAATTTTCCTTGGAACCTTCGGCATTTTCAACAAGATCAGTCTCCCCTTCTGCCTTGGCTTTTTTAAGAGGTGGTTCCTGGTCCGAGGTAGGGCCTCGTTTCTTGCGGGTGGCGACCATCGTCTTGGGATGGCCTGATTTTGGACGGTCTTTGGTTGTCAGTTTTTTTCCTTGTGGTTGCATCCAATGTCGACTGGTTCGATCACATGGATTTCGGAATCTTTTTTATTGACCAAAGTAAAGACGCGCAATTCCAGAGTTCGATTCCCTCCTGACTCACTCACTCAACTCACGACACACAAAATAAAAAGATCACATCAATAACTCCGTGGCAAAAGCTACTGTACCTCTGACAAAAGCCATCACTGACTACCCTTTTTTTCATAATACTCACTTTGCAATCAATACGCTACAATAGTGCACACTGCTTGGTGAATCAATCAATCATGAAGCTTAGAATGAATGCACAAGTTTTTCTGCTTCTTCTGTGGTCTCAAATTGCCGTTGCATTTCAACTTCCAACACAACGGCTTCACGATCGAACGGTTTCCATTGGAAATCTGCAGCAACAAACAAGTTATAACGCATCGCTGAATACTCAACTTTATGGAGTACACACCAATGGAGAGCAAGGCGAGGAAAACTCTTCCAATAGTCGTCGCGTGAGATCCAAAGTCAAAAAGCTAGCTCGCAAACTCATCCGACGTCCGCTCACAACGGCCTCAGAAGCGATTCCCATGCCCGGGGCGATTGCTTCGATACTGAAAGATGCTAGTTTGGCGGCAGTCGAAGAAGTGGGAGAATATTATATGGATCAAAACCGCAGCAGCAGCAGCAGCAGCAGCAGCATGAATACCAATACAAATACAAATACAAATACCAATCCTACTACTACTAAAAACATTGCGGCGTTGGCGGAATCCAAACAAGTCTTATTAGAAGTCATCGATAATGCCTTTTCACCCGTGGAAGAATCCTTGGAAGAACTGGATCAATCCTTGCAACGTGCTCGAGAAACCTTGGAAAAGGCCAAGCAAGAATCTTACCAAGCCGTCGAGGCCATTCAAGTGGCGGCCATTGCGCAAGCCGAAGGGGCTGCTACGGCGGTCGCAGAAGCCGGACGAGTCGCCGAAGATCAAGTGCTGGAATTGATTAACGACAATGCCATGGTGGATATTTCGGACTTGTCCTTTGAGGATGTGGATTACAGTTCGAGTGAAATGGCACCACCCTTTTTGGATCCCAACTCTTGTTTGATTCCAGGAGAACCAGTGGTGCGAGTGGAAAAGGCACCAGAAAACTCAAGGCGGATCTTTGCGGGAATTGATATCATGGCCAGTGTCGACGATGTGTGGAATGTAAGTACCTAGTGCTTGTATGATTCAAACAATCATGAATGATTGTTAGCTTTGGAAAGTGGCTGCTGTTTGATGATGATGATGATGATGATAATGATGATGATTCCAAGTGTTGACTTCTTTTTTTGTGCTTTCTTCTTGCTGTGCTTCCATCAATCTATGCAGGTATTGACCAACTACAAAGAGCTTCAAAATGTGGTCCCCAACCTGGTAGTAAATGAAGTCCTCGAATTGTACGAAGGTGAAACTACCGACAAGGTCACGTACGAAAAGAATGTCCCAGAAGAATTTCAATGCAAACAAGTGGCGGACAAGATGAAAGGAGCTCTTTTGAAACAAGTGGGCGGCGCCAAGGTGGCAGGAATCAACTTTTCGGCTCGGACTTGCCTGGAAGTGAGGGAGTGGCCACAAGGGTTGCCTGACTTTGCGCATTACAAAGATGACTCGTGGGAAGGAGTATCGAGAGAAGATCGAGCAAAGGACAACCCCAATGTCAAGCTAAAGCGCTACAGGTTCCCCCGACCCTTCTCTCTTTCCTCTTTGCCGACCAAAGAGATTTCCATGCAGAGCATTCCGGATGACGATGGTGAATTCCGGTTGTATCAAGGTATTTGGAAGATGCAACCGCTTCCGGGGTGTGCCGAACCTGGAAAGGACGCCATGCGATTGACATATGCTGTGGAAATCAGTCCTCGAGCCTATCTTCCAGTAGGACTGGTGGAGCGACGAATCGTTTCGGATCTTTGTACGAACTTGGAGGCTATTCGAAAGGCGGTGAGCAAAGATTGAAGAATGAAACGAGTCTAATGTCGTCGTCATCATATGCCCCATGTTGGCAAAGACTTCAAGACAACACAAGCACATCGAGAGAACAAGTTGGGTATATCAAAAATCTATCTTACAAGCAGATTGACGCCAGCGACTCGCCAATTGCTTTTTCTTAAGGAATCCAGCTCTCAGCGTCCCAGTCCCAGTCGTTGTCACCAACATTCTTCTTGGTCAAGGCAATTCCATTTTCGAATGGAACTCCATCCCAGCCATTTGCCATGAATTGACGAATATTTTGGTGATCATCTCCATCAGGCTTGGCAAGGACGTCACGGTAATATTGTCCCCACAGCTACAGTATAATAAACATGACAGCAGTTAGTTGGTTTGTTACAACAATGGTATCATAGAAGGAATATCATCCTGATTACTTTGTTTTGTTCTGCTCAAAACATGTACATACCTTGAGGGTGGTCTCCTTATCCATACCAGAAAGAGCAGCATAAGAAAGAACTTTGGCAGATCCTTCGTTTTCTCCTTGCTTGTTGACAATATTTCCATTCTTGAACTCGATCAATCCACATTCATAGTGTGTATCGATAAGTTCAATAACCTCCTCAAACTTGAGGTCATCAGCATCCATCTCAACATTGGCGTTGAAGACTTCGCAATCTGGAGGAATGGTTTCTCCGGCAGCCCGAATTTCATCCAACATACGGGCAGGAGCAGCAACCTCAACAGCTCCTCCAAGGGCTGTGGTACCATCCCATCCATTGGCCAAGACTTCCGCCTTTTCGCTGGGGCCACGGATCTCAGCGTTCAAGGAAGTGCTAGAGCGGCTGATGGAGGCAGGTGCGAAAGCACTCGCTGGAGCGGCAAGAGCGCAAAGGGCAGCAACAGTCGAGAACTTCATGGTGGAGTATTTTTTTGTTTGAATGTTTTATCGGGTTTTGGATTTCGTTGTTTTTCAGAGGTTCCACCTGGTGATGGGACTTCAACTTGTTCGTAGGCTTGGTAATCATGCCTACGTAAGAGAAAAGTTAGTCATTTGAGTCCATTTTGTGACGTGGGCACAAGAAAATAATGAAACTGTCTTATTTCTCCACCAAAGCACAAAACTGCAACATGAAATTGGGATATTGTCTTTCTCTGGCAACTCTGCTGGCTCCAAGCCATGGGTTTGCCCCCAATGATGCATCTTCCAGAGGTCTGCTATCTAGTATGAAGAGCACTGCCATGCCAGATTTGACCTTTACCAATCCAGATACGACAGGAATTGAAGAACAGGCTTGCATTGATGCTGCCAACAAGATGAAGCGGGTTGCCGTTCCAGTTTCTGCCGAGGTTAGCTCTGAGGGCTCTGTTGGTATTTCGTATATTCATTGGGAAGCAGAGAAACCAAAGGCAGGCTGCCCACCGCTGATTTTGATTCATGGATTTGACTCTTCTGGATTGGAATACCGTCGGTTGGGTCCAAAGTTGGCGGCAAAGGGCATTGACACATATGCTGTAGACATTTTGGGATGGGGCTTTACACAACTAGAAGGTGTCGATTCCTTTTCGGCGGCTGCCAAAGTGGAAGCCTTGGGAAGTTTTGTGGATTCGGTTGTCGGCAAGGGTTCCTTTTGTGTTGGTGGGGCCTCTTTGGGTGGCGCTTCGGCGATTGAATTTGCTGCCTTGAGAAAGAGTGACTGCACTGGGCTGGTTCTGATTGATGCCCAAGGCTTTGTTGACGGTATTGGACCCATGGCCTCCATGCCCAAACCTTTGGCCAAGCTTGGTGTTGGTGTTCTTAAAAGTATTCCTCTTCGTAACTCAGCCAACCAAATGTCCTATTTTGACAAGGAAACGTTTGCAACCGAAGAAGCTCAAGTCATTGGTCGTCTGCATTGTCTGCGCGATGGATGGGATGACGCTATGGTTTCATACATGCAAAGTGGGGGATTCTACCCATCGAAGAAGGTCCCAACTATTGAATCGCCAACGCTGGTGTTGTGGGGAAGGCAGGACGGCATTTTGGACGGTGAAGAATTTGCAAACAAGGTAAATCGTACACGGACTGTATTTTGGTTTTTACTTTTTACTGCATTTCTAATCAGGAATCTGTTGTAGTTTGTCGAAGAAATGCCAAACGCGTCGCTCAAATGGATTGAGGAGTGCGGGCATGTCCCACACTTGGAACAACCAGATGAGACAGCTGAAGCAATTTTGTCCTTTTTGACATCAGAAGTCGGTGCCCGTCAGAGAAATGTCGAGGATAAACCGCCTCTCGCCATTGGTGTTGGTGCTGGATTCATTAGCGTACTGGCTATTTCCCAGCTCGCTGCAGCAATTATGCAATAGTGACATTTCCAATGGAGCGCACTTCTTCAAAACGTCATTCGATGAGCCGCTGCCAGCATCCCGAGGCCTGTGAATATTGTAGCATAGATAGACAACTCCCCTAGTAGTCGAACTTCATTCACTGATTCTTCAAAATCGTCATCATCATGAATACTGCTTTGTGTGGAACTCGTCTTTACCTTCAATTGTCGCTGTTCATCGACCCAGGCTCCCTTGAGATGAGGCTCTTTTCGTGCCGTCTTGATGGCCTCCAGTTCCACGCGCAAGAGTCCCCACAAAGTTCTTCGGATGATTTCAGCAGAGGCAATGGTGGGATCCAGAATCGCAGTCAGATCGCCTTCAAAGGTATCGCTCAAGACGCCCGCTCGATTGAGATAATGAGGAGGCAAGAAACTCAAGGTCCAGCAGAATCGAAGGAAAAAGTTAATGACGAAAATAGTCCAGTAGATCCATGGCTGTTGGTAAATTCTGGTACGGCGCAATTTGACGCTGCCTTTTTCAAACACAAAGAGTTCCCAATCCATAAAGACGTCCCACCAAATTTGATACAGGGTCGCAGCCACAAAACAGGATAGCCATAGAAAGGACTCTTTGCGAGAGGGATTAAAGACCCCAAACATGGCCACTTCGGCAGCAATGAAATACTTTAACGCATTCCCCAGATAGGGCCACCGCTTCTTGGCATCATAACACTGTCGGAGGTTTTGTAAAAACCTCCACCAGAGTGGGGACGCAGTGCACATTGGAATAATCATGGTGTGCAAAAGCCAATTTGTTTCCAATGGAACATCGGCAGCATCAAAAGAGTAACTCTCGGACCACCATCCTTGCAATCCCGAAAGGAAATAAAAGGTGGTAAAAGCAAGGTCTTGCATAGGTCGGACCGAACTGGTCAATATATCGCCAATGAATCCATCTCGAAAAGTGACGGGCAAGAAAGGAGCACCAATGGTAAGAGAAATAACTTTCCAGAATTCCGATCGCTTCTTCCAGGGAAAGACTGCGGCAGCAAAGCCTCCCACAAACAAAAGCAGTGGGAATATAGGGGCCGCAATAAGAGCAATGAACTTGAGGGTATCAATCTTGGCCATTCCATCGACATAGGTTCCACCCTCAGCACTACTAAAGGTAAAGAAGAACAGGGATATCAGCACCAAAATCAAGGAATCTAGTGCCAATCCAGCTGCTGCCTCGACAGAAGGTGGTCCAGTCAATGATGATTCAGCAGGCGCGCCTTCTTCATCTCCTTCCATTTCAAGTTCTCCACTATAGTCCGTTCCCAATGGACCGTCTTCGCCGTCTTTTGTTTCCTCTACTCCTCCCTCTACCGGTACTCCCGCCTGCCGACTTTCTGGTCGAGGAGCCAATTCAAATTCATCGTCGTCGTCCGTTTGGACTCGTTGATACCGTCCCAGACTCTTCTCCAACAAGGAAAAGCCATCTTTGTAGACCTCGTCGGATGGCTGAAACAATAAATGACCAATCATTTTAGTCCCAATCGTCTTGGACCAAACATAAAACGAAATGACAGAGCCCCATAGCAAAAGGTTGAGTTCCAAGAGTGACCGATAGACTCGAAGACTGGGACGGTGACGATGCAAGGCCGTCATGACAGCCAAATGGTGGTAGTTTTTGGATCCGGAGGTATCATCATCAGTCAATATCCAAAGAGAAAACAACAATGCTACCACAAGGGCGGCTTTCTTCCATAGGGGAAGCCGCATTGCTACGTCAAGTAATAGTTCGTACCGGTAGTGAGGTTATTGCGGTTTTTGGCATTTTTAGTCAAACAAGTCATTCCAATTGTCTCCGAAAGCATTCTAAATGTAGTGTTGGTACACGTGTACCAAGGCACGTATTTAAAATACCAGGTATTCGTACCTGGTCCAGCACAAGAAAGAGTTGGTGGGATCTCATCGACGCTCCATCACAGTGATACGAAGAATCGAAAGAATTCAGCGCCGAGAACGGTTCAATTGTTCTTATCAGGAATGGTAACGATTAAACACTCGTGCCGTTCTATTCACGTCATTGCTTATCTCAAGCCTGCTGTATTATCAGTATTCTTGTCACTTGTCTTAGTATTTTTGACAAAGCTTGCACTGTAATATTGTAGCGTTTGATACTTCAAAAAATTATAGTTTACAGAATATTGTTGATGCTAATGATGCGCAGGTTTGATGCGAATAGAGAATGTAATAATTTACAATCTCTTTTGGGACTCAACAGGGTTGGAGAAGACGGCATCGGGCTTGGCGTTAGCGTATCCCTTGATCAAGCATCCGATGGTCTCACCAAGAAGCTTCAAGTCATCAAGAGGGTTGTTTCCTTGGACTCTCTTGTATAGGTAAGAGTCGAAGGTGACTTGTTGGACGTACTTGGAGTTACAGAGTTCGACAAAAGCCTCGCGAGCTCCATTGTTGGAGTAAAAGACCTTTTGCAAGATGTCCAAGACAGCGTAGGTAGGTCCGTATGCCTTGTCGTACTTGGCAAGGTAGGTCTTTTCCATATCTTCTTGGGTTGGAAGTCTGGTTCCACCTTCCATGAGCTTGACAATTTCTTCAGCAGCCATGCGTCCAGACTTGGCGGCAAAGTAGATACCTTCTCCGGAGCACTTGGTGACGTATCCGGCGGCATCACCGACAAGGCACATGCGTCCTTGGATGCGGCGAGGGCGGTAGTGTTCTGGGATGGGGTGGGCCTCGACCTTGATGATCTTTCCTCCGGCAATCTTGTCTCCGGCGCGGTCACGGATGGCTTTTTGGTATTGCTTAATGGCAGGACGGTTGACAACGGTACCGGTTCCAACACCGACGTGGTCGTACTTGGGGAAGACCCATCCGTAGAAATCAGGTGAGACATCGTCACCGACGTACATCTCAGCCATTTCTTCGTAGAATGCCATCTTCTCGTCAGAGATCTTGATTCGCTCTTGGAAGGCAATGGCGAAGTTGTATTGTCCAGCATCCATAGCCTTGGCGACACGGGAGTTGGCTCCATCAGCACCAATGATCAAATCAACTTCCATGGATCCTGGAACACCGGCGGCAGATCCCTCCTTAAATTCAGAGTAGCTGATGGTGTATCGGGACTTGTCGTTGGTCTTGTGGTCGGCTGGGACATCAATGTTGGTGACAAGTGCTTGGATGCACTCGGCTCCGTATTCGATGGCACGGTCACGAAGGTACTTGTCCATAATTTCACGACGGCACATACCAATGTATTCGTCGGCTTGCAAAGTGGAACCAATGTCGACTTCGACACCGTTGGGGGAGACGAGATTCATTCTGCGAACCTGTTTGTTTGGTAGTAGTGAGGAGAATGAGGAGATTTGGTGAGTTGAGTTGCTTTTAAAAAGATCTGTCGTCATTGATTCGTTTAAAATCAAATGCTGTTATGGATTCTTACCTTACGGTCAACGACAGTCTCAGGAATCTTGAATTCACCAACCATACAAAGAGGAATGGCTCCTCCGCATGGCTTGGCGTTGTCAAGCTTTCGCTCGAACATGACAGTTTCGATTCCCTTTTCTTGGGCAAAGATCTCAGCAGCGCAGGCTCCCGATGGTCCTCCACCAACGACAGCGACCTTGTACTTCATGTCCAATTGAGAAGTGGACTTGGCAGCCTGGGTGATGGAAGTCTTTCCCATGAAGGCCGAGTTGGAGAAAGCATTGGCAACGGTGGCGAAGCCTGCAACTGTTACAAGGGTGAACTTCATTGTGTATTAGTTGTTTGATGAGATGAAAAGGAGAAGATCGATCCAAGAAAATATGAGAGATGTGTGGGTGTGGGTGTGGATGTGGATCTGAAAGCTTCTTTCACACCGTTGATGTACGATCCTACATCAACTTGGTAAGGAATTTGCCGTATCTTTTTACCCTTGGCGAATATCAACTCAAGAGGAAGCCTTCTTCTTCTCCTCGTATGTAGCGTAGTACATTCAGACGGAACTTCAACCTAGACGGAATCTGGAATTATTATAAAAAGTGTCAAAATCAATAGTCAAATTAATCAAAATGTAGTTCAACGTGTAACTGTTGGGACTTTTTTAGCTGAAAACACGTGGTTCAACGTGGAAGAGATCTTTATTATGATCTGTTTTTGAAGAACGCGAGTGACGTAAGAGTGACGTCAACAAATTTTGGTGCTCACCTCCCTCCCCCTCCTCACATACCTCTTTATTATCCCCTCGTTAAGACGCGACCATCGTAGAACACAAAGAACAACTTCTCCTTTACAACAAGCACACGTCACACACATCGCATCAGAGTCTCACACTACGGAGTGACAGGACGAGAAAGAACGGATCTTTTGGTTGGGAGGTGCGCGATGAACGGAAATTTGAAAGGTGGTTTGGGCTCCATTTTTCTGTTGCAAGACACTCCAACGGACGGAATTGAGCGGACTATACAGAGATTTGCAAAAATAATTCAACACATGCAAGTCCCGCCCAACCATCAAAGCTAAACAGAAAGATACGATATCGCCATCTCTCATAATATATAAAAAGTTTTCAGGCACCGGTCCAATCACCGCTTGGAAGTATATTGATATTGACAGTATCATATCATGCGAATCATAGAGTATGCATATGGCGCTCCCGACATGCGGGAGTCAACGAAACATACTGCCACACCCGAGGAAAGCAGGAGTGCATCAAGCTCTACAGTGGAAGAAGACCGTGGCGACATTACACTTCCACTTCATCACCACCATGAGGCGAAACCAACGCAAAGATTAGGCGCGCATACCTTTGATCCTTCTGTGCCGGTATCATGGACGACTACTACTACTACCCCCATCAAAAGTGTTGCGTCCAGAGTGGAAACATATCAAACTACACCTTCCACAACAGCATCACTCGACGATGACGACTATTTGGACGACTCTTCTTATGTGTTGCCTCCTACTTCACGGTACACGACGGATCAATTGAATGATAATGACCACGAAGTTCGTTTGGCAATCAATTTTTTAAATCTGCAACCACATTTGTTGCCTCCAGATACACAACTGCAAAAGAGCAAAGCCGAAGTCATCCTTCAAACATTTACTCCGAAACTTGTATTGGAAGTCATGGGAGGAGCTGGTGCGGTGTGGGGATTCACTGAGGCCATTGGGTTGCGGACCTCCGCGACGGTATGGTTTTGGAGACCCGTCACCTTTATTGCAGGCGGCCTCTTTTTCATACGATGGTACCAACAACTGCAAGAATTTAGTAGGCTCTATGATCTTCGTCGAGCTAGACGGAGATCTGCTGTGGAAGGTGAAACGGCACACCTCTTGTGGCAAGATAATGTCTGATTTCATTCTATCATAGCTACGACTACCCAATAGTTCTTCGGTCCTTCATAATCTAGAAATGTGTTGCAATTGCAAGCAAATAGCAACAATTTAGGAGTAGGCTCCATGATCTTTGTCCAGCTACACGGAGATCCACTGTGGAAGGTGGGAAAAGGCACCCCTCTTGTGGCAAGATAAAGTCTAATTTGATATTTTACTGTCCAATAGATCCTCTGGCCCGAAGATCCACTGTAGAGATGAAACGGCACACTCTTTGTGGTAAGACAGTCTGATGTCATTTCCCTTTTTTCAAATACCGGTAGATTCCAAATGCGACCAAATATATGACGTCATATGAGGTCGAGTTTGTCAACTATTGAAAATTTGACACCGTGCAGCGCAAGCCAGCATCTTTTTGTCCGTCCATTGGTTGCTGGCTGTTCCAAGATACGTCCAACGGAAGAACTGAGCGCAGAAAAATCCAATTGATACAAATTGACAAATAGGTCACCCACATTCAGATAAGAAGCAGGCGCCACCGCCACAGACAGATTTGAAGTCCCACTTCACTTACTTGACAAGCGTCATAATACTTTACTGTTAACACTGCTAATACTGCTAATACTGCACTTTCAGCCAGGGAAGCAAGGAATCGCAAGTATTTTTCATAACCATCACCATCATCATCAACCAGGCGATACCAAACAGAAGGTCAACTATGAGAATACTCGACTATCAATATGGCGCTCCCGACATGCACGAGTCAAAACCTCAACCTGTCACACCCGACGAAACGAGCAGCTCATCATCAAGCGCTAGAGTAGAAGACCGAGGCGAAACCACGCTTCCACTGCATCATCAGGTGCAAGCAACGCAAAGAATGGGTACAGAAACCTGTGTTCCTTACATCTTGGTCACGCCCACCAAGAGCGCTTCTTCGAGAGTGGAAGCGTCTCAAAATACACCGATCACAACAGCGTCACTCGACGATGAATCGTTGGAATCTTCTGTGTTGCCATCTCCTTCTCCACGGCACACGGACCAACTGAATGCCGACCATGTTCGTTTCTCCGTCAATTATCTGAATCTGCAACACTTGTCGCCTACGAATATACAACTGGAAAAGCATAAAATCGAAGTCGTCCTGGAAACCTTTATTCCGAAATTGGTATTGGAAGTCATGGGAGGAGCAGGTGCGGTATGGGGATTCTCGGAGGCTATTGGATTGCGAACTTCCATGAATGCATGGTTTTGGAGACCTGTCACCTTGTTTGCAGGTTCTCTCTTTTTCATCCGTTGGTATCGACAAGTGAAAGAGTTTAGTAGGCTGTATGATCTTCGACACAAACGAAGATCCACTGTGGAAGGTGAAACAGCACACCTCCTGTGGCAAGAAAATGTTTGATTTGATATATTACACTATCAGTCCTCGATAATCCAGAATCTATCATATCTACAAAAGGAGGATCCTACCAATGTTTCCAGATGTTAGTTATATGCACAGTACACTAAATCATTTTGGATAACCATACCAGTTTTTATAAATACTCAAGAACTCGGAAATACCATCACATTGTGAAGAGGGACTTTCTAAGAACACTGGTTACCTTGACAACATGAATCTATGAAGGACTTGTTCAACAACAATCATTTTGCAGAAAGTCGTGCTCTTTATTTTCCACGCTGGAGTGGCCTGAAAGATTATCGATGCAGTGTCTGTTGATAGCAGGAGATAATGCTTCAAGCTTGTCAAACGTTGGCTTTGTCGTTTCCTCTTGACGCAAAGCAGCAGACTGAAGACCAGAATTCTTAGCAAAACTCCTACAATCAGAAAACCACTTTCCAGCAGCACATTAGAAGTGCGCCATGCCAACAAGTTCCTTCATCCACCACCATATTTCGTTGATAGTATCCACAGTCAATGGAGAAAGTCTGCTTGACTTTTTCACAATACCGGTAGCAAAGAAATGGCTACCACTTCAAAACTCAATCTAAAAGATAAAGTCCTTCCTTGTGATGAGGCAAGACGCTCCTTCGAATCCAGTCCCAGGAGCTTCGTCTGTTCCCACTCTTTCGTTGGATCCACCATGGCTGACCAAGGGCGGCCCACGGATAGTGGAAGCAGCGCATGCTGCTGCTTCTCCCTTTGATCGTCCGAATGGATTGCCTCAAGATTAGGCCTACATACAATATCAAAATGGGCTAATTGCCGATTACAGCATCGTGATTTTTGAAAATGGTCGACCTTGAATGAGGGACAAAGATATTCGGTTGCGTCTCAGTCGTTTAGATTTGGCGCCAAACATTTTCAGTGGCAGATTGGACCAACGAAGGCAAAGGAATTCCATTGATGGCTGTGGTCCACCGTGTGGTCAGTGCCACTTTCGGGAAATGTAAGGTTTGAGCACCCAAATGAGTCAATACCCAAAATCAATTTCGTTACGAGGTCACGACCAAGCAAGAGCAAGAGATCAGATCCGCGGATGATCCAGAAGCAATGCCTGTCATAGTTAGCGACGACCCCGAAGATTCCAAAGGAGAAGCAACAGAAGAACGAAGTAACGGTAATGCCGGTACCAGGGTACCGGTAGATGGATGTCCTTGAATCTACCGCTGCTTTTTGCGGCCATCAAAATTCGAAATTGACACTTCCGATCGGCTGGCGCCGCGCCAGTCCATCAACTCAGATCATATTTTCCGTTCCAAGAATCCCGAACCAGCTTCCAGCGATGAAACACTGAATAATACAAAAATTATTGAGAATTCAAACACATACAAGCTTCAGGTATCACTTGCACGCCAGTACAACAATATTCACTTGAGACAATATTGCTGATAGTGCATACTCGTGGTTCCGCTGTGCTCAACAAGCAACGCAACAACTCGGAAGTATCGGAAGTTATCAGCAAGAAGACGAAGCTGCTGCGAAGCGCATTCAACGATGCCATCAGCGTATCAATATGGCTCTCCCGATGTGGGGGAGTCTTTTCCACTAACAGTTTCAACCGACAAGAACCTTTCATTCAGCTCCAGTTTGGAAGATGATCAAAGCGAGATCTCGTTTCCACTCTATCCTCATCCAGTGAAGCCAAAGCAGCTAGTAGGCACGAATACATACTTTGTTCCTTCCTTGTGGGCTACCCCTGTCAAGAGTTTTTCGTCGAGAGTCAAAGAATATCAACGCGAAAATACACCGCTGACAATGCCATCGCTCGACGATCATTCTGTGGACTCTTCTGTGTCAGCTTCTTTACGACACACTGACGAACTGGATGATGACGACCTGAAGGTTCGTTTGGCACTAGATTATCTGAATCTACAACACTTATCGCCTGCAAATAATACACAACTGCAAAAGAGCAAGACAGAAGTCTTCCTACACACATTTTGTCCTAAATTTGTATTGGAAGTGATGGGAGGTTCTGGTGCGGTGTGGGGATTCTCTGAGGCCATTGGACTGCGGACTGCACTGTCTTTGTGGTTTTGGAAACCGGTCAGCTTGTTTGCGGGTGCACTCTTTTTCATCCGATGGCTCCAACAGTTGCAAGAATTCAGTAGGCTGCATGATCGTCGCGCCAAACGAAGATCTACAGTGGAAGGTGGAATGGCAGCTATCGGCGTATTCCACGAAGATGTCTGATTTGATACAAAATAGATCCTCGATAATCTAGAAAATAAAATGATTGTTAAAACATGCCATTCGGCCAGACATCAACTATGTATATGCACATGACGTGAATGCTAAGCTTTAAGTGATAGAGGAACTTGGAAATGCAATCACATTGCAATGGGTGGCTTTCCGTCAATTATTACCTTTTTTTGTAAACGAGATAAACCGAACTTCCTTGCCAAAAGCCTTGAAGTCTTATTAAAGCGCGAAGCCGTTATTTTTTCCTTGCATTCAATTGGCCTCCATTATGATATAGCTAGTTTTTATCTAGGTGGTGCATGGGCGATTTGGTGTTGAGCACAACAGCAGGGGGCAATATCCAAAGTATCACTAGCGCCTGCCCCTCGGTTTCCTGTGGACTGAAAGCAATACGGGAGCCGAATTCGTGGGAAAAAACTGAGCCACTGGTTGCTTCACAAAGCAATTATAAGCCGGTTGCTTGTATTATTTCATGGCATGTTGAGGAACAAAGTCTCTTGCTCCTTTCAAAAATGCCGTGTAGGCACCCACACCCCAAGATCCAGCTCTTCCCAAATTCTCTCCATCCGAAAGCATGTTCCAAAACCTTGGCATCATGCCACTTGGATCCTTGTAGGTTTTCCACAAATGATTGTTGCACTCACTAGCACCATAGAAAACGTGGGTACCGTCCTCGAGGATGGGTGTCGGATGACCTTTCACCGGATCATAAGAGTTAGATGAATTTATACCGGCCGCAATGCTCAGGTACGGAATCTCCAGCGTACAAAGCGTTTCTCGAACGAGTCGGCTTTCTGGACAGCCTTCTGCTTGATAGAGGGTAATTTCCGTACCATTGTCCCACGTTGATGGAGTCTTAAGTATCCCACAGGACGGAAATGGGCGCAAGTAAGATGGTCCTGCCAACGACAGGAATCGGATTGGAAATGGAATGGAAGGTGAATTCCACCACTGATCCGGCCGATTCTGACCTTTCTCGACGCTCTGACCATATTGCTGCCAAAGATGTTCCAATATGGCATAACTCTCCACAATTACCTCCGGAGAGTCCTTTGCTTTGGTGCGATCCACAAGAATGGGAAAGGTCATGTCATCAGTCTGGTGTGATGATTTCAGATATTGCATGGCTTCTGGTCGAAATCTTGACTCCTTGTCGTAAGCACCCTCCATGAACAAAGTTTGGCGAGGACAAGGTCGAATCTGAGCCTTCAAATCCAAAATGGTCAGGTACTCTCGAACAATCCGGCACCAAGGGGATGCTTCGTACTCATAGAGAATCAAATCATGGTTGGGTGGCACTGGCGATGTTCTATGGGCTGCTGCTCGCCCGACACTACCTCGAGTCTTGCTTGCAACTGATGATAAGATTCTATCCATGATGATTTTTAACTTGCTCAAAGCATACACTACTGTAGTATCATGAAGGACAAGATTGCTGGTTTTGATTGTGTGATGTGTGCGTTTTCTTTTCCTTTTCTCCTTTTCCCATTTGTCCGAATTGAAAATCAGGGTTCAGGGTATCATCATCCTCCAACTTATTCCGCTCCATAGTATCCATGATATCACTTCATCAAATGACTCTCACCGATACGTGTTGCATGACTCTACAAAAGCTGATCCCTCTTGTTATTTCCTTTATAAAAAATGACTTAATTTCGTGCTAAGTGCACAGACTAGTCCAGCCAGCGGCTAACCCTCCCTCGATTACGTCTAATGCAAAGGATAAATATTGAAAGGCCTCTCTGTCATTCATACATTTTTCTCTCCTCATTCTTGAAGTAAGCAAGACATTTTTTCCAAATGGGGAACCTGAGTCTATTTGTGGCCCCAACCTTGTGCAGTGGACCTTTTGCCGTTGGGCAGCTTCATCTTCGGGGATTATATCGTCATTTGACTGAAGCCATGAACAATCTGAAACAGAAAAGCATCGCGACAAATTGAAAATCCAGTCATCAGTGGATTGCAATTCCTTTTTCTTGCGAAGGGCCTTACGCTTCATCGTTCCTCCAATAGTCGACAATATTGCTGCGGGGACAAACCATCACATCTCGACCCAGATCAAAATTCAAAACCAAACATTTCCCCCTCTTCATCGTCGTCGACACCGATGAGTTCAATTGCGTCAAAGTCCACATCGTCAAAGTCTGGAAAGAAGGCCTCTATTTCCCACTCAGAATCTTCATCGTCCCGAGACAACTCCCAAGTATAATACAAACAAGGCGCACAATTGCGCCGTTTTTTACGCCATTTCTTTCCAAATACCACCTTGACCAAACAGCTTGCTACATCGGGATCCATAACGGTGGAAACCATCACCACCTGAGCGTCTTCATGTTCGACCAGAAATTCAAAAGGAGATTGGCTGGCCACTTCGGCAAAGTTTTCCACATCTCCAAGGACAACCTGGCTATCGTCAGAATAACAGGAAAAGGCGCGTTCGAAATCAGCAACCTTCAGTGCATCCAGTTGTTCTCGAATCTTGGTTTCCGGAGGATTCATGCGTTGTGGTGCCACGAGGCAGTTGACAATTAGAGGCAGTATCAAGAGTAGGAAGGCAACAAGCTTCATGATGGCTAACTGTTTTGAAAATAGATATTTTCTTTCAATCGTGTGGGTACTCGTACCGGTAGGTGGTGGAGCAGCTAAAGAAACTTTGAATGGTTGTCGGATTGTATTTTCACCACAAGTTGGGAAGCCTCTATCTTTTGATGTTTTCTTCGTTGTCTGGCGTCCACGTCTGTCCGTGCCTCCATGACTTCACCCGTCAAAGTCCAGACCAGGTGAAACTGGCGATCCATCGAAATCAGAAATCAGAAAATCTCAACTAAATCTCAAAAGTAAATAGTCGCAAGACTGACAACCCTACCAACAGAAAAGTATGTTTTCTCGGCTACTATCATCCAGAAATGCACCAATTGCAAGTCGGAAAATAATCGGAAGAAAGTGGATGTCGGCTTTATCCACAGTTTCGTTATCAACAGCTCATCAAAACTCCCACAATTCGAAAACCTCGTTCCACAACATGAGAAGAAGAACACAACATGAAAACAAGTTCCTTCATACACCACTATCTTCCGATGGTTTTCACATTCATCAACGGAGAAACTTTGCTTCTAATTCTCGCAATATCAAAGACAAGGCTGCCACTCCAAAGCTCAACCTAAAAGATGAGGTCCTTCCTTGTCATGAACATTTAGACCCAGATGGAAACATTTTGAGCAAGAGTGAATGGATCCACGTAAATGGAACCCTGCCCATTTGTTCCGTAGAAGAAGTCATCGACGCGTTCGAGACACATGTACTGAGAGAATCAGAAAGGTGGGGAATTATCGACTTGGACGCTCCTTGGAACCCAGTCGAAGAAGCTTCGGTGCCCACTCTTTCGTTGGATCCCTGGCTGACAGAGGACGGTCCGCGGATAGTGGAAGCAGCGCATGTTGTAATTTCTCCCTTTGGCCGTCCGAATGGATGGTATATCAAATTTCCGAATCGATCATTTTCCAATGCTCTCTTGTCACGAGCTCAACAAGAACACTTTCACATGTCTTGGAAAGTGGTGCAAGTGTCCGAGCACCACTACGACCCAGTCCGTGAACAGGAAGAAAATTACGCCTATAAAAATGGGTTTGTTGTCGATGACACCATGGTGCGCTTTGAAAATTGTCCACCCGGAATGAGGGACGAAGACATTCGGTTGCGTCTCAGTCGTTACGACTTGGCGCCAGAAGGCAAAACGGTCATGCTATGGAAGGCTTGGACCAACGATGGCAAACGGGCTCCATTAATGTTTGTGGTTCGTTTTGCCAGTGCCGCTTGGGCCCGCGCGGCCATTCGGGAAATGCAAGGTTTGCGAGTGAATGGCAAGAGTATCAAGATGATTCAATACCCAAATCAACTTGTCTACAAGAACGTCACCAAGGAAGAAGAAGAAACAAGAGGCAAGGATGATCCCGAAGCACCTTCTGACGCAGCTAGTGACGATTCCGAAGGGGAAGCAAAAGAGGTGTACTAACTGACTGGGAACGTACTCGGATCTTTGCCTTCATTGGCATCTTTGGTCTATAGTTTACACTCTTTCTGTCTGTACTTTTTGACTACGACGCGACCATTCTTGCAAGAACGAATGACCGCGGCGTAATCCTAAATGTCGAACACGGAATCGACATGTGATTGCAAGGTGTTTGTTTCCTCCTTCTTTTACTAGAAGCCACCTTTCACCTTGATGACGACGCGACCATTCTTGGACGAGTCATTTTGACGGTGAATGGCCGAGGCGCAATCCCGAACGTCGTGAACCGAATCAATATCAATTTTGAGGTTTGAATTGGAGGTCCATTCTCCAATTTGTTCGAGATCGGCTTTTTTGGATTCCACCATGACCATCTTTACACTCTTGGAAGAAAAGAGGGTAAACAACTTGCCCAATAGGAAATCCAACATATCATCTGGGGAAGGATTGACGTAGACTCCCTTGCGCTTGAGGTACTTTGTAATTTTGCGAGCGGATAATTTGCCGGGAGTATCGAAAATTACATCGAATTGCTCGGCCTTGAGTTGCCCCATTACGTTTGGGGTCTTTTTGCGATCGATGACAGTAGTGGCTCCGAGGTTGGTCACCTTTGCGACATCCTTGGTACTGACGATAGCAGTCACTTCACTTCCCAGGGCTTTGGCAATCTGAACGGCACAAGACCCAACTTGGCCACCAGCTCCGTTGATCAATACATGACCACCTTTTGGCAGTTTTCCAATATCTCTCAAGGACTGAAGGGCTGTGAGTGGTTCAGTAGTAGCAGCAGCGGCCAAATCCATGCTCATGGTCGAGGGCTTGACTGCCAAAGCATCAGACTTGACAGTGATGTATTCCGAAAGACTACCTTGTGTTGTACTTGAAGCATACGGAAGATTACCAAAGACTTGCATCCCAGTCTCAAAGTCGCCTACGTTGGCGCCGACTGCCTCTACGACTCCGCTGAAATGCCAGCCGCAAAACAAGGGATCAGTTTGTTTGTGGAGCATTCCACCAACAAATGTCTTTTTGATAACTGGATCCAGAGCGGTATCGAGGGCACTGTAGTGGACCATGACCAAGACTTCATCTTCTTTTAGAGTTCTGTTTACAAAGTGTCAACAAGGCTGTGAGATGCCAATGATGTCAAGTGACAAGAACGATGGCACGAGAACAAAGCTCAATGCAACTTACGGCTTGCCAGTCTCAACAACTTGAGGTTTGGTGTCAACGAAGGAGATTGCTTTCATGTTCATTGTATGTTGTGGCTTTGATTTGTGGTTTTTGCTTTGTTGGATTCGATAATTTGTGAGAAGAAACACCCACAAAGCCAAATTGGATTGTGGATTGCCTATTCCCAAAAATCTTCCAGGAGTACTTTCGAAAATCCTAACGGGAATTCCCCGTTGTTCTGCAAGATTCAAGCGCGGGTCGTGTTGGCAGAAAATGTATTTTGATGGAGAAACTCTTCTTGGGAGAAACATTTAGTTCGAAGATCCTAACGGGAATTCCCCGTTGTTCTGAAAGATATGATCAAGGGCTGTTGGCAGAAAATGTGTTTCGATGGAGAAACATGATGAATGGGATGATTGGAAGTAAATCATGGAAAATTGTCCTTGTCCAATTGTTCACCACGGCCGACTTAATGCCAACCAGCAAATTGTCAGAGCCGAATGCTGATTTGGTACCTTCATACTATTGTTCATTGATCGATCGATTAACTCGTCATCGATTATTGGTGATATCAAGCCAAACACCAAGAAATTATAGGTATAACAGCGATGTATATAGCAATTAACGCAATATCGAGTTCAGTTTCTTTTACTTTGTAGACGGAGCATCCTACTCTTTATGTCAATACTAACCCAACGAACAACTAGCGGATGCGATGAATACCAATCGAATGAGTCGTATTTTGATGACGCACCGTGCTTTTTGTAAAAATCTTGAGAACAATCGCAGAGAGAGAACCATTTGGCAACATCCTTGAACACCATGAACCACCAGTCTACCGACGAAGATGCTGCCTTTGCGTTCGCGTCTCCAATGTTTACGTCCTCCAGCGGAGAATCTTTATTCTTGTCCCGCTCATCAGTTGGGGGTTCGTCTACCACTTCATTGAATACGACTGCGACAGATGATTTCATGTCTACTGTTGAAAATGTAGAAGATCTCGTAGCTTTTGACGAAGACACGATCTCTGCCAGAGCTCAAAGATTCTCGATACCCGAAATAGAGGAAGAAGAAAATGACAGGAAGATGTCTCCTATAACCGTCGAATCCAAGGCGCCTCCTTCTTTGACTATCGAAACCGAGATGCCTTCCGCAACGATCGAGGCCACAGAGCCAGCAGCAACACCAACTCCTGTAATTGCTCCGAATGAAGCAGGCTCAGAAACAGAACTGGACGAAGAAGAAAACAACATGGAAATGTCTTCTCCAGCCATCGAACCTAAGGCGTCTCCTCTGATAATTGAAGCGAAGATGCCTCCCACAAGTATCGAAGCCACAAAATCAGAACCACCAACTCCTGTAATTGCTTTGAGTGATGTACCGTCAGAAACACATTTGAATAGAGAAGAAAGTAACAAGAAAATGTCTCCTACAATGATCGAAGCCAAGGCGCCTCCTATGACTATTGAAGCCAAGATGCCTTCAACAATAGTGGAAGCCACAAAAACTCCTGTAATTTCTCCGAGTGATCCAGACTCAGAAAGAGAATTGGGCGAAACAAAAAATGACTTTTGGGAGAGATCTTTAGCTGAAACAGAAGCGCCATCTCCATTAATGCCCCCACCAACAGAGGAAGTCACATCAACTACGACAAGCGCAGAGTCAAATCCAGATGCTGCGGCAAACGTTTACAAGGGGGCAAAGGGAGTCTGGGCCTGGGGTAAGAGTGTGCCAGTGTTCTCTCCCTTGATGGGTATTGCAGAATGTGTGGCTGGTAAAGCGCTCCAAGTGGCTGGAACCAACCTTCAAGATTTGGACTCTAACCTGATTGAACCTCAGCTCCAAAACTTGGATTCTGGCATTTTGAATCCTGCCATCAAAACAGTTGCCGGTATAATGTTGGGGGCTGCTGGGAAAGCAGAGGGGGTTGTCAAGCCAATCATCGTAATTGTTCTTTCTCCCTTCAAGATGCTGACTCAACAGCCTTCCAATGAAGAGGTCGAAGTTGCCAACTGAGGACTGCCAGAGTCAAATGGGGAATCTGGCAGCGGGGAACTGGATGTTCATGGATTGTAGGTGTCTAGATACTGGTAGGCCCATGGAGATCTCAAACCGACAGGGCAAAGTATGGGGCAAACAAGCCGTTTCTAATGGTCTTTGTCAAGCCACGCACTTTCAACATGTAGATAGTACCGAAGGAAGAGTAAGCTGCTAGACCACATGATGTCGCACACAAATCAATCCCTTACTAACTATCGTCTGCAAGGTGATTAACCCTAACTACATCCTGATACATGCTACTCAGAAATATATTATTCAGTTGCCGCCACAATAATCAGTCTCCAACAGATACTAGTTTAGCTATGGGATTCGTTTGAAGGGGGTGATCCAGCCCCCTAACGACACATGCGATAAGCAGCCGAGAAAACATGTTTGCTCGCTCGAGCAAAGGACTTCCAATAGGAGACTGCACCTGGATTGGTATTCTTGGTCCAGGAGGGATGAAGGTCACAACTGAGAAAATTGTCTGGAAACAACTGTTGCTCAAGAGTCTAGGAACAATTGTATTTCGTTTCGTTGTACGCTTTTCGACAATGGGTTCGGTGGGTCAACCTGAATTTGGGAGTACAATTGCAGTGTTCGTTGGTCAGTTTTTTCCAGACATTGATCCTGACAAACTTGGGAAGAATAATTGGCTTGTTCTGAGATGAGGTACATCTTCGTCAATGACTATGCGGCCTACCCAATCCGTGTATGGATGGGCTTCTTTTCCCCGTCGACGCAACTAAGACCGGTGATGCACATAACGGCATTCGACAATTCAGGGAGCTCATTCATTTCATTGGCCGCCACAACAAGTCCCAAGGAATTGACATCGGGGTGGGCGTCGTCCGCAGGAATTTTCGCCAGTATCCGAAAGGCTGCCAAATCTGCCCCACCCGTGGCAATGACCACAGGAGGCTCCAGACATATATAACAGAAGCCGTACTCGGTGGAAAAGAACCGCTTCCAGTTCGCTTCAGCATATTGGGAGTCATGATAATACGATAGTGCCAAGTTAAAAACGAGGGCATCTCGTGTCCATACTTGAGCAAAAGCTCGGTTGTAAAATCTGCATTTCCTTTGTAAACATGTGGTAGTTCGGATCCCAGATGAGCGATGTGCCATTGTAAAAAATACAGTCGAAAGGAGACGGGATTCAGATTGCCAATAGATATGGTTGGAAGCCGAGTGTCTTCCGAGGGAATATCGTCTTCGGCGGCAATAGCTACCACGTGATACTGATAGTACAGATCGACTTCTTGCTTCTTATAAATCAACAAGGTCATGAGGCCCAAGCAAACCAGAACTAATCAGACATAGAAGGCAAGGTCCGCTTTTTCCCACCGCACCTTCCCCAGACCAATGCATAGAACATTTTATACATGAGCTCCTTACGAGGAAGAAGAGGAGGAAGAACAAGCCATTGGAGAACCAGATTCCCTGTCAGAATAGAACAAGTCATCTACTGTACTTTGCTGGCAACGGAATGGGCCGAGGAGATTACCGAGCCTTTTGCTTGGGGGGTGTCGAATCGACTCGGATCTCTGACTCGTCCGAACTGAAAGAATTGATGGCTCCTCTTCGGAGTTTTGAATATCATTGACAATTCGTTGTGACCTTCATTCTTCGAATGGAAAGTGCTTTGGTCTTTCCCCGAAAATAACTACTTAGTGGTCTTGGTTTAATTCAGTGGAAATATCTGTCATGGGAATGACTCAAGGTCCCCTGAATGGAAACATTAAACTTCCGTTCGGTAACATTATTGCCTTTCCGGAGGAACCTTCGTCATGCAATCTTTCGTCGTGCCAATTTAGGTTCACTTGAGCAGTTTTAGGTTCACGCGACAAAACCTTCCTCCTAATCTAACAACCCCCCCATTCTGATAATGTGGCTATTTCGTAGGATTCTACACCAATTGTACTGAAATCGCGTCTAGCGGTTTCTTTTGTCGAATGCGTCTCGCTTCCCCTCTGTTGGTCCCCCACAAAATAAATGCACCATTTCCCCCTTCTAATATGCTTGATTCACCATCGATGTAGCAAGAATTAGAAGTTGTCCAAAGACCACCTTCTTCACCACCACCTTCCAGGTACTTTTATCTAATTAGTTTGAGAGAATTCAAAGCCACCAGCCACTTTTTCAATCCCCTCTACACATCACAATGGGTCGCTAATCCCACGTGAACCTTGGGTCATTCGTCTCTCAAAATTGCCCAGAAAATCCACCAAACTGAGCAAAAGGTACTGGCAAAGTGTCTGTTGGGTGAACCCTTTCCGCAATGCACTAAATTGCTGTGCAATGTTTGCCCAAAAATCAATTCTACTTGGTGAATGGTACTTGGGGCCGTAGAAGCGCCGGTCGGGTCACAGATTTTGTCACGTTACGAGGCAAAGGTTGGACGGGTTGCGACACGAAACGAAACCAACGAACTGTTACAAGCGAAAAAAGGGCGCATCGAGAGGCAAAACGTTTCGTCGCAACTCACTTTCAACTTGCGGCACACACATCATTTCAAACTGTGAGCAAACCACGACACTTGGTAGCCACAAAGAAACAAGCAAACCACACAACAAACATGTCTCGGAACAGTCTGTCAACGGAAGACCTCGAGAAGAAGTTGCCTTCTTGGGTCCAAGAGATTCCTCCCAGTAACAGCAGTAACGATATTCCTCTCATGAGGCACTGCTCAGAGGATTCTTTCACTAGCAACGAAAGCTCTTGTAGTCTTACATTAGACAAAAGCTCCACGCACAGCAGTCAAGAACATCAGTTTGACTGGTGTCCCAGCAGTAATAGAAGCAGCGATAGCAGTAACGCAAGTTCTTCCGACTCGGTTCACTCGATCATTGAAAACTTGCCGTTGCACGAAGTTCCAGAAATGGAAGAGTCGGAGACTTCTATCGGCTCTTCTTCACCCACTTATTTCTCTCCTCATCCTTTTCGCAAAAAGCTTGCCAACAAGGACGACGTTCTCCGCAGATGGAGCGATTCTGCAGATGTCAGCTTGCCCACTTGGATAGAATCTGATTGCTCATCTTCGAGCGACAGCAGTCCACCCACTTCCGCAAACACTTGCGGCCTTGATCAGATTCTAGAAGAAGAAGACAGTGGATTGGAGGAGGAAACTCCACGCAAGGTCTTTCACGCCAATCCGCAACGAGAACGATCTGCATTTTCCGTTGCAGTTTTGATCTTTTGCGCTATTTCCGTTATCTATTACTACTTTTCTCGGTGCACTCTGGCCGAGAACCTAAAGAACTCGCGAGAGCTTCTTGCTTACACTCAAAAGCTTGGCCTTCAACTCAAAATTGCCCAGAAGGACGTGGAGTTGATGGAACTCGAGCTGGCGTCGTTGGATGAAATTGATGCTCCCGCGACTGGTCTGGAGGATCCCTCTTCTTCCGAAGCTTGGACCAAAGCCTTGGCTGATCCGGAACGAATGCGCGAGATGATTACTGTGCAACGTTCCTTGAAACGTTCTCAATATCAATCGGAGCACTTGAAGGAAATCGTAAAAGAGACGAGCAAAGCGGATGCTATTTCCACCTATGGTGCCGTAACGAAACGCGTTCGCATTGAACTTGCCTTTCCAGACGACCAAGACTTTGCACAAGGTGTGGGGAGCAGTCATGCCAACATAGAGCCAACCGTCTTTGTCATTGAAATGGCCCCCATTGATCTCATGCCACACTCAGTCTACACTTTCTTGGAAATGGCTTCGGCTGGACTTTTGGACGGTTGCTCCTTCATTTTGAATGCCATGCACGTATTGAAAGCAGCGCCATTGCCCTATGATGGAACACCTCCATCAATCAAGGCACAAGAGTTCTTGGACAAAGGACTGGAAAGCGTTGCCTTCCGCGAGTATTCGGCAGACTATCCTCATAAACAGTACACTGTTGGTTTTGCTGCCGATGGTTCTCCTTCTTTTTACATCAACACGGAAGACAATTCAGAGATCCATGCAGGATACCCTTGCTTTGCCAAGGTTGTTTCAGGCTTTGAAACGATCCATCGCTTAGAGGCTTCTCCTACTCGCAATGGTCTTTGGTTGGAACAGCGTGTCGGCATCAAAAAGGTGACTGTCCTCTGAGCAACAAACGATTTCATGGCTGCTCATTAGCAGCCTCAGCTCCTCTTTTCTGTAACGCTACTACAACTTCTACAAATCAAATCAACAAACAACAATCTAGAGGATTGCAGCTACAACAATCCTAACTTAAACGATAGAATTCTACTTTATATCAACAAACATACTATACCTACCAAACTACTTGCAAACTTCTTTCTACTTCATTGATTGCATAATAGATAGCCTTGTTTACTCAATCCGAGTCTTATATTAACTACATAGAGGTATGCATTGGTGTGCTGTCCAACATTTCAACGTAGGCAAGATAATCTTGCTTTGACAGGAATAAGAGCTTGGACATGCTGTTTTGCCATGCCGGGTATCACAGATTGCTTCCTTTTCTTCGGGTACCGGTAACGTAACTCGAACAACGTGACGCTCAAAAAGTTGTCGTTTCTCACTTCGCCACTGGCTCACAAAATTTTTGGATTTTGGACAATCTTGGTCGGAAAGCAAGAAATCATAGGCCCTTTACTTAATGACTCGTGATTCCCAAGATTTAAGGTCACTTCTAGACATGGGCTGATTACTTAATGATTAATGATTTCAAAATCAGACCGTGAATCGAGTTAAGGGATTTTGGAAGATCCATAAGAAGATTTATTGTCGATGGCCCAAACATTCAATACCGGTGGTAATCGTGCCGGACAGACAGGCAAAATTGAAATTTTTCGCTAAATCAACCGCCGAACTTTCTTAGACCCAATCTGGTTTGCATCGAATATCCCCTTTTCCAATTTAGGGGTGGATTGATTATGGGGTGGGGTTCATCAATCGTTTCATCCTTGGAGTTTATGTCCCCGTAGCACCTGATTCTTTCAATTTAGTGATAATCTTCGCTTGCAGTTGCACATGCTCCTTATAGGCATCTTGCTTTTGCTGCTTCTCCGCCGCCACATTTTGTTTGCTAACTTTTAGAATTTCCAAATTCTTGGTAAATTTTTTCTTGAGCATGGGAATCTGAAAGTACAAATCCGAAACGACCCCACTCCATGTCCTGGAATGAATATTCATTTGTCTTTGCTGCAGCATGGCCATATGCAATCGTTTCAATAAATAGGCTTCGAACCATGCAAATATCGTATGGGTCAACTTGAAATGTTGAGGAACCATTGCTCTGTTTTTGGGTACAGCATGTCCTCGCGGTTCTCCGTCATCTGGAATGATATTCTTGATTGGTACTGTGGCAATTTTGTCGGACGAGTAGGTGGTTTGAATGATTTGAATATACTCCCCAAACGAAAAGACAGCCTGACAGCGATGGGCCAGATGCAACAGTTTCTTCCGCTGTTCATAGAGCCTCGTCTGAAGGGCATATATTTCTTCTTCCCGTTCATCTCTGGTCATCACGCCATCAATCTTGATTTCCCGAAGCTCCTTTCTAGCTTCCTTGATGAGAATGTCCAAATCATCGTCGTTTGGTTGATCGTATTTGTGACGGTTGTGGTGATGATGCTTGTGATGTTTGCGCTTTTTCTCATGGTCCTCTTTTGTTGCACCATGATGCTTGTGGTGATGCTTGTGGTGATGCTTATGATGATGCTTATGATGATGCTTAGTATGAGTATCATGCTTCTGCTTTGTATCTTGTTGATCATCGTGCTGTTGGGCACCCTGAGGATTACTCGTCATAATCCTGCCTAACACCTAATGCTGAATGGCGGATGCTTGCGGAAGAAGAATGTGATTTGGTGGTGCAATGCAATGGTAATCCTCATGGCTGCTGACGCTTGTACCGAATACGTTTTTTAAATATCGGTAGCGCTTATTTTGGAAGTGAGCGAGTACTAGCTAGTACTGTCACCGGAAACTCCCCCGCCTCTCCCATGCATGTTCTGAAAGACCCCCGGGCGAAAGACTAATTGAACCATCTCACACCGGTGCTCTAGATACGCGTGCCGGTTCGATATACCGGTACTAATATATAGCTGCCAGCTGGTTCCATCCAAACCCCCCTTCCTCCCTTCGCCGGCTGGCGAAAATTCCGCCGTTGGTGGCACATGGCACAGGTACTACTGTAATTTTATCATCCCAAATCCAAAATCCAAAGATGACTCACACCTCACACTCACTATCATATATACCAGACGAACATAACCCCATGATGCCAACCCTGCCCATGACTCGCAATAGTTGAAATACAGAGACAGCAATCAGGCAAAAATCGAAGAAGGCCGTTTGAAAACCACCACGACCGCTCCTTGAAGTACGTCAAAATTCATCTGGCTGGCTGGTTCGGAACAATACATTTGCGACACAATTATTTCCACACAACAATGTCAGAAAATGTCTCCTTGAACAACAATAAAGGCATTCGTGTCGTGACTGTGCTTCTTGGATTGGTCTTGTTGGGTCTACTTTTGAACCCTCTCTTGGGAGTGTCCTGGATTTGTAGGAACCGAGGAACAACCGGTGCTCACCCTTCCGAGTTTTCACGACGACATGACAAAAATGAAGCTTTATCAGAGTCATATTCATCAACAGCAACAGTTCAAACGCCACCTTTGTTGTCAACAAATGATACCCCAGGAGATCAAGTACCAGTGTTATCTGAACCAAAGATACCGCATCGATTTGTTTTCAACTCCTACAAAGATTTTTGGAATGTCGACGTCAATGACCTGGAGAAGGAGGAGCATCGCGCCATTCACCGCCTCTTGAGGAGAACTGTGGTCATGTTTAAAAAAGTGTGGCGCGAAAAAGGCTATACAAACACGTCAATGGAGGAAGCCATCGAAATCGATTTCATGAATGAGTCATTGGACGGTGTCGAGGTAGTTTTTCTGACGGACAAGGACTGCGAAGAGCTGATCAAGTCTATGGAACCAAAAATGACGGAAGCATTTCTAAACGAGCGAAACGGGAAGCACAGATCGGACATTTGCCGCGTCTTTAGTCTGTACGAGAAGGGTGGATACTACCTTGACACAGATCTATTGGTCCACGAAGCTCCATATCTCATGCCGCATGTTACCTTTGCATCCGTCATCGAACCAAAATTCCAGGACAAGTTCCTTCAGGCATTCATAGCCGTTGCTCCAAAACACCCTATCATTATCGAGGCCATCAATGTCATGATGGAACATTACGTGACAAAAAAGGGCGAAGTTACTGGGGAAAGCATGGGATACAACTCGAACAAGAACATGGGCACTTGGACGTTGCGGGAAGCGCACAAACGCGTCATGAGACGTCTACCGAATATGGCCAACGAGATGGTCTTACTCCAAGAACTCCCGATTGACGACTATCCAAACTGGTTTCCAGAGGTTCCGCGACCCCACAAAACAAAAATGAAAATGATGAGGTTCGTCACTGTCAACCTTGCGGCACACAAACTTCACTTTTGGTCCAAGGGCTATAGGAATAGATTCCTTAAGGAGATATATCATCTTGACGATCTTGCTGGCTTTGTTCCACGAAACACAACGACAGCAGCTTAGATCCAAAGTCACCTTTGGTTCCATGAGTCTAAGCGAAGATTGTTTCGTGACAAAGAAGGGCGAAATCGTAAAAAATGCGGCCGCTTGGATTTTTGCGCTTTGAAGGGATAATCGTAAGACTGTTTTAAAATATGATCCATAATAATCTCCTTGTCGGTATTCTATCTATATATATGCATACACTGTGTGCCTAGTCATCACCCGATTCAGAATGCCGACTGTCGTTGAAAAAGAAAGGATTAGGAAACGACAATACACCGATTCAACATGCTGTATGCTCGATCAACTAGGGTGCCTCGTCGTTGCCGTCTCGAAGCTTACGCTGTCCTGTCCCCGTATATTCGAAGGGAAAAGATAGCCCGTCACACGCACATAATGAATCGGTCACTCGCCCCCAGCACTCGACACCCTCCAAGCATTCAGGATGAGTCACTGCAGTAGTAGTAAATTTAATTTTCTCTCCCTCCTCGTTAACACGTACTCCAAACCACTCGCAAGTTACGATCACTAAAGCCAAGCCTAACAACCCAATTACTACTGCCATAGCCTTTATTAGCATACGCAAGTGCTGTACACACGCAACGTGATTCTCTGCAGGACTTCTCACGCTCGCTATGCTCCTATCTTCCTCTTCGCTACACAAAGTACTTCCTATCTCTTCCCGGTTCACGACATTAGAAATGTTGGTACTGTCCATCTTACACGAAAATTCGTTCTGCTTCGTCGAGTTTTGTATATCTCTACAATGACGGTCTGTAGGAGCACTGGTTGGCTTTTTATACCTCCTCTATGAGCCTTCTTTTAAAACTGTCTGAAAATTGAGTTCAGTAGGATTTGTTACGTCTCTACAAGGTCAATAGATGATTCTCTTTCTCTCAATCAAGGGTATGGCTTGTTAATGCAACAAGAACTGGTGACACTTGTGAATTCTCAACTAAAAGGATGCTGCGTCGATGAGGCAACATACAGTATAAGTTTGCAATTTTGTTTCCTTCGGTGTAGAAGTCTACGTTGATCGTGTTCTAGATCATCTGCAAAGTGGCCCGTCTTCTTTTCCGCTTTTCTGCAAAGTGGCCCGTCTTCTTTTGCTTTGTTTACCGTGTGCACATGAAAACTGAGATGTTTGGTGTTCGGGTGTCATCAATTAAAAGCTATTTATTTAGTCTGCAAAGTGGCCCGTCTTTTATTTTATATTCTTTTCCAAGCACGGCAGCTTAACTTGCTCACTACAGTACTTTGTGGGTGTGCACGTGAAAACAGATGTACGTGTACGGTGAGGTTTGGTGTACAACTCGAACAAGAACATGGTCACTTGGACGTTGCGGGAAGCGCACAAACGCGTCATGAGACGTCTACCGAATATGGCCAACGAGATGGTCTTACTCCAAGAACTCCCGATTGACGACACTATCCAAACTGGTTTCCAGAGGTTCCGCGACCCCACAAAACAAAACGGAAAATGATGAGGTTCGTCACTGTCAACCTTGCGGCACACAAACTTCACTTTTGGTCCAAGGGCTATAGGAATAGATTCCTCAAGGAGAATATACCATCTTGACGATCCTGCTGGCTTTGTTCCACGAAACACCACGAAACACCACGAAACACCACGACAGCATCGTAGATCCAAAGTCACTTTTGGTTCCATGAGTCAAAACGAAAAACAATCAATGGCGAAATCGTAAAAAATGCGGGCGCTTGGAAAGTTGTGGGCAGAGCACAAAAATCACCACTTTTCAATGTGGCTAAACTGAGAAATAAGAGGTGATACGAGGACTGTAGAATCCCGAGACAGTTTTCGACGGATTTGGTGCCACTATGGCCGACATCGCGGCTTCGACGAAAGGTGGCAAACGAGTGCCGCTTGCGCTTTGAAGGGATAATCGTAAGACTAGTTTAAAATATGATCCATAATGATCTCCTCGTCGGTATTCTATCTACATGCATACACTATTTGCCTAGTCATCACCTGATTCAGAATGCGGAATGCCAACTGTCGTTGAAAAAGTGAAAAAGAAAGGATTAGGAAACGACAATGAACCGATTCAACATGCTGTATGCTCGATCAACTAGAGCGCCAACTTACGTGTGTTGAGAGTGTCACTGTGCTTCTCTTTTGTCACGCCCAGTCGAACCCACTGGGTGATGATTTTCTTTTCGCCTTCGTAGACGGGACAACCTGAATGCGTCGTATACTCCGAGTCCATCATTTTGGTTTCTGGATCAATGTATCCAAAAAAGATGGCACTTCCAGTGGAAGGCTTGATGTGAACACCGGCGTTGCGAAAGTTAGTATGCCCACCCTTTTCTGGAATGGTACAATAAATCACCATGGTTGCCATGCGACCACCTTCCAGATGAGGCAGACCCTGACAGTCGCCATCGCAATGGGGAGTGTACCGATCGGGTTCTGTGTCATTGACCCCTCGTCCATTGTATTGAATGGACATGATTGGTTCTTGGCCTTGTTCACTAATGCCCAAGCCAAGAACGTGGTTGGTGTAGTCGTAGACCCTTCGACTCAAAGAAACGATCTTATCTCCTGCTTCTTCCAAATCCCATTTCGGCCGAATCGATGCTTGCAATGCTTTACGCGCCAACGAAAATTGACTGCCACCCTTTCCGTCTGCTGTAGAAGCTCTGTGCAGCTTCGATTCCGCTTCCCATTCGTATGCGGCACACTCGTCCTCGTCGGCAAAGTTCTCAATCAAGTGGATTCTGGCAGCCGGTCGTTCAAATTTGACGTGTACCGTTCGTGAAACTTGATCCTTATCGCTTACCCATTCGTAGGAAGAAACATCTGGACTGGAGTCCTTATCCACCATGGCGCAAGTAAAGTTTTCCATATTCTATAGGTATCAACAATCAATAAAAAGTCAGCACCTAACAATGCAAGGGCAAATGATCAAAATGATGGCAAACGACTTACTCCTCCAATATCTTGACGAACATATCGGACAAATTTCACCTCCTCTTCCGCCTGTTTCAATTTGTTTCCCGCACCAGTGGACATGCAAGACTTGAATCGACTCAAGATGAGCTCCTTATCATGCGATCCTGCTGCCTGGCCCTCGAGTGATTTTCTCTTGCAATAGGAAGCGAAATCTGTGACGTTCAATAGTTCTTCGTCTGGCTTTAGAATATCTGCGTACTCCATTTGAAAATTGGAATTGACCGAATAAAACTGGTCTTCACCTCCCTTGACTTTGAAATAAGTCATTCGACAAGTCTTGTCTTTGGTATTGCATTCCCCTGTTGTATCATCCGGTAGTTCCCGCACTTGAAACTCATGTCCCGAATAGGAGTCGAGAGACACCCGATCGTTTAATGGAATTTCGCCAATCATAAAGTCTTCTCCAGAAGAGCTTGGATTGATCCACCAGACACCTGTTTTCGATGGACTTCCATTAATGATTGTGATGTGAGCCTCAATGTGACGAGAGGCCGCTGATGTACACACTACTATTGTACATAGTACAAAGAGGGCACTAAAAAGATCGGCATTCATGGTCGAACGAGAAGGATGCCTCCTACGTATCAATATTACGAGACACAACAATGCTGTTGCGCATTGAAATACGATACAACATGACTCCGCTTCTCATTGGAAATAAATGTTTGCGTCGGGGGAGAAAAAGAGGGACCCCCGTTTATTGTATATACCGGTATGTTCCCCGCAGTCACGATAAAGGTGGTACTTTATTAGTTTCTATCGAAGTTTCCTTCGCGCTATCTTTCGGAGGCTGTTTTCATCAAAATCATCACAAAACTGACTGGACGATGAAACCGCATTTGAGTTTCATAGTTGCCTTTGGCTTGGGATTGTGCATTGCCGCTTCGCTCTTTTCTTTGGTGAGCATTGCTGGCGGTGGCTGGAACGACAAGGAGAAAGTTGAGGAGGATGGTCGTATTACTCCGTCAGGAGCGCAACGTCAACTTCTTCGAACGCTAAAGAAGATTTCTGACCAGCAAGCTCTTCTGCAAGAACAGCTACAGCAACGGTCCCAAGAATTTGCCGTCCAACAGCGAACACCAATAGCATTGCCATTAGATTTAGCATCATTGCGACAAAATGGTGAATTCCAACCAATCAAGGGAGAAGGCCCCAACAATGATCATTGCGTGATACAACATCCGTTCTTGGAAGCAGATCAGATTTACCATTTGGTGAAGCTTTGGTGGTCCGCCAACTGCTCCGCAAACACTACCAAGTTCAAGAAGTGCACTTTCCGATCGATCGGGCGTCACTTGCTGCACCATGCCATCCAACAAGACAGGACGCTTGTCACACTCCAAATTGGTGCGATGGATTGAAAGTCCTCCGATGACCCAATGTACGAAATGTTTGCTCGAACCAAGCATTGGGACTTGCGAAAGCATGACAAGTTTACTGATCTGAAGAATTGGCTACCTATTCTACTAGAGCCAGTGCCAGCGAACTATGCCAATTTGCTAAAGACCTACAAGGCCATTGAAGAAATGAAGGGTTTGCCGTGTGCCATTCCAATGAATGCTGCAATTTCCTTCGATCTAACCACACTGAATGTGCCTTTTGCCGATACGATACTTCGGAAAACGCACATCAAGAGTGCTCTCAATGGCATTTTGGATTGTGAATACTCCAAGAAGTTCTTTGGTACGAAACGATACGAACAGTGCATCCTCAAGGATCCACTGCCATGCGGTCCTGTCAGGAAGCTTGTTCAGGAAAGAGCCCCATATCTTCCAAAGGATGTTTTCATTGCAATGGTCCAAATTGATGTGGATGCCTACGAGTACATTCTCCTCGATGGATTGGTCAAGGAATTGAATGATAATCCCTTGCCTCCCATTATTCACTTTGAAAACAAGGTAATGAAGGAATTGGATCAGAAAAGTCCATTGTCAACCGGTGGAAAGCGTATTCAAAAGGCCCTTGAAACCCTTTCGAATGCGGGATATCAAGTTTACGAGGAAGGGGAAGATACATTGGCATGCTTGCTTCCCGAAGCCTGGATCGCAGAACCATACTAGGTTGGTGGACACTCTGCCGACTAAGGAGGCTTGGACACTGGAAGTACTGCAGACTGAATGAATTAATGAATGAATGAATTGTAGCATTTGGGAAATATATGTACGGAATGAATATATTTCTGTAGAAGTCCCATCGACGAACCAGCTTGAGATCTCGAATGGGAAGGTAGGCTAGCGGAGACGTTGTGAAAGGCAAGCGTTGGCTTTACAAGCGCCCGAAAATCCATTTCCTTTGTTCAGTAACTCTCATCATGGCCTCTGTTTGGTTTTCGTTTTGTCTTTCGTCTTCTTTTTTCTTTTTCTTTTTGACTTCCTCTTCTTTGGCCATGATGATATGGGTTCTTGTACCGATACGGTTTCTTTGTTCACCTGGTGTTGCCTCGTTTGTTGTTTCCCAATCGATGTTCTTGCTTTCGCTTACGGGGGTTGCTGCTTCTAATCTGCATACAAATTGCGGAATGTCGTCATCACAAATCCTGCTACCAGTGCAGTTTCGTACCCGACATTGAACATGTACACCTATGTATCGTACAAAGTGAGGAATTGTCACGTGACGTATACGTGTAGGTACAGAACCGCCGTACGCCGTGCTGTACCTCTCTTCGTGTGTCGTACCAGGGTGCGGGAAACCGTTGTTGTTGTCACAGGGGGGTGATTGATTGATTGATGCGTGATGGTATCGACGTCTGTCCCACCAGCCATCAGCCATCCAACATCATCTCATCGTTTGAACAACACGAAAACAATTTGGATGATAGTCTTCGCGCATAATGTAACCACGGAGTCAATCTCCAATATAAAATGAATGCCTTTCTGTCGATCCTACTAGCAATACCGTTCAATGTATTTATTGTTGTTTCTGGATGGCAACAAGTTGACCGGCATCATCGTCGTCGTCGTACCGTTCGAATACCCGAGAATGTTTGGCGTCAAGCCGCGTTGGAACATGAAGAACGAGTTCGCAAAATATTGCAGCCAGGGCTGGTTTCGTTTGATCATCCCTTGAATGCTGCCCATCGGAAAAATAGAGAACATCCAGAGCCCAACGAATGGACAGCCCTTGACCCAAAACACCCAGTGTACAACTTCTTGATCGAATATTATGGTCTTAAAGGAATCAAAGGTCCCAAGCGCTTGGCGCGATGGTGTCCTAGTCTGTCCCTGCTACTTCTACAAGAAGAGACAAGAATAAAGACTATCGCTGATTTGGAGGAGGCATCCCTAAGCAGGTATCCCAAGACAGGCACACGCACAAGTACACAAGATGATGATGAACAGCAAGACTTTGATATCCTCAATGGAGGAATCCTATTAGAAGGGGCCACTGAAGATGACTTTTCCTCTGTTCTTCATTTGCGAGGAGCTGAGATGATGCTGGACAGCGATCAACAAGTAAATGGAGTTATGTATTGCCCATCTTTGCTATTTGCCAAAAACGAACCAGATCGCCAGGAAGAGAATGCTCGTCTTACTACTCCGTTTCTATGGTACAAGTCAATACTTGAACAGACTCTTCAGGCTGAGCCTATATTACACTGCCACGGTTTGCACGAATGGGCAATGCAGTACCACCCCGAGGGTACTGATCCTCCACCAAGTGCAAAGTATCAACAACACCTTCGACTTCGAGTACCCCGAGAAATCATCAATCAAACTGTAGAGCGCAAAGGTATCTCCTGTACTCATGTTGACGCCCTTCGCTTTTTCGCACCTGCGGCGGCTCCCTTGAATCATCATGGGTCGTCTCTCAACAGAATGGATCAGTTGCAACTAGAACAGCCAGCTTGTGTCCATGCTCACATGGATTTGCTCAAGATTGCGATCAAGCTGCGTCCCTTTTGTGATCCAAGATTACTAGTGAATGTGCTAGAGGTTGCGTTGGAATCTCGTACTTTGGATGTGGCTGCAAGTCCCTACGATGCCACCTCTTATGGAGTTGGCGTTGTTCCTGTGGAGACGTCCGAGGGACGGGCCGAATACACGAAACGGCAAAAGGACTTGATGGCTCGAGCGGAAGAAGTGCGTCGGGATCTTTTGTTTGCCTACGAACTCTTTCTTCCAATGGCGTTTTCGGAAACTAGCTTGCAACAGGGTTGTAACCAACCTCAAGCCGAACGATTGTAGGTCAATGAGAAGCCCTTTGGTGGCATTGCGCTGCTTCCAATTGTGAGTGTCGCCTGCAATTTGCTGACCTTCCTTTTTTTAAATCATTCTCCCTAATCCACAGTGCCAAAGCGGAGCCAGGTGGCCTACCGTGGAGGAAGAACTTGATTTCATCCACATAAATACGGATCTCCAAAGGGTGATGAAGCGGTAGCTTCTTGGAATTCACTATTCAGATAGGTTATTGAGCACCAAAGTCGTTTTGTACATGTAGTTCTTCGATGATTCATCTTAAAATAACTGGTGGTCGAACTGCAATGTTGGAAAATGGCTGCACTCTGGAAGGAATCTCGGATGATTCAAGGAAACTGTGGCGGGATAATCACGTATTTTGATAAAATATCCCGTGCAACATTGGTGTATACTGAATACCCCCTCCTGAAACTTCTGGTCGGGGCAGTCGAAGTCTGTGGGAATCCGCCAAAAAATTCAAAACGTTGATCCGGGATCGGTCAAGACTGAAAAAAATTGACTTCAGAATAATTTGAACATAAAAACCAATGCGATAGAAATATTTTAAAATATCATCATTTATACTTGTTTCCGAACGAACGAAGGAATCAACGATAATGCAGCAAGAAAACCGCCATAGCATCAAAGTTCAGTTGATGGATGGGCGATCAGTAGACATTTGCACGGAAAGCGGAGCCAATTCATTCTTGAAATCTGGTTCCAAATGCCATGACTACATGGCAAACAATGTCGAAAAGATGTCCAAGATCTGTGCCAAGCGAAAACTGAGTGCGAAAGATAAGGGTGATATAATGGCGATGAATTTGGTCTTCGACTCCGTTGCACAATATGGTAGTCACAATATCTTTCGGAAACATTTTGAGCACAGTACTATCAAGGCTTGGCTCGCTCATGTCATTGAACAAATCCAGAGATTCACCACGAACCGCAACTGGATCACTACCGGAAACTTATCAACCTACGATACCTCTCTACTCAACTCTTGCATTTCCATGATGTGTCATGCTGTCCCCGTTGCAATCGCCTTTGAGACTGAATTTTTCAACGTTTTGGCAGACTTTGTGAAAGCTCGCAAGGGCAATGGAAGAGCCTTACCCTGTGCCGATATTGCAGATACGATCACTCTCATTGTCTCCAACGCTTACAATACAAGTAAAAATACTTATGACAACACGTGGACAACCGAGAAATCGTTGAAGAAGTTGGAAGCCACTGGAGTCCTCGAGCAATTCATTCGATGTGCCACAGTTCCTCAGGCACATGATTTTAGTGCCCCTGGTTTGTTTCGGATGCTTGATGAATTTCAAGCATGTATCCCCTTCATTAGCAAGAAACTACTACAGGGGCAACCATGTGGGGAGGTTGCAATGGCCATTCTGGAAGGCAGAGACGGAAGCAGGGTCCAGCGGCCCAGTGTCATCAATCGGCTGAAGACCATGCTTCGCTTTGCGACTTCTATTGACCCAGACCACAAATGTGGCGATGGGAACAAAATGTGCCGAAAGTGTTGCAAATCGGACCATTCAAAATCCTTCCAATCGTCGCTCATGAAGTGCGCTAGATGCCACCAGGCTTATTATTGTAGCAGGGAATGCCAAAAATCAGATTGGAAAGAGCACAAGAAAACATGCATCACCAAGACAAAATCCGAAATAGTAAAGTCTGAAAACATTCAACAGACATTCACGGCATTTTGCACAAACCAATACGTTCACATCATGGTCAAAATGGTGGAAGCATGCGAGAAGACGGGACTCACAAAGGATGACATGCTTGTTGAACTGAATTTCAAGCCAAATCAGAATGGAATTGTCCCTGCCATGCAAGACAAACCCGAGTTCAAGATTGCCCCGGTGAAAGACTATATTAACGGTTCAAGGCCGGCAGAGCCAGATTGGTTCTTCAAAAACCAAGACAGAACGATGTATGACCACAACATAAAGGGCTACCTTGCGACAATCAAAGATCAGTACAGCAAGATGCGCCCTAATCATCTGCTGTGTTTGACGAGGTATGAAGGTGGTTTCTCCTGTTACAAGATTGGAAGGTAAGCGAGTTAGCATGGTTTCCTTGTCCCCCATTCATCGTCACATTTTTTTTCTGACGAAACCGCCTCCTTCTTTCAGACAAGATTCAATCACGAATAAGGAAACGTTTTCTCAAGAGGCAGTCCTTGCCTTTCAAAAGTACATGAACGATGATGATGATGGGCCACTCTCCAACATTTTGGATCCTGGATACCTCAGAAAGGTGAAGCGTGAGCTCCGCATTCACTATAATTATGGACCGACCGACGAAATGCCTGATGAAGAAACGATCCGAGATGCTTTGGATGCCCTTCGGATGTACGAAGAAAGTTATGGATAACTCCGATTTCTTTCAAGTCAGTGGATGGATGATTGCAATGTAACTAGATTTCTTAGTATGTGTTCTCTATTATTATTGATTTCTACCACTTGCTTCATCGTGCACCTCGTTTCGCCTATCTGGCAGGCCAGTGCATCCTACCGGTATCAAGCTCACTCTGCCGTTCTACTACATGAAAACCTCGTCTCACTTCCTTATTGTCAATACTCCGATCTTGCCCTTGTAAGGTCAAGGAAACTGCTTGAACAGTGCATTTTCCATGGTATTCATTATGCAGTCCGTTGTAGATTTATGATAGAGGGGCAACTGTCGTAAAGAACTTTGATCGTACTCCGAAAATGGCGCGAAGAAATCCACCTACCACACGCATAAAAACTCAGAATACGATCACAAAACCAACGTCGTTATTGTTGCACTAGCACTACTATTTTGAAAGTCTCGCTACAGGTCGCAATTGTTATTGTTATGCAAGCAACGAAACGATATACCTTCGAGGCTAATTTGTCAGATGGGCGTTGTGTCGACATTTTTACACAAGCCGGAGCCGATGCATATTTAGAGTTTGGAATGTCCAATGCTCCCATGAGTCTCTCTGGAAATGTGAAAGACATGTCCAAGCTGCTCTCGAAGCGAAAGTTGAATGCTAAAGATATGGGTGAATTGGAGAAAATGAATGCATTCTCGAATGGGATTTGTAGCTATGCAAGCCACGATGTCTTTCGTCAAGCGATGCCAGCATCTGAGATTGAAGTCTGGCTGGAATTTGCCATCGAGCGAATCAACACGTTCAGCACAAATCACATTTACATCACCACAGGTAAGCTAGCAAACTATGATCTTTCTTTGCTGAGCACTTGCTTGGCAATGATGCTGCATCCTGTCCCTACGGCACTCGTCTTTGAAAGTCAATTTTTCCAAGCTTTGGCTGGCTTTGTCAAGGCTCGCAAGGGGAATGGACGAGCGTTGCCCTGTGCTGATATTTGCGCCACTGTCACCTTGATGGTTTCAAACGCCTACATGGCAACTCGAGCGGCGTTTGACAACAAATGGACAAGCGAAAAGGCGTTGAAGAAGCTTGAAGCGACCGGGGTCCTTGAAGAGTTCATTCGATGTGCGACGGTGCCTCAGCCCCCACATTGCTGTAGCCCCCAGTTGTCTCTTATGATTGGCGAATTTCAAACTTGTACTCCTTTTCTTACTAAGAAGCTGGTAAAGGGGCAACCATGTGGAGACGTCGTCCATGCCATTCTCGAAGGGAGAGACGGAAGCAGAGCCGAGCGGCCCAACATCCTCAACGGACTGAAGACCATGGTCCGCTTTGTGGAATCTATTGACCCAGTACAAAAGGATGCAATTGACTATAGAATTTGCCGAATGTGTGGTAAAGGAGATACTTCGGAATCCTTTCAACAGTCGCTCATGAAGTGTGCTCGATGCCAACAGGCCTATTACTGTTCCAAATCATGCCAACGTGCGGATTGGAAGCTGCATAAGAAAGTCTGCATTCCCAGGACAAAATTTGAGACGAAGCAAAGCGAAAACCTCGAACAGATGCTCCATACATTTTGTGCACAGCATTATTTTCGTATCATGGTCAAAATGGCAAAAGCATGTGAGCAGACGGGACAGCACAAGAGTGATATGCTTGTGGAACTGGATTATTGTTGCAATGAAAACGGGATTGTGCCAGCGATGAAAGACGAACCCGAGTTTAAGATTGCCCCAGTGAAGGAATATCTTGAAGGGTCCAAGCCCGCTGAGCCTGATTGGTTCGGTAAGAAAGGCAGCCAGGAATACAACGACAATGTGAAGGGGTACCTGCACAATCTGAAAGATCAGTACAGCAAAGTGCTTCCCAGTCAGTTCTTGTTTTTGGTCAGGTATCCAGAGGGAACCTCGACTTATAAACTTCAGCTGTAAGTGTTTGCCTCTGTCTCGTTCCCAGTATCCTCTGTTTTGCCAGATTCTCACACGTTTTGTTGCAACCGTCTGATGATTAATTGCCCTTGTTCTCGTTTCAGTATCGAACCAATCACAAAGAAGCAAATGTTTTCTCAACAAGCCGTTCGTGCTTTCAAAACGTACATGGATCATGGCGATGATGGGCCACTTTCAAGATTCTTGAGTCCTTCGTACGTGGTGGGTGTGAAGAGGAAGCTCGGCATTGTGTATGGGTATGGAATGCCCGACGGTGAAATGTCGACCCAGCAAGCCATGGACGTGCTCCAATCCTTTGGAATGGATCTACACCTGAATTCGACTCGATTTTAGTACGCTGCTGCAAGAATGATAGAACCATGCGCTTTGAAGCACGAGGACAGCCCCAGGTGGTATCAGCCGGGAATCCTGAATCGTTCAATGTCACTATCCCTACGTCCTCTGTATTTATCTCCTTCCTATCATGCGCCTATTGCCATGTTCATGCACAAACTAAGTATAAACACATATAGATACTTATTTACTCCTTTAATTTTAAACTTATGCCACATGTAGTATGATTCCTTTTTTTTGTCTTGGTCTTGACCTTTCCTTTCTACTTGAATTCGGTTTGAATGATATTTTCCAAATCAGTTTGAATGATCAATTGCGGATCAAATTCCAAGTCATCTTCCATTTGTGCAATGCGCATACGCTTGCGAACTTCGTTACGGCATCCCGTCAATAACATTTCACTGACTCGTCCATTGCGCTCACTACGCCAAAGTTCCGAAGTTTCTCCCTCTAGCAAGTGAGCAATAACCGATGGCTTCAGTTCGGGAGACAAATCGAATCCCTTGGCATTGGCCAAATCGATAAAGATTTGTGCCAATTCCAGACAAGTATAGTCTGGGAATTCAAAAGTCAATGGGAATCGCTTGCGAAGGTCCGTGTTGAAGACCAGGAAAGTGTTCATTTCCACGGGGAAACCTGCCAAGATGACGACTGGGTGGTTATCGTCTCCACCGCGGGCTGCTGATTCATCAATGGAACGAATAATCTCATTGATACAATCCGCCCCGGTATCCAACTTGTTCTTCTTACTGGCCATACCAAGAGTGTAGGCCTCATCAATAAATAGAATACCTCCACGTGCTTCGTCAATGACCTCCTTGGTTTTCATGACAGTCGTCGATTTATCTCTGCCAACCAAGTCCAGGCGTTCCACCTCCAGGAATTTGGGTTTTCTCAAGATACCCAATTCATGGTACGCCTTGGCCAACAAACGAGCGACGGCCGTCTTTCCAGAACCTGGATTTCCCAAAAAGACAGTGTGATGGGCCGATGGACGTCCCGTATCTTCCGATAGAGTAGGAGGAATCAATGACATGGGGTGCGTTCGTCCGGTTCGTTGTCCCGACTGAGGTGGAATCAAGGATTCCTTCAAGTCGCAAATCTCGGCCGTACGACGCAATCCGCGCAATTGTGCCTTGATGTGTTCCAATCCAATAATCGAGGCCAACAATTCTTCCACACGATCTCTGGGTCCAGATGGCATACCGGCCCGATCAATGGGAATTCCACGGGCATCCCGTGTTTGATTCTTGGCACGACGTCGGACGGCATCCAACAGAATTTGTTCGGCATCGACCTTGTTACCAGATTCCAATTGATCGGAAAAGGCAATTTCCAATTCGTTGGGATCCATCCCCGCCGCATACAAGGAATGAGGAAAGCGATCGGCCAATTTGCGGACCGCTGCCAGAGTCAACTTTAGATTGTTATTGGCGGGTCCTCCAGCCCCATTGTTGGGGTTGGCGAGTCTCAAAGCACGCGCCTTGCGTTCCAAGACCGTGGCGCGTTCGTCGAATCGTTCGGCCTTTTGTCTTCTGGTAAGTTCTGGAGGAGGAGGACGCCCTTCCAACATGGCCAAGACTTGATCGTTGGCCATGGTTTCGTCTGCCATGGCAAGATCCAAGGGAGTCATGCCATCGTCATTTTGCAAGTGCAAGGCATCCGGGTAGGCATCGACTAGCAACTTGACGACTTCGGGGGACGCACGGTTGGAAGCGGCCATGTGGAGCGGCAAAGATCCGTATTGATTGCGGACCGTGGCGCCTTCGGGGTGACGGCTCAATAGGATCTCAATGGATTCGACGGGAGCTTGCCACATGGCAGCTTGGTGAATGGGCAAGTTGCCGACACCGTTGGGCTGAGACGCTCCTCCTGGATACGCCTTGAGCAGGGTTTCTATGACATCTGCAGAAGCTTGGAAACTGCAAGCAGCGTGAAGAGGAAGGTTGCCGCGATCGTTCAATCGAGAAGCTTCTTCTGGGAAAGATGGTTGCTAAAGTGGGAAGTTGTTGTAGCGATGGATGAAAGGAGAGAGTGCGTCAGATTGTGGTTATAATTGTTGTGGTTGCAGTTGTGGTTGTATTTGTATTTGTTGCATTTTACTGCACTTTGTTGCGTTGGATTATCCATTGACCCAGTAGCATTGATTTTCTGATGGTACCACATGACGTGTACGATGAATATGGACAACAATGTCTCCATATGAAAACCCCATTGGCGCTACGGTACTTCATTCATTTCATTCATTCAATTCAATTCCATTCAACAAAGTTTCCTTACCTTACTTCGACTGAGCAAGGCTCCAAATCCCTTACAGAGATCATGCAAGGATGTTTCGGCCATGTTTTATTTGTATGTATATAATGTACGGTGAGAAGATGTGGAAGGACGGTGGGTGTTTACCGTATTCAACCTTCTATCTGATGACGATGGTCCACTCCTGAGTTTCGCGTTCCACCAGCAGACAGCATTGGCAAACACCCAAATTCATCCTCCAAGATCTTCCACAACGCCGGCATGGCGCAGCTCGGAAGCAAATACTCTTTGCCGCGCTTTGGTTTGAATGTTTGGTAGGATTCTACGCAATAAGCGAGTGCAATTACGTGTACGTTGGGCACCAGTGTCGCCAAGAACCGTTGGAAAATACTTAATGAAAAAATGGTATTTATCTGCAGGAAGGTTTCCTCAAGCGTTACGCCGGCTTCCGTACGAGCAAGGAAGACCAACTCGATCTGAATGCCATGGACAACCCCAAGAAAGAGAGGATCGGGCCTCTTGGAAGCACTGCGCAACTGCTGGAACTGCCAACCTCCTCTATTCACCACACTGAAACCAAGCCAAATCAAATAACCATGGGATACACTGATCTTCACGAACTAGCCAAAGGATGGAAGGCTGCCATTGCCCGTGCCACTGATCCAGCTACCAAGTACGTTGTTGTTGTTGTTGTTGTTGTTGGAGTTATTCTTATTAGCAATGCATTTGTTGATTTGCATGTGCGTCATCGGTATGGAATGCAAACTGGAAACCCTCCCCTAAACGCTTTCTTTTTTCCTTTTTTCAATTATCGTAGACACGAAACTCAAATCAAGAATGATCGTGGTAACTTGCCTTTGCATTCGGCCACTTCGTTCCGTGCTCCTTTGGAAGTAGCTGGTGAGTGAAAGAAAAAAAAGTGAAAAATAATCATACTGGAACCACATTGAAAAAGTGCCCGTCTCATCTCATCTCATCCCATCTCATCACCTGTCCATGCAATTGTAGAGGCCCTTTTGGAAGCCTACCCTGAAGCTGCTTCCATCACCAACAACTATGGTAATCTTCCATTGCACTTTACTGCCTGGAAGAAGGGACCCTTGGAAGTCGAAAAGGTTTTGCTCAAGATTTACCCCGAAGGCGCTGCCCAAAAGAACAACCACGGTAACTTGCCTTTGCATTATGCGGCTCACTACAATGCTCCTTTGGAAGTTGTAGAAGCCTTGTACAATGCCTACCCTGAGGGAGCCACCATGAAGAACAATGACAACAACACCCCTCTGGATCTTGCCATTGCCGATGGAGCGTCTCCCAATGTCGTCTCTCTACTACAAGGCAAAAAGGTTCCACCCACAGAGGACGAACTCTTGGAAAAGGCCAAGAGACGTTGTGAGGCAGCGGAACGTGAATTTGCACGAGCCCAAGAGGCCACTCAGGGAACCAACGACGAAATGGAAGAGGTTCTGGGTCTGCTCATGGACATTTATGAGGGACACAAACATGCCTTGTATTCGGCTGGAATCAATCCGGACAATGCCGGTACGGCCGAAAACATGATGGACCAGGTCCGCAAGGCGGCAGCGGCCGACAATCCCATGACCGGAGGCATGGACGAAGGATTCATGGCCCGCAATGAAGTGGAAGAAGAGGCCCAACTCATTGAAGATGCCCTCTGTCCACCAGATGATCTCGTGGAATTGGCTCTTTCCAAAATTGTTGGCTTGGAAACGGTCAAGAACCAAGTCCGTGGCCTGCGTCGGACCATGGAGGTTCAAAAGTACGCTCCCGGAGCGAGAATTTGTCCTCATCACATTGCACTCCAAGGTAATGCTGGAACGGGCAAGTCCATGGTGGCCAAGACGTTGGCAGAAACCTTTTTTGATGTCGGTGTCACCAAGAACAAGAATTTTGTCGTCTGTGGACGTGATGATTTGATTGATCGCAAGAGCGAGGCTCGGACCATCTTCAAGACTCGCCAAGTCTTGCAAAAGGCCAATGGTGGGGTCTTGGTCTTGAACGAAGCTTATACTTTGTTGCCATCGACAGCTCGTCCTCGTGGAAGAGATCATGGTGGTGCCGCTCTTCGTGAAATTGCTCGTTGTTTGCCATCTGGAAACCCGGTTGTTATCTTGACGGGCAATCCATTGAATTTGCAACGAATTTTGTCATCGGAAATTGGTTTCAAGAACTATTTCTTGACTCGCATTGAAATTCCTGATCCATCTTCTGCATCCATTGCCCGCATGTTCTTGTCCAAGGTTGGAGCGAAGGGATTCATTGCCGGTGATGGTGTGACTGTCGAATACTTGGCGGATTTGATCAGCACCAACACGGATGACGAATGGCGTGCGGAACGCAACGGTCGCATTTCCGATTTGCTCTTGCAAGGAGTTCGTGCCGAAATTGGCAAACGCATCAACTTTGATGACGCTGCCAGCAAGGTTTCCATCTCCCCCATCAAGATGATGAGTCCCGGACAAAGTCGAATGCCTGCCTTTTCGCCCGAGGAAATCTTTATTACGGTGGAAGACGTTCAAAACGCTATTGTCAATGGCATGTAAATGAAACCAAATGAAACGAATTGCATTGCATTATATTCTATTGCACTGAATTGGCGCAAGATGGTTTCTTTACATATATGTGTGTAGTGATGGTTCTCCGCTGTCTTGATCGGAGATGATTCTAAGTTATTTATTATGTACATGTGTGCTTCGTTCTACCTACTATTTACTGTACTTACTGCCAATCTAGTAATAAGGTATTGTTCTAGTATTCTTGTTTCGTAGGTATGCTAAAAAAGTATTATCTTTGCCCTGCTGGTATAGTCGTCCTCTTCTTTGTCGGCTGTTTCTGCATTGGCCTTCATCAAGTCAGTTCATTTCAGATTCAGCAAAATACTACAGTACTATACTACTGGAACCTGGAAACAAAAATGCAGACAGACTCGGAGAATTCTGCTTGTTTGGCGTCCACAAACATGGTATTGTGCGGGATCCCTTCATAGGAGACGGCTGTAACATCCTCTAGACCTTCCTCGTCCTTTGCAATGCGTTGTAATTCGAGACTCTGGGAGTACGGAACGGATTCATCAGCTTCACCCCAGATCATATGAAGTGGGACCTTGTGTCTGCAAACGGTTCGAAATTCTTCTTCTGCGGAACCCACGAATCCCTTGCAGTATCCGTTGGTAGATCGAATGGAGGCAAAGTATCTCTTGTTTTCTTGCACATTCCGGGCCAGCTTGTCCAAGAAATCTTGAACCTCTGGAAATCCGGATGGATTCTTGCAGGAAGCTGTGGCAAACTTGATCATGGCATTTCCACCAAACAGGCTCACAATCATGTTGCCAATATAAGGTAGGTCTGCGATACGGGCAGCAAGTGGTTTACTCGCTGGTAGGCAAACGGCGCTGGCCAAAATCAAGCCTTTGAGATGTTCCGGATATTTGGCAGCATACCCAATGCATGCTACCCCACCTGTTGAATGTCCACAAAAGATGCAGTCTTGTTTCTCTAGACCGAGCGCAGTTACCACATCTCGGACTTGTTGAACATACACTTCGAGTGTAAAGTCCAATGCATGAGTCGCTCCCGAAACCGGATAGCGTTCTGGGTCCGTTTCGCTGTATCCACGGTCATAAAAATCAAATCGTAGCACTCGCAATCCTTTGGCTACCAAATCCTTGGCAGTTTGGTCGAATATTCCCATGTGACTTCCCAGTCCGTGTTGCAAAATCACTAGTAGTTTAGAAGATTCTGGTCCCTCCAGAAGATAGTGGGTGTTGCCATGTTCCGTCTTGAGGAATTTTCCGGGTGCTGGGCCGTTGATCGCTTCAAAGCATGCCGTGCCTTGTAATGAACTCATTTCACTGTTGATGTCTTTTGTTTTTATGAGAGTGATATTATGTATGTAGTGGCTTATCTGGTTTTATGAGGCCATATAATGCGGATGAATTGCAAGGAACTGGATGTAATTGGAAGGAAACCACGTAAATCCAATCCGAACTCACTATCATCATCCAACATTTTGCACGATCAGTATCTTTTGTCTGCTCGTCAACATATAAAGCTGACTATGTACCTTGTTTTAATCACACTTGTTCCTCCAAATTGTTGCTTTTGAAGCGTCGAGGTCTGGATGTTCCATAGCGCTATGTGCAATCACAATAATCGTCTTGTTCCACCCTCCAGAATTCAGTCAAACGAGCAAGGGATCAAGTGTGATAGTGATTATGAGAACGACATTATGAGGAGATGAGATGGCAAAACATCCATTTGATTGTGCCGTGCTGCTGCTTCAACAAGCATACTACTCCTACACCAGCCAGTCGCAGCAGGAGTCGTGTTGAAAAGTAGTCCAAGTACTAAAATGTTAACAAACTCTATTATTTCATAAAAGGATCGTTTCTATCAATTTGGAGGAAAATCGACAGTATTTACCTTTTGACAGTCTTTGGTTTCGATTATGCTCAGCTTGGTGTATCGGTAACATCTTTTTGAGCTGGAACCATGAGGAGGAGTGCAAGAGTGAAATTGTAACGCGACCGTGAACCACTTCTGCTCATACGGGGAGGGAAAAAATGCATTAATCAAAATATGATAGGATGCGAAAAGTTTATATATGAAATCGTGGTGTTTTCTAATTCATCGACTGCCACGCAATCACTTAACAAAAGCTTCTCTCAGTCACATTTGTTAAGTAAAGGACAGTTGAACGGCGCGGAAGGACGACTGACTGTTACTGCTCCATGTTTTAGATTCTCGCCAGAACTCCTCCCACAAAAAAAGATTCTTATCAAGAGCTTGGTAGTCGTACAACACGAGTTTCTCATAAAAAACTTGCATCGGCGCCCGCACCATGCCACCCTACCACCCAGAATCAGAAGGAGATGTATACATCTGCATTGCCGATAACAACGGTAGATCTGACCACCACCATCAGCAACAGGAATCAATGAAGAGTCTACATGCCTCTTCTGTGGATAGTTTGCTGAACTTTGTACACAACTCGTCCGATCATTCCACACCACTTCTCATCAGAAAACCGCTTCACGATAACGGTGAAAGGAAAAACGTGCGATTCGCAGATAATCTGGAACAAACTGTTTCCACTATCAGTCGCGACGATCTCTCCAAAGAAGAGATTGAAAGTTATTGGCTCAATAGAGTGGAGATGTGGGATATTGAATGTGAAAAAGAAAGGATCGTCGAAATGATCGACTATAGCCTCCCCAAAGAAAAGGGCACTAGTTATCGTGGCCTGGAAATTCACTCTGGTGGCGGGATCTTCCGCAAAAAGATCATAGACCGGCATTTCAATGCAGTATTTTTCACCCAAGAGGCCCAGAAACAAAAACAAAAGGAACATTGCGACGAAGAGTTGGCTCGCTCATGTGAAGAAACATCCAAAGAAAGCCTCCGATTGGCCCGTCAATTTGGTTTGAAGGACCAAAAGGATGCACAAAAATTTTTGTGCCGTGCATAAATAGGTACTATGCTCAGAAGCGACGAACAGGTACTGGTGCCAGTACTATACTGCACAAACTGTCCTAGAGTAAGCAACAATGCTATTTTTTAAAACTTTACATTCACATTTTTCCACGATCAAGGAGTGCGAGGACCATTATTTGAAACATATTTAATCCATACCGGTATATAGTACACCATGAGCTAAGCACTTGTTTTGGCACCTCTTTTTTTCTCAGTTTGGTTACCTCATTGAGTCTACCTTGCTACCGGTATACGTGTAGCACTCGTCCACTCGAGATGATACTTCATTACAATACGATAACATTTTCAATTTGGGGCCACGAAAGCTCGTAAACGTGACCTGTGCGATTCCTTCGACTGGTTTCGGACGCATAACAGACATGTCCACTCTCAGAACTACGGTACAGGCTGGTAGAAAGTAAGAAGGCTATTTGTACAACTTCGAACTGCGACTTGGGCTTTTAATCTTGGCACTTGCTAAACCACTATGTCTCTTTTCGATATGGATGAGTTATTGGGATATAACCTTGACCCAGAACAACCATCCCGTTTCAGTTTTCAACATACCTCCATTCAATTTGCTTGCAGCCAGCATCTTCAGATGCCCCCCAGAATAGTATCTTCTTGCTTATCTTGCTTTATCATAGCAGCTCACAGACATTGTCGAAGACATAAGGAATGATCAGTTGCCTTCGTGTCTTCATGAGATCAATGAACATTGATAATCATAAGATGAATGGTCCTTGTTGATGTTCCGACGTGTCGTTACTGCATGGCTGCCTGGTGCGGGATACACAAATTCAGAAGACAGCAGGATTCATTACACCTCCTTGAAACACACGTTTTCACCATGCAAGAAGCGACAAATGATTCTCAAAGAACGGAAGCAAACTAGCTGCCATTACGCTACTGTCGTGTGTATCAGCTTGTGCGAAATTTTCGCCGCATTGTTCATGGCGTCACGGGTAGTGAGTCTGGATGTATTCGTTGTTTTCAACAAAAGCGGCTTATCAAGCCTTGCTCCTCGCCTTTGGCAAGCTGCTGAACCTCAATGTCGCGAACTGGCCTGCCAAACTCTGTGGAGGAGGTGCAGCAATGGGTGACGAGATGCCATATCTTCTTGAACACAAGAACTAGTTTACACGGCACAGAACCAACGTACAACTTGTAAAGACCCCCAACGTACAGCTTGCGTAGACTCCCAGTGGCAACATGATATCAAGATTGGTGCGAATCAGAAATCACGCTTCGATGGCTTTGCGTTGTACACCATGATATTGGATTTCGAAGGAAAGCAAATAGCGTTGCTGGGAACTTCGTCGTTTTCACTGCTATTCGATCAGCGACCTCTTGCAGGGCTGCTCTGAGCGACAAGAAACGATCTCCGAGTTGGGTAATTATTCTGGTGTTTCTGAAGCTGCACATGCGCATTGAGTTAAGGAAGTGTTCTGCCAGTATATCGAAGTATTCAGCTTCATCCATAAGTCCCAGGCGACAAAGCTTCTTTAGCAACTTCGATTTGAGGTGCTTTTTCTCTTCAATGCATGCATCAAACGAATCATCCAGAGCGTACCACATCATATCCCCAAGCAAGAGCGCTAGTGCTTTCAATGAAAAGGACCCAAAGACTGAGGATAACCTCGAATCGCCAAGAACTCGTTGGGAGAGGTACATCACGAGCGCTTGCAACCGAAATTCTCCTCCCATTTGATCTACAATCGTCGAGCTTCTTCGTTTTCTCTTGTTTGACACAAGCTTGCGGAACCGGAAATTCTCGCGCTCAGGTACAACTACATCATCTAGGAATCTAGTTTCATAGTTGTTGGTATCCTCATTCTTCGTGATGACCACGGATGAAAAGTTGTCATTCATTATTTTACTTTTGTGCTGTCCCTTGTCGCCTTATCTACTGTTACGATACTCTCAAAAATTGGGCTACAACGGTGCCTCTCGGCTACGGAGTTTCCACTGCTTGGATCTAAAAAAATCTACATCAAGTGCCAGTACAATACTGCATGGTGTCAGGACCATGGGTATTTCATTATCTCTATGCATTTTTCGGGAAAAGTTCCAGCGTACAGGTGCACAAAGAAAGGGATGTCACATATAAAGATCGCACTTCCAAAACCTTCCATGTTCTCCTCTCATCTAACGGTGTAAGTACGCACAAAAAGGTTGCATATATATTCATTCTGTTTGCTCAAATTTAGCATATATATGCATATATCTTCGGTTCGCACCAAGTACCAGGTACCTGTTACCTGCGGTAGGGCTTTTTGCAAAGCAGTAGGGGCTCAAAAGCCGACAATGAATGCAACAAAATGGGTAACTGAAAGCAGGAATGCCAATTGATTGTATATATCAATAGAAAACGACTTGTCCCTGTGCTTGGGTAGCTAAATGGAGCTCATGAAGAATGAATCCATGATCAGCAGTATTCGGTTTTCGCGAAAAGTGACAGGAGGTGCATGGTTTTTCATGCATTTCTGACAGATCGTCGACATTTCTGACAGATCGTCGACATCCGGTTAACGTGTATACAATTGTGTCATCTGTTTCGTCGAAACGCAACCTGCAACCTCTAGCGCCCTGTCTTCCCAAGTTTTGGATATTGCCTGCTCGTGCTGCCGCCACGAATCATTATCAGAATACATCCTGTTTCCGTTTGCACCGTGCAAACTCTCAGTGCCCAGTCGTCCAACAACACAAGCTCTGGAAACTTTTATTTCTACGCTGTCGCCACGACTCAATCATCCATAGAATCCATCCTATAACCTACACACAATTTGTTCAGAACATACAAACCAGATAGCTATCATATTATCGTCGCTGAAACATGGATGCCATTTTTGGTGGAGCCTTGTTTTTGTGTTTGGTCTGCTGTGAATTTGCATGTGAATGTGAAGCGTCATGGCTATTGATCCGTTGCAACGGTCGTCGATTTCGATGATTGACAGTCAATGATGTCGTTGACATTGTCATTGACTCGTGATGTCTCGAAGATTTTGGTTTGCTACTACTACTACTATTGGACAGCATGGCTGCAGCCGCAGCACCGAGGGGACCCTTTCGTTGTTTCTTTTGTCCCGCCATGGCAATTCGTGATGCTTGGGCCGAATATCGTGTCGTGTCATGTACAGGAGCCTCCTCGTCAGCAGACTTGCGTTTCGAGGATCCCGGAATGGTCCGGACCGCATCCATCCCTCGCAAGGCGCGGGCGACGTCATTGTTGTCTTGTCTCTTGCTAGTCTTTTTCTTTTGGAGTGCTCCTGCATTGTACATGCTGTTATTGCGACCTCCACCACCATATTGTGGCATGGCCGCCCGCAATCGAGCATTTTCTTGTTCCACATCCTTGGTCCGTGCCGCCAATTCCTTGACTTCTGCCGTACTACTCGAATGAGCTTGACACAAATCCTTTTCATAGCTGGCCTTGAGCTTGGTATATTCTGTATTGAGGCGTTGAACATCCGATGTCAACTTGGCCACTTGTCGATTCTTGCTGTTCAATTCCGAGAGGCGTCGGACGTCCACCAGTGACAGGTGATCAATTTCCAGTTGTTGCATTTGGCTTTGTTCCTGAAGTTGCCGTAATTTGCCTTCTTTTTCCGCAGCTGCATTTTGAATTTCATTCATTCTGGCAGTGAGTTCTTGGTGCTGCTTGTACTGCTCTTGGCATTGGGATTGTTTCTGCTGGAATTTTCGCTTGTATTTCTTGGCAATCTTTTTAAATCGATCGTTCTGATCGCCACTGTTGTCATTGCCAGTGCTTGGTGACGTCTTCGGTGCTGCTGGCCGTGGCCTTCGAGCAACCGAAGAAGAAGGAGGAGTACTAGCAGACGATGATGAAGATTCAGTGAGTTGCCGCACCTGCCTCGCAGGTGGACTGCTCAACGGCGACATGGTCAGGTCGACAACTTGGACGGAATCATCATCATCGTTCTCGGCGTTGTCATCTTCATCATCATCAATAACGATGGTATCTTGACTTTGCTGCTGGCTGCCTCTCGATTCAGCTTGTTCTCCTGTGTCGATGCCTTCATTATCATTCGATTGTTGCATGTCCTCATTATCTCGCTCGACATCATCATCATCTTGTTCGGTAGACGATAAACTCAAATCATCATCGTTGGCATTCATTTCAGCTCCCACACTCAGGAATAAAGTCACGAATTTCTTGGATTGCACATTACAATTGGGACACTTGCAGGATCTTCCTTTGGTCGCCTTCCACATTTCAAAACAATCGGCATGAAAGCAATGCCCACAAGGGACCGTGGTTCCTACTTTTTGATTGGCCTCGGATCCCAGCAGAGCCTCCAAACAAATGGAACATGTATTGTCGTTCATGATTGTT